GGATGGACTGGGTTGCTGTGTTGATTGAGCGTGCTACGGGGCAGACTATGAGCGCGTACCTTCAAGAGAATGTATTTGAGAAGCTGGGGATGGCGTATACGAGTTACATTCGTGACGTGCGTAAAGCGCCCAGAGAGCGTATCTGCGTAGGGAGCTTCGGGGCGTTTGCGCCCGTTTGTCCGGAGTGAAATAGGCCGATGGAGAATGCTGTGGCGGGGGGGGGGGGGGGGGGGGGGGGGGGGAGGCAGCATAGGCCTTGGGGGGAATTGGGGACGCCTGGTGGTAACACGCTAATAGGAAAGTGTCGCGATTTCGAGTGGGTGATATATGAACTATAATAGGACTACGTATAATTCCCACTCTGGACAGTGTGAGGTGGTCCCGATAGTGTTTTATAGCTGAAAATGGTTCAAAATTTTATCTGATACGCGTTACGAAGTTGGGTGCCTGAGACACCATATAGGTTCTTTGGTTAGCAAGCACCAAAAATTCTGAGGGCAACAGACAGCATTCGATTTGGTTAGTGTAACGTTCTCTGAAACTCTTATTTGAAGCCTAAGGAATAATAATCAACTTAATTCCAGGACTTGATACTCGGAGAACGAAAGTCGTTGTCTGTCAGTAGACTCTTGAAAGGACTAGGGGTGGGTTGGAAGTACAGATAGTAGGGCCCGGAGAAGATGTTTCAGGAGGTGGAACGAGTAGGAATGTCACGGGAGCGCGCGTCGTTAGTGTCCACTAGTGCTACAGCGCACCCGTGGACGTTGCTTGCTTTTTATACCCCTCCTGCCCTCAACTATCCGTCATTTCCTAGCTGCTTCCTTGAACTCTTTCCTCGATCGTGTAGTTGTGCGTCGCACAGGACTAGGAAAGTAATGTGCATGCTACAAATTCACTACCTTCGGCTGTTTTACTGAGAAAGCCTGGACCTAGTAGAAACCTTGTAGCCCACGCAGGTCTTTGGCAATCGAGGGAAGCACTACGCTAGGGCGAACAAGTAAAAACAGATAGCTCTGTTCAATCATGGCTTCACAAGGCACAACCTACGAGCGCTACAAAGCGGACACGAATCTCTTCACCACCTGGCTTGGGAGGGCAGCAAAAGGCTGTGGTTGGAAACCATCTTCGAAGCCCAGTGAGTGTATCTCGCGCCTGCAGCTACTTGGAGATTGTCGGTGGGTATGAAACATGAGAAAGCATAGTTCGCTAACCTTGGCGTAGCACCTACTACGAGTACCCCGACGCCTACCCCGACGCCTGAAATTGATGCGGCAAAAGGGCCACGAATGAAGGGCAAAGCTCGTAAGCTTGCTAAAGAAGTTGCGAAGGAAATCCCTCCTGCTACCAGCAAAGCTGCACCAAATGAGTCTGGGCCAAATCGAAGATATGCCATCACCACTGAGGAACTTCTCACGCAAGTAGACGTGGTCGCCACATCTCGTAGCTCGGCGATGCCCGATGCGATACGTAAAGCTCTTTCGGGTGCTATCGCAGCCCGGCAGAGATGCGCTGCTTGGTTCGAGAAGACCAACTCAGGGACTCGTGCTAAGCATATACCCAGTGAGTTGAATGGACGCTGGCCATTGTATCCTAATGAATATGACAGAGTCGTTGGACGGCTACCAGTACTTCATCGGAGTGCTTCAACGAGCTTTGAACAAGCTCGGAGTTACCACTCCCGCAGCTTCTAGCCTTGGCGCTGTGGACAAAGGCGAAAATGACTTTACCTTCATGCGTAACGTTTTCGAGGCGCTAGAAGTTGAAGACATCTCTGAAGAAGAGGCGACTGAAGCCCTTCAGCCTAGTGCTGCCGTCCAAAGCAATCGAGCTAAGGACTTGTATGAACTCGCAGTGGATGCGAACACGGAAATTGCCTTTACAACCTTTTCGCTATTCGAAGACATTTACAGGATCCGAACGGAGCTTAAACAGGTGTGGACGCAGTTTCGCGATGGTCAAATTCAGCTGCTCCAAGCCTCTGTATTGACGACAGCTGCCCTGGAACTAGTAGACCAGGCCGAGAAAGAAGTCTATCGGGCATTACTCGAATACCAACAAAGTGACACCAAACACATACAAAGACCTTGCTGGACTTATCTATGCCAATGAGGCTCTAAGCAGAGGCCAAGATTCCGATTTGATGCCCCAGCCTACCAAGGTCAAATTGGTGAAAATGGAAGATTTTCACAAACTCCGGGACCTCTATGACAGTGACGACAATAATACAGATCTACCACCAACTAGGAGCTTAGGGATTCCTCTATTCGATGAGTTCGTACTGCTATCCACTGGTCGTACGCTCTTGAAGTTAGCACAGTACAAAGATTTCATTAAAAAAACCGACTGGCCATATCCCGTTCTCAGAATATAACTCAACTATATCAGTCGCCCGGAGCTACTTGATGATCCGAGAATTCAAAAGTTCGTTCAACAAGACGAGTTCTTGTGTCAAGTTTTCCTCGATATGATGCTGGATGATGAGATCAGACGTCCATATTAAACGGCCCGAAAAGAGCTTATCGGAAGCAAACTACTAGTCTTCGAGTATGACGACCCGTTTCACACGGTAATGCGACGACTATGGTCAAAAGGAACCGAAGCAACACGGATGATGTTTGCTGCTCAGGTCTTGTGGGACTTGCATGAAATTTGCTACTTTGCTTCTTCTCTTCTTAGTATCATGAAGGCCGCCTCGAGTCAAGTTCAAGACTCGTTTAAGTTCTTTGTTGATTCATCTGGAACTTTGGATACCGAAGAGGTTAGATGGTTGAGTGAGGACCAGGATCTCATCATGAAAATATATCAACGGAAAAGCCTCAATCTCGTCGAACCGCCAGTGATCATGCTGAAGGCAATGACGATGGAAAAGTTCAGCTCTCGGCCGCAATCGGATCACGGCCTTTCCTCCAAGATGTTGAAAACCCCGAGGAGAACCGCCAGATGGGGAGAAAATGCCAAAAAGATCAATGCAACTAAGATGATTGAGCCCAACGCAGACTCAGACTTCTTGTTAAGGGCAAACCCCCTTTACGCCGGGACTCTTCTTGTCGATGTTGGAGCCATGGTGGAAGAGGCCGGAGTTGCCTTGGCAAACCATCATCTGTCGATATTCACTCAGGTTGAAATTGATGTGAACTCTGTTGTATTGTAGATGCCGTAAAGGCGGACTATATAGAGGAACGAGATGAACTATCCCTTAGGGCGCTCCCTTGGTCGTTCCTTTGGCAGCAAGGAAGGCGCCAAGGAAAGGCACTCCCTTTCCTTGCTGTCTTGACAGCAAGGAAGCACCACAACTCCGTAAGGAAGAGTAAGGGATACCTAGTGAACCGTATGAGTTGCTGATCCTAGGTTGCTGCAACCCGAGTTATTCTGCGTCGCCCATCTCTACAACGCCCTCCATAGGTTCGACCTCCTCGATGTACACTGGACTGATATTGATCGGATCATCGAGCAGCACAAAGGCGCTATTTTCGCCAATGGCATTTCCAGTAGTCCCAAAGACGCGGTGGCCCGGTTTTCCTACCGAACAGGGCTTTCAACACGGAATTTTCGTCACTTCAACACGAAGATGCCATGGAGATTTCGAACCACGTCAGTGACTCAGGCCCTTCGCGGCTTCTTTAGCTCAAAGGAGTCGTTGTCTCGCCTCACGGACAATCTACGAACCCAAGCTGAGTCACACCAGCCGAAGGTCTACGGCCAGGGTCCGGAACGGTCAGCTTCTCTAAAGACTGGCAAAAGCAACAAGACATCGATACTCACACCGCGCCATTCCCTTCTTGAGATGGGTCGCTACATTGAAGCCATCCTGCCCGACGTCGAACTGGACTACGCTACCCTGACGAAAATCTTCAATAAGCTCCTGAAGCAACTTCGCGCACGCATACTATCCAAGTTCGGTATTGATTATCCTACCATCCAGCAGTATCCTGGCGATTCGAATGATCATAGCTTATTGCTTGTCGTCTTGGGAATCGTCACAGAGGCAAAAGAAGTGTCGACGAAGCGATACAGAGGCAAGAAGACTGAGAATGAAGACGGGAATGACGTATGGAAGAATGCTCCGCAGGTGGTCCTTGCGAGGGATATGCTGGAGACGTGCATCGGGAGACTCTAGGCTGAGCCCTCGGCACGCTTAGGGGCTGGATTTTGAATTCTGATCTAGGCTAGTCGGCAAGTGCTTATGATTCATTCTCCACGCTGGCAAAGCTGCACTAGTGGGTTAGGAGAAACCATGATATGTCATCGAAGATGAGGGTACAATCAGATTGGAAAGTACGTTCCTTTCTTCAACGTCCCTGCTACTGCCTAGTCTCCTCTCTCAAAGCAATGGATGGGCGCACTATTTGTCCCCGAGAACGTAAATCAGACTGGCTTCACCGTTCACGTGACATAGACCTTCTAGCCTCTCGTTCCCCCATGAACGAAACCTACCACGGTTGCACTCCCGCCCGATCCACAACCAGTCCGACCCGATCATCTCTGGCCCCCTCAACAACATCTTTGATAAACACCCCGCCTATTTCCGGCCCCTGCGCCCCCATCTTCTTCATAGCCTCCGGCCCCGCCCCTGTCAGCCCCGTTGCCAGCAGCCCAGGCGAAATGCACCATGTCTTCGCTCCATGTTCCTCCAGCCTATTGCACCACCCCCGCATCTGCATGTTCAGCGCCGTCTTGCTGCAGAGGTAGCCCCACGGGTACTTGAGCCCAGGCGGGGGGTTCTTGCCAGCAGTCGCCGTAGTCAGCGACGAAAGGCCGGACGTCACGAAGAGGAGGCGTGGGGCTTTGGATTTGAGGAGCAGGGGCTCGAAGACCATGGTGATGACTTGGGTGCTGGTTACGTTGAGGTTGTAGGCGCGGTTCATGGCGGTGCGGATGGAGGCCGGGGATTCGTCGGTCTTGTCGGTGTCGAATTGGCCGCCTGGGATGTTTGTTAGGTTCATTTATGTTGCAAAGAGTTGTGGAAGAGATGGGTATGTACCTGCGTTGTTGATCAAAACATCAATGTACCCGACGCTGGACTTCACTGTCTCGAAGGCTGCGGTGATGGACTCGTCGCTCTCGATGTCCACCTGCAGCGGCACGAGCTTGCTAGCGGTATCTGGGATCTCTTTCTGAAGAGCAGCAATGGCATTGTTGACTTTCTCGATTGATCTTCCGCCTAGCAAGATAGTATATGGACCTTTGGAGGATGCATAGAGGGCTTTCACGGTCTCGTAGCCTATCCCTGTATTTCCACCAGTGATGAGAACGATGGTGCTGTCAGACATTGTAGTTTAAAAATTGCAGGTACTTTGAGCTATTCGTAGGAAATGTTTTTGACAAATTTGGGTAGGATGTCGACTCTTATGACTCCATTGGTACGCCCGGCCTTGGGACGCCTAAGGGTCCGAGACCGAGTTCGGCGATAGTGGCGGACTTAAGAAGCTAAGCTTTCAACCACTCACAATTCGCACATTGTCAGCGTTTTTGGGGTTCGATCACCGGGTTACCATGCGCGGGAGAGTTGAAGTGAGATGTGCATGTTTCGTACATGACTATGACATGGGCGAGGCCATCGTCGGTATCCACGGAGACACTGCGCCTCAGTCTACCAAGCTTCATAAGGGATCCATGAGTCTAGCAGCCTCTCATGGAGATTCGCGCAGAACACAGTCCTCTGTTTGTCGAACTCCTACTCTTTTTTTACTTCTCTGGCTATGATTCCTTGAAAAAGCTGTCGGTAATAAGTCGAAGACAGCCCGAGTCTTTGTTTTCCCGTATAACAAAGGGAAAAGCGAGATCCAGAGGCACTTACACTTGACCACCCTATGGAACATCTTTAGCCAGTCTCATCTCTTCCTTCGAACTTATGAAGTGCATTCGGCGATAAGTATGGTGGACGACGCTTGAAGCAAATTGGTTGATCTCCAGCTCCTGCGAAGAAACGAGCCAGTCGTCAAGTTGCTGCTCCTGGTCCACCGGAAGATCCCTGAGCCCAAGTCGTACACATTCCTCCGATCGGAGATGGCATCGGAGAAAGGCTACAATTTAATGCTAATTTATAGCATCCGCGGCTAAGATACGGGGCCAAAGTATCGAATCTTTCAGCTGCCATGTGATATCAAACCTGCCATCGCTCCCTTACAACTCCAGGAGTACGTGCGGGTATCGTCTACATATATAATGAGACCTACCCTAATCTGTCTTCTAGTATGCTCTTTATGAAGATGGGCAGCATGAGATCATAGATCGAAGAACGTGTGGTGTCAGGTTGAGGTTGGTGGACGGAGTTGGGATGGATGTGGGGCGTAATTTCACTAGCAGTAATCTACGCTAGCACAGAATTGGAGGATACATTACCGCCCTTGCTACCCGCTCTTCCCATGATCCCCTTCGAGCTCTCCGCCTCATTCGCTCAATCCTCCCCATAATTCGCGACGCCAACTCGCCGAATCTCACGATAACTTTCCCCAAAAGCGTCTAGCGCCGAGATATCAGTTCTGGGGTAGAAGTAGGCTAACAATAATTTTCCATGATCGTACTTTTGCCAATAAGCTCATCGGCACGTAGAATATCTAAGATAAGCATTTTCTATAAATACGAGGTGTAAGAGCGAGGATTGCGCTGATTGGTATATGTGACTTGCCCATGTCTTGGGTTACTGAGGGGTCGGGTCTCATCAGGCAGAAGATGTTCTACGATCCTCAACATCGCGTGCTCCTCAAGCAACCAGAACACGACCGCTAGTATGAACCGTGACTAGACATCTTCCCTCGCACAGACCGAGTCGACATTGATTTCACTCGGGATGGGCTATGGATTGTTCGAGGCTGGTCGCAATGGTCCTGGCCACGCCGATGAAGGCGTCAGCCGAAACGACATCCAGGACGATCCCACGGAATGGAACACCGAATGGCCAAGGACTCAGGGACCTCGAGAAGACACCGATACAGTGCAAGATAAAGGCCTAGATGCGCTCGGGAACTCGAGCGATGTTTGGGATAAGATGAATCCTGATCAGTCAGACTTCAACCCGGAAACTCAGGTTCGGATGCTTGAGATACATCGTGCACAGATAGGAGGATGCGAATATACGATTCGTAATTTCAACGTCGATGATCTCGAAAGCCTTCACTACAAAGCTCTCTCATATGCATGGGGACAGCCATCCCATAACCCGCATACCATCGAGGTATCTGGAAACCCCTTCTATGTCAGCAGGACTCTCTGGAAATTCTTATCAGTCTCGGCAAACAAAAACCACCACTTCTATGGACTAATATTTATCGATGCCATTTGCATCAATCAGAGCAGAAGCAAAGAGAAAAGTCAACAGGTGAAGCTCATGGGTAACATTTATAGGAATGCCGACAGTGTTATTGTATGGCTAGGATGCCAGGACTACTTAGAGCACTGGCGTTGCCACGATTTAGATGTTGTCTTGACCAAAAGAAAAGGCCCTGAAAACTGGGAAACAAGCGAGCATTCTCTTTTCCAGGACATCTGTTCAGAACCCTACTGGACTCGCCTTTGGGTTGTACAAGAAATCATGCTAGCCCGGGAAATCACGATACAATACGGCCATTGGAGCTGGCGATGGTCAGATTTCTCTCGATTATTCGACTACGACGCATTCGTCTCCAACCACCCTTTCAACAATTCGGGAAAGAAAGTAAAGACTAGACACATTCTTCATGGGCAACCTGTACTCAACTGGGGCAAAGCTGGGCTCATCTTTGGGCATAAGTACGAATGGGATCGAGCGAGAAAACCTATTCCGGTATGGAGGGCGACGTACGACTTCCGAGATCAAGGCTGCTCTGACCTAAGGGACAAGATCTGGGGCCTTTTGGGGATCTTAGATGCTCCAGGGATTTCGCCCGACTATGGCCGTGTGTCTGTCTCCAGGCTGTTTGAAAATGTTCTGAAGCTGGGATTGAATGAGCTACATGAAGAGGAAATCCATGAGAGTGTTGACGCTTACACGTCTGAAACAGCATCATGGAATTTCAGAGACAACATTTCTCGGCGACAAAAATCGTTCATCTGGAGCCTGAGGAAGATGTTAAATATCGACGATCGAGTAGCTGATATCATCATTGAGCGCGTGTGTAAACATGTCGGGATATAAGGCGAGACCGTTGCAGCGGAGGGTACCATCGTTGCCCTCTCGTCGCTGAAGGGAGCCTTTAACAACCTGGAACGAATACAAAAATTTCATCTTAAGGTAAATGGCCATGAGCCGCACTTTGAATCATGGTTTGGTTGAGACGTACCGTTTTCTATTTTGCTTCCAATTCGAGGTTTTGGTGAAATTTGTTCGGCTTTAATAGGCTTTTTGTGTTTCTTCTCATGGCTGTTGCATTAATAACTCTTTCAACGGGTATTTCGCCCTTCAGAATTGGGGGAAGTGATGCTGATCCAAATCTGGACTAATAACACCAAAAGAGGCTAGCATCCTCTCGGGCTCGGCCTGAGCGCCGTGCGGCATGACGTGAAAGCTCTTCTTTGATGACTGTGCAGTGAACATCGCTTATCATAAATAATATATCTACTCGTCCTTCATCAGTGGAAAAACACAGACATACAAGGACTAACGCCACACTGAAGTAGAGACATTGTTTTCAACATTGTCCCAACGACAACAATCCCGGCTGCCGATCGAAGCACATCGCCTCTTCCGGCCATCATGGATCCATCAGCAACCTTCGCCAATTGTCAAGTCCACCAAAGCACCAGCGATACCTTCCAGCATGAGTGCCACACCAATACCAGCCAGTATGCCGTCCAGGACCTGGAGAAGCAAATCCGCGAGAGAAATAGCCGCGGGTGGCGAAAGATCGTCATCAACTTCACTCCATCATGGTTCTCTGTGAACATGGGCACGGGCATCGCCTCCATTCTCCTTCATAACCTACCTTATAACGGCCGATGGCTATATTGGATCTCAGTGGCCATTTTCTGCCTGAACGTCCTCCTATTCCTCACTTTCTTAGCGATCTCAGTCCTCCGATATGTCATGTTTAAAGGGCTCTTCACATTCATGATACGGCATCCTGTGCAATCGCTCTTTGTCGGGACATTTCCAATGGGCCTAGCTACTATCATCAATATGATTGTCTTCGTCTGCGTACCTGCATGGGGTCCTTGGGCAGTAACCTTGGCTTGGACTCTCTGGTGGATCGACGCAGCCATCTCCATCACGACATGTTTCTCACTCCCCTTCGTAATCATGAGTAACCATAAATCCGATCTCTCAACCATAACGGCGGCATGGCTCCTCCCCATTGTCAGCACTATTGTTGCATCCGCTTCCGGCGGCATCGTAGCCGAAGTCCTTCCAAACCCTCAGCACGCGCTATGGACGGTTATCATCTCTTACATCCTCTGGGGCACTGGCTTCCCGCTCGCGATGGTAATCTTAGTCATGTACTTCCACCGCCTAACCATCCACCACCTCCCACCACGCGAGGTGATCGTCTCAGTCTTCCTCCCACTCGGTCCGATTGGTCAAGGCAGTTTTGCCTTGATGCAGCTCGGCAAAGTCGCCTTGAAGATATTCCCAATCACAGGAACCTTCGAACCCGATAGCGGTCGCTTCTTCTACAATCTCGGGAACTACGCAGCCCTGATAATCTGGGGCTATGGGCTCGTGTGGCTCTTCTTTGCCCTCGCGAGTATCAGCCGGAGTAGATTCCCCTTCAACATGGGTTGGTGGGGTTTCACGTTCCCGTTAGGGGTGTATACAGTCGCGACGACTACGCTCGCAAAAGATCTACCAAGTGATTTCTTCAAAGTGCTAGGAACGATCTTCTCGGTGACGGTCGTGCTTTTGTGGTTGACGGTCTTCCTGAAGACGCTCCAGCGGGCGGCTACAGGGAAGTTGTTCTTTGCTCCTTGTGTTAAGGATTATGAGGCGCAATTGGCACAGAAGACAGCAGGGTCGGGTATGGCAGAAGGTGATTCAGAAGCACAGTCGAAGTCATGATAAGAGTAGAAATGCCAGCCCCGACTGTTTGTACACTAATCTCAACTAGTTCTGTTTATACATTTCTCTGCCTTCAGCGCTTCCTTGTTTACTACTAATCGGCTCATATGACGTGCATTCCTCTCATTAAGAGATAATTGGAGAAGCCTCGCCTCGATAGGCACAATGTCAAGTCACATGCCTATCACATGACCTCTGATCAGGCTTGGCTAGAAGACGTAAAAAGCTGCCACAAACATGCTGTCCTGCTTTAGACAACTTTTCCATTGGGATTTGGGCAAACTACAGTTATCGAACTCCTTCATTGGTTAGATCAACAGTGCGAATAGCCAGATCTACGGCAGTGTCTGGTTCTCGTTCATCATCATTTCAAATTGGACACTACCTGCGCCCATTCTCATGCCCTCACTCTATCATCTCCCCCGTGCTGTCAACACTACCGCTCTTTCCCCTGAACTGCCAACGTTCGCCATTCCACATCCCTGAAGCTCATCATCCTCAACTTCCGTTGACCCCTCCGCGCTCCAAGCCCCTCCCAACATCATCGGGCGTTTCTTCAACATATTTCACAGTTCTGCCGCCTAGCCATTGTCAGTGCTCTCGTCGTCGAGGTGTTTTATCTTCCCAAAACCCAGGCGGCACCATGGCAGAGTGTACAGTGGAATTTTGATCCGAACCATGGCCGCCTTTCGGCCTCTCTTTTGATCATCCACTGCCAGAACCATGCAGGGTCCAGTGAATCCTTTTTGATCCTCGGACGAGGGCTTCCACGGAGAAGGAAGTCTAGGTGGACGAGGTCGAGGATTTATAGGAGATGTGGAGGACGGGATGTAAGGAGCACGTGGAGAGCACGTGAGACCAACAGCTGAGATATGACATCCCCGGAGGATGAGACCACACGATGGCCGCTCAGGTAGATACTGGGTACAAATGGTAGCAAAAGTATCGAATCGAACCGCATGAAAGCCGTTTTGGCAGACGTCGGGAGGAAACGATCACGCAGTGTCCCATTCCAAGGCAAATAGACTGTATGCGCTCGCCCTGGTCACTAGTGTCAACAAAATCAGCGAACCAAACCGCGTAAAAGTTAGATTGGTAGACGAAGAGTCGTTGGAGATACATTGCGTGCCCGACCACGCGTCTATGCAGCCTTGGACCCTTCCCTGTGAGAATGTGAGTAATTCTTTCGGATCGAGTCGTGCATCACTATGGACACTATCGCCAGCGTTTGGTATTGGAAGATAACCATAACTTTTCTTGTATTTTCTTAGTTACACCAGCTACCATATCTCCTCAAAAGTGCCGCCGTTGCCTTTTGTACTTCCCATGGACCCCCAGAACTCTGCACACGTTATGCTGAGCCACAGCTGTCTTAGTCTACCTAGCAAGTTTGGAGGTCGTTCAGAGGGATCAAACTCCGTGTCTTCCAATCTGTATGAATGTGCTGAAGTACCACTGACGTCGGCCGGCATCCATAGAGACTTATAACGGAGTACTGTATCAGTAGCTCTGCACGAGAATTTGTGCGCCTAGTAGGGTCCTGCATATATGACACCACCCTTCGGAATTCCTTCCTAGACTTCCTGAATCTCGAGATCATCGCATTTGTGTGGGCGGGAGCCCGCATATCGGTTTCTCCTTACCTCTTGGTTCGATGAAGGGAGGAAAGTCTTGCAATACTCCATCTGTTCTTTGAAGTAGTCCCCAAGCGCCTTGTTCTTGGGTGCTTGGTGGTTGTAGATCTGAAGGAACTCTGGCAGGTCGAACAGCAACTTATTCCCGGCTTCATCAGCTGTTAGGAAGGCGTAGCGTAAAGCATTGGCCTTGTATTTGTGACATTCTTCAACTTTGATCTCTCGGTGTTGGATGATTGCGATGGTCCACTCTCCGGTCTGAATCGGTCGCGGGCGTTGCATGTCCAGGCCACCCGCTATATCCCAGTCCTTCGGATCCATCTCAATGTACGCGAGGCCGAAGAGATAGGCTGGTAACGCGTTGACCTGTGTTCTTGACCAGGGGGTTATCAGCGACAAGCATTCAAATATCTTCCAGTAGTTACTTACATGACCTGAAAGTGCAAAGCAGTAAGCCGCTGCTAGTGCTGTCAACGCCTCTTCCTCTTCTTCCCATTCCTGTCCCCTCTTCGCCAGATATTCAATGAGCCGAGCCACCCCTCGCACTAAATTTTCGATGCTAAGGTGGTGATCCCACAATGCGAATGTAGAAACGTCATAGCTACCAGCGCCAGTAATAATGTAATTAGTCTGGGCCAGGAGTAGCTGAATGATCGGGCTCTTGCTCCGCATATCGACGCTGCTGCTATAAACTATAGGAGATATGGGCGGGGGTTCTCTGAAAGAACGGCGAAAAAGTTCCGGCGAGACTATTCGAGCTAAAATTTCAGAGCTGGCGTTCTCGATATCCTCTAACGAGAGCTGGTTGTCGAACTTGATGATCTCATGAAGGAAGGGTGCCGATTTGGACACTTGAGCAAGGAAATCTAGGGTAGCGTGGACATTCCACGTGAGATCCACAGACTTTGGTTTCACGATAGCGATGAGGTCTTTCACACTTAGGTTGCAAATTGACGTGAACTCTGTTTGATTTGTGAAGCCGTACGAGCAGACTATATACTACATAGGGAGCGTAGGCATAAGTACTAATTAGAGGCAGCAGTAGGCAGCGGTAGGCAGGGTAGGCCACCGTACCCCAACCCCTCTCTGTAGAAGTTGTAATTGGCTAGGCACGTAGGCCGGAAACCCTGAGTTTCACCGTCGACACTAGAAGATCGGGGAACATGCTCAAATCCAGCACTCCGGAAGCCATGTTGATGTCTGGGTGAGCGAACAGGAAATCGCGGAATGTCTGGAAGAAATCAGTCGAGACCTTGATTCCTGACATCCAGGCCTGATGTCTGGGATCGTCCAAAGTACGGGATAGGATGTTTAAAGTTTCTTGGAGCACACTGGTGGTAGAAGAGCCAACAGTACTGCGCGGAGGGTTCGAAGAAGACAACTCCAGCGCCACTGGATCCTCGTCGTCCAGCCCAGCTTGGACACGTCCCACCCATCCCAGCCCTGGCCAGGCTGATTGTAGAGTCTTCAAGTCTATGAGGGGCCAAAGAGAGTACTGTGGAAGCAACTCGCCGAACCTAGCATACCAGTCGCATCCATTTTTTCTGCCATATGTAGAAAGGTATTCAGAAGCTGTTATGGGAGCCATCGTCCAGCGTGCAGCTTGGCGATATCCATCTTTGTCAAGGGTTTCGCTGTTAGAATCGCCTAACTTGACGAAACAATACCGAACGGCAGCAGGATTCGTGATATCAATGATCATGTTGTCATCAGGAACGAAATCATCTTCACGCCCATCATCGCCATCGCCAAAATGCACACTCCGCGGATAAAGGAGTATTCGGCATTCCGACTAATTTTCAGCTCTGAAGTCATGCCAAGTAATACGCAAGTTGTGATAAATGGGAACTTCGATGAGTAGAAGTCATCACAATCGGCTGTTCCAACAGGCACCGGATTATAATCGTCGCCACGGCCGCTTCGCTCCATTTTGTCAAACCAACCACCTTCTTCGGCAAGCGCTTCGGCGGTCTTAAGCTCATGGCGGAGAAGTGTTCGATTTGCTGGGTCTTGAAAGATGTTGAGCGCCGCGAGATAGCCTATGTGTCGGATCAGTCTTTGGATAGTCCTTGCTAGGGCGGTCACTTCGAGACCCATGTTCTCTTCACTTACTGGTCAAAAGTTAGCTGTCGTCGTACATGCTTGGATGAACCGCGGCGACAAGCCCACAGTATCTGTCTCCAATCTTTGCAATGATGTAGACCTGATGTGGCTGCGCCATAGTGAGATGGTGATGTAGCTGCGCCATAATGAGATGCAATGGCCTGCAACCGTTTTGGAGTTGACAGGTGTGGTGTAGGTGTGAGGTGAAAGGTGGGGCGCCTCTCTGGAGGAACTCAGCGCGCGGCAGATTCCGTTTGCTGCCTGGTGTATTGTGTGGCCGCACTCTTGGCAATACTTTCATCCGAAGTGAGTTGAGAAATGATAGAAGATTCGAGATTCCACTTTGGAGTCATTCATTGTGTTGTGTAGACAGTGGAGTAGTGACAAAGTTTTACTTCCATTCACACATTACGAACACTTCACCTGGCCAAAACAAACTGAACTTGAAGTCCTAGTAACTGAAGGGCTATTCCGATTCCAACAGGAAAGCAGGAGATAGTTCCTTCCGTCTACTTGCATGAAAACCTCGATGTCGTGATCTTCATTGACTCGCTGTCTGAACTCACAAGTGACTTGTCATAAGTGAATCGGAATACGATTCTTCAACAATTCCCTCGATACCTATCTCAGATTCCTTGCTTTGATCTAGAATCCTGTAGGCATTACCCAGCCATCTAGCTGCCAGCTTCGTCATATGCCAACGCCGATCCGTCCATATCTAGCTTCTCTCTAAGTCCAGAATCAGCCACTGCAACTACTTGCAATGCCTCTTGAAGCTCATCGTTCCCGCATTGCGTAACCGAAAAGCTAGTGTAGTTTATCATCTCCGAAAATTCGGCCTCGATCTTTGCGTGGGCTACGGTGCAGTTGGGCAAATTCTGCTGTAGGAATTCTGCTAGGTCTACTGTCTTCAGATCTCCATGCTCGTCAGATGTGACTTAAGGCGTACCGAATCCCACCTATTCGGTTTTCCATCATCGAGGTTGCTTCTTGGGTAATCAAGACTGTCAATTCGCCTTGCCGAATCGGTCGGGATTCTGGATAGGATTTGCGACTTCCTCTTGCAACGCTCTTTGCTAAACGGTAAAGGTCGGCTGGCAGAGGATTAACTAGATTCTCAGACTTTACGATCGTCAGCATTTGGTAAAAAGAATCGCCGAGGCGGATGAAAAAAAACCATTGACGCTGAAACGTACCTGACTTGATGTGCGAAGCAGAAGGCCACGGCGAAGCCAGTTAACCCCATGTCGAATGTGATAGGTTTGTCCAAGTCCCAGCAATAGGGATGGTTGCTCACTAGATACTTGATGAAGTTGCCAACTCCTCTGACTATGTTTTCCACAGACAGATAATTGTGTAGCAGTGGAAATGCAGCAACCCTGACAGAGTCACGCAGGGAAAACACAAGGTCATCGTCTATGATGGAGTTCGCCCAAGGGCAACCTCCATCTCTGAGACGCAGCATTTTCTCGTTCTGGCCGCAAACCCAAAGCAACTGAACGACCGGAACCCTCACGTTTGTTGAGTATCCATTGTTGCGAGGAGACGTGAACTCGAAGTCCTCGAATGCTCGCTGGTACAATCCGGGGAAATGAAAGCTGCATCCAAGCGCCTGTGCGACGAGTTTCATCGTGTCATCAACGCTATAATGCATATCGAACTTAATGAGTTGGCGTAGGAAGGGCCACCCCAGAAGGCGAAGACTCAGTTCCTTTGGTGAGACGAGCAGATTGCCTGTCAGATCTAAAGTTTTGGGTTTCACCAACATGACAAGCTTCGTTGACTGCAGACTCGGGCAATTTAGTGAACACGGTCAAGTCCAACATCCCAGAGGACAAATCGCCAGTCTTGGAGAGGATTCGGTGTAGTATTTGTGGAGCATTCAGTGAAGCTCCAACCATTTTAGAATGGGCAAAAAGATATTCCCTGAAATCCCGAGAGAAATCTGGCAGAATTTCGGCTTCTGTGATCTAATCGCGGTAGTACTGGTCAGTCAAAGCCGCTTCAAAGTCTTTGATCATGGAGATATCTCGGAGAGACCGTGTTCCCTTTTCGTACGCTTGGCGGGGCGAAACTTGCCTAGAACCTAGATTAGATTGCTCTGGTAGCTCATCACCGACACGACCTTTCTATTTGGAAAAAGGGTTCTCGCGCCTCGAATTTGGCTATACAGACGCCAATGCCGCGACGTCAATGAGGGAGTGGCGGCCGAAGATGTGAACTAATCTCTTGTATCGGTCATTCCATCTATTTTTCAGCGTGTCCCTTAGTCTACTGTAATAGAATGTCAGATAGTCGGTGGCATCCAATGCAGACCCCGTCAAGCGTATTAGTGCATTTTGGAGTGGGCGAGTGCTTATGAAGCAGTACCGAACAGCCGCAAGATTAGTTGATGTCGACAATTGTATTGCAACCGTCGTTATCGGCCCGTTCAATGTGGAGATTCCAAGGAGTCAGTATCAGCCGAGAAGAAACCCTGCCTCTGTTCAGTGCAGCGGATATTCCGAGGACCATGCAGGTTGTTATGAACGAGAACTTGGAGAGGCTAGGGCCTTCGTCCGGTCGATCTTCATCGTCCAACCAATCTTCATTCCGGCGGTATCCGTGCCATTTGCTCCATTCTCCCTCGTTGTAATCCTCTTCACTGAGCAAACTTGCATCATATAGCTCATGTTGAAGAAGGGTTCGGTTGTCTGGGCTCTGGAAGATATCAAGTAATCTGAGACAGCCTGCATTTACGATCAGCATACTGTATTCCAAAATATTACTTGAGCTTAGACGTTCGTAGGTCTGAGCATCAAAGCGTTTGAATGCCAGCAGTCTCTTCTAGACTCTACTCTTACTCACATTCAAGAGCTGTTGCACCAGAGCTACTACTGAAACCGAGATGGGTCTCATAATTAGCCGCAGCTAGGCCATGGTACCGGTCTCCGGTCTTCGAAATGACGAAGACTTGATGACGGACGTCATGCTCATACATGGTAAGCTTGTGGGGCTCAATGCCAGGTGATTGTGAGCTGCGACATCTTGCAGGACGTTGAACGTTGGGGAGGAGTGTTAGAATAGCGAGACGGCTAGTTCCGTTCCCTGCGCAACGGGATGTAGCACCGCTTTTATCTTTGTACAGACTGTTCTATGGGTCCTAATAGAGACAAAAACGCGATTTCATCATTTTTCAAGGACATAAATCCGAGAAAGATGACCCAATTTTGGTAATTATTCTACATTTACTTTTGTACGTCATAGAATATTCTACATTCACTTATAGAGTGATGGAACGCTTCAAATCGATGTTATGAGACCTTCGCTTATCCCAAGCGCTGGCTTCTAACCTAAGGTACATTCCGGGAACTTCAAAGGTCATTCACGATCTTGCCGCAAAGCTGTCCAAGCCCGTCGCTCGACTTTACAAAATCCGTACTTCCTTGTCAATAGCCATCAAAGCTTCGCTAAGCTCGAGATCCCCACATATCCGATGCTGGGAGCCCATGCCTTCCTCAGGAGCTGCCATGTACTTTTTGCACCACCTCTCCCTCAATCTGAAATCTTTCTCCAGTTCTTCGTCGATATCCGAGGACGTGTGTGGAAACTGCTTGAGGAAGTCCGAACCTCCAAAGCCTTTGACGCAGCCCGACTCGTCGGCCGTGACGAAGGCGTATCGAATCCCGGAAGTTTTGGGGGAGCCAGAACCGTGGATCCTGGCTTCTTGGATGAGGAGGATTGTCCATTCCCCCGGCTGGATAAGTCGTCCTTCCTCGAAGTCTGGCGGGCCAGGTAACCCGGTTCGTCGATTGTCGTAGGGCCGCATTTCGCTCTTGGACCAGCGGCAAAGATGCGTTGGGAGCGGGTTGACTTCGGTTATGTCCTTTTGAATGGTTAGCTTGGGTAGAGCATGGAAATGCTTATTGAGGGATAAAACAATTGAGATTAGAACAAGAGAGTTTAAGCGCTGGCCCAATCTTAACGTTCCGGAACAATAAATCTTGTGCAGTTCTGTTGTAATCCATCGGGACTTCCCAAACACCTGCAGCCATCTTGGAAATAAGACATTCCAGACTAACGATTCTCAAAAAAATTGATAATGGAACTTCAGGTTTTAGACACACTTGCCTGACCAGAAAGTGCGAAGCAGTATGCCGCTGCTAATCTAATTGCTCCCATATCGAAGTCGGTGATATACTTTAGGCGAGACTCCGCCGTCTCTCGAACCAGAAAAAAGGTCAATCGACGGATTGCTCTAAAGATATGTCCTGTAGAGAGTAGATTACCTACTAAGCTGAACGGGATTAATCGAGAACGAGTGCCAAGTTTCGTCCAAGGGAGCCCTCCGTCTTGGAGGCGTTCTCCGCGGTGGCCGCCGCCTCCTATCCATAGCATTTGGACAACGGAGTGATTTGGGTCGAACCCACCTGGGCTTGGAGAATCCCATGTGAATCTTGTAAAGGCACTGCGAAAGTTTTTGGGAATATTGACCCTAATTCCTTGATGCCGCTTTATAAGACTGGTCATGGCTTCGGGGAAAGACAGTGTGTCAAACTTGGTTACAGTATGGAGGAAGGGCTTCCATTCAGGTAGGTAATGATCGAAGACCTCAGGCGTGAAATGAATATTGTGGGTCAGGTCTACAGACTTTGACTTGATCATCGTCATAAGCTCGCGAACTGCGGGCGGAGTCATCTTTGGGAACATGCCTAAAGATAGGGGAAGAGTTAGCAGATAAGCGCCAGAGGAGACCGTCGGCACAACTATACTACTTACTTAGGTCTAGATGCTCGGAACTAAGGTCGGCAATCTTTCGAGCGCACCCGATATATGAGAGCTGAAGCAGTCGGAGAGTCTGCAACTATGTCCGGATGGGTGTAGATGAAGTCCTGGAAGTCTTGGAAGAAACTAGGTAGTACTTCTGCATCCGATATCCAGTTCTGATAGTTCGGATCCCTTAGAGCCTCCTCAAAAAGCTTGGCAAGCGAGATTGTTCGAAGGTCCAAAGCACCTGTTCGAACTGGCTCGGCAGGGGGTGAAGGCTTCTCCGGCAAACCTGCCTCTGCGCGACTTATCCAGTTTCAGAAATTCCGAGACGTCCAGGCCGATTCCATGACCGTCATGTCGTGTAAGAGGGGCCAAGTATCAAATTTTCGGATCAATTCCTTCCAACAGTCTAAGGTGAAAGCCATATTCCTTGTGTTCTTGGGCGGGTACATAGAGAGGAATTCGGCCGCATCGAGTGGGACCAAAGTTGCAGGCTCTGGGTAATGTTGTTCATTCTCTTCGGGATTGATAAAGCAGTATCGAAGAGCTGGCGGGTCAGTTATATCGATGATGGTGCTGCCGTCATCGTCGCGGTTTCCAACAAATTTTGTATCGAACCGATCTAGTACTACCCCCGGATTGATCCTGGAGATTTTTATATCGGCGGACATGCCGAGTACTAGGCAAGTCGTAATAAAGGGGTACTTTGCTATGTATGCGCTACTACCGCCATTGTCAGGATCTGATTGATTTTTTGCACTGATCTCATTGTGCGTATTCTGCCCGGTAAGAGCTCCACTGTAGGAGCTCGTGTCGTAAAAGGGATAGACTCCTGTTGCAGTAGTAACGTTGCCGCCGGGATCTGGATCGTTTTCGGAGCGTTCGTTCTGACAATCTCTAGTTGAATGCTGTACGGTTAGGCTGCCTTTTATAGTTGTGTCGGCACTGAATGAGCAAGTCTCACCCTCGGGGCTGTTATCGCGATCCGTACGTGGGTGGCCGTCATTCACCTCGACCTCGCCGCAAGAATCTTGTAAAGCTGAAATGTCTTTGTTGCTCGCATTACCAGTGAATGAACTAGCCTCGACCACACCACGGCCATTGCCACTAGCAGGCGATCCAATCAAATCTTCATTGGTGTGGTTCTCTTTGTGAGGATCTTGTATGACTGAGCTGCCATTCTCGTTCTCGTTTGTAGGCATTTCCTCGATCCTGGCAGACTCAATCTCGTGAAGAAGAAAGGCTCGATTGTTCGGGTCTTGGAAGATGTTGAGTAGTCTTAGGCAGCATTTCAATGCCGACCCGCCCTTCAACCCCGGAAGGTGCGCAACTGCCAGCCCCTGGTATCGATGTCTAATCTTAGCAATGATGAAGACTTGGTGATGGGGAGGCCGGCCGTCTGAGTCCGAGTCCGACACCGACATGTCTACTAGGAAAGGATCGCCGGTGGTAGCCCTGCGATGCTGGTGCGAGGTTGCGAATTTTAACAATGTGTTTGCGGATGCTCTGCGAAATTGTAGGCAGGTGGTGGTAGTACTGGAGTCTTCGAAGCAAAAGTTAAAAAAGCAATATTGGGCAAGCTTAATGTAGAGACGAGTTCCATCTACGTGACAAGTCAGGTATGCTTCCGTAATTTTAGTGATTGAAAGGATGTGTTTCGGAAGCTGCGAGGGACTCCGAGCTAGAGACTACTAAATTGCTGTGAAGGGTTCCTTACATGTCTCTAATGCCGCTTGAGGTGCTTCAAGGCATTTTCAGAACTCGAGGAGATTCAAATACATCTTTCTGACAGGCCTCAAGTCGTACCGGGACACCTAGGCGGCGGTAGATAGGCGTGTATAGACCGGACCTATGGCACATTACTTCAGGTTCCTTATTGTTCTGTTAACGCGCCACAAGCCGTGTAAGAACTACGCCAGGAATCCTTTGTCCCAGTAGTGTATATTGTCTAACGCTATTACTACTGTGCACGCTTGTGGATAGCGCTGAGGCGCCATGCACTGGCTTACGATCTGACCTATCCTAGGTATACGCGTTATAATACTACTAGACACCACAACCACCGCCAGAGCGAAAGAAAGAGTAAATGGGAAAGGTCTGGACGTTCCCGAGCCAATATTGGAGCCTATAGAGCGCTATAAGCCGCGTAAAAATACCGCGAGAATACGCTTCTATAGATGCTCAACCAACTGTTTTGCTAGCGAGCGATTGCTATTTCACGCTTGTTCAAGAAGCAAGCATGGAGCGTATACCTTACGATAGATCTGCTTTTACATTTCCGGACGGCGTATCAGGGATACTAGGCTCCTGGAAAAGGCCGAAAAGACCACATGGGATTAGGAGGGGACAGCTTGTGATCCATGCAAATACCGAAGTACGAGATCAGAGGGGGCCGTAACCACTGGAATGTACAGTTTTAACCATAATGAGCCTTCCGTTGTATCTACTAGGCTTAGAGCCCATGGTCGTTTCGCCTTGCTTGTGCTGTTCAGTGAGTAGGAGAACGGGAGTCAGCTAGAGCAGTCACCCATAGAGAACAGAGTTCCCCGCGACCGTTTTGTTAGACCTGGTCGTCTGCAAAGGAATCTTCCCCTGCAGCAGATGCAGGACCCATCTTTGCGCCAGATCCTTCTCCTGCCTCTTGCTCATCTGTGCCCGTATCTGGCGAGGGGATCTTCGGAGATGAACGAGAGCCCTTGAAGATCCAGTCCCTGACGTAGTCATACTCCTCAGCTTTGGCTCTGATCTCAGAGTTGACCAGATCCAGGAGCTGCTTCAGCTCCTGGATCTCCTCAACTCCACGTTTGCGGATGGGGCAGAGGTTTAGGCTGTCCTCAGCTTCAGCCATAACCCTATGGCAACTAGTCATCTCGTCCTCGAAAAACCGCTCGAGCATCTTGGTGGTAGTTGATGGCACCCCAGATAACTCCTGGGGGAACTTCTGTAGAGTAGAGACAATTGTATTTCCGGTTTCGTCTGCTGCAACGAACGCGTACCGGAGACTCATGGTTCCGAAAGAGCCATTAACGATCAGTGCGTCGCTGCGGGCTCTGAGCGTCCCCGTTTCCTGGATGAGCACGATTGTCCATTCGCCCAGGTTTATAGAACATGGTTCCGGGAGGATCTGGTGATATGGCTTGTGGAAGTCTTTGCATATGCGGTAAGTATTCGCCAGTAATAGACTGACTTGAGTTTCAGACTTCGTCATGTCAGCAATTCACAAATTTGCTGGAAAGGGGCTGGGGATCTTTTTGTTCTTTTTTGGGATCGAGAAATATAGAGGCGTGGAGAGGTCGAAATGGAATGATGACGAGAGGTAAAGGGATTTGAGCGCTTGCATAAGCCTTTGAGAGTCCGAAGGAACCACATATAGCGGGCGTAGCCATCAAATGGTTTCTTTGCAAAGGAGTTGACGCACATCGAGAAATTACAGATGAAATGTACACAGACCTACATACCATACTCACTGCAGGTAAGCAAGTATGACGAATAACGGAAAGTGGCACGTCCAGTGGTGCACATAAATACTGGCAAGATATCTTGTGTTATACAAAGCTCAACACCTACAGTTATTCTGCCGTCCCCGCACTGAGGATCAAATTTCCCCCGTATGCATTGCTTTCAACGCCCAAACACCGACCATGCATTGTGGTTGCAGTGCTCTCTTGCTGCTGGATAATACTATCAGATCAGAGAAAAGAAACTAACGACAGCTGGCCCCTCTCAGTGCTTCCCCTTCTTTTTGTTCTTCCCCTTCGGTCCACCCGCTGGCGAGTCCACCAACACCGCGTCGTCGTCGCTACCAATCTTCGCCGCTGCTGGCTTGGCGCTGTTGCTGCTTGGGTTTGAAGCTAACGCTGGTTTCGTTGTCTTTTCCTCGTCTAATTCCTTCATAAGCCCTGAGGAGATATCCGCCTTCCGCTTCTCCCACCACTCCTTCTCAGCGCTGGCTTGACCCTGAATCTCGGTGATGCGGGTGCGGATTTGGGCGTTCTGGGCCATTTCGGAAGCGGATTGGAAGATAGTTTGGCCCCAGTTCGGAGAGAATGCGTTGGCCTGTGACAGTTAGCACTCGCCTCCCACAAATCCACATTTGTATAGGTAGTCTCGTACCTCGCTAACAACATCCCTCAACTCTTCCTCGATCTCCTTCTCGGCCCTCTGAAAGCGCTGCCATAGATCATCCCCTACACTGCCCCTCTGCAACAGCGTGCTCAGCGCCTGCTTCGCATTCCTGATCTGCACAATACGGTGAATATCCTCTGTTGCTCTCCGCAGCAGCGCCGCCTTGAGGTGGCCGTCCGAGACCTTGGGCGAGCCCGCTTCGGGCTCTTGATGGAGGAGGGTGAGGTAGATGTCCCGTTGGAGATGTTGCCCGAACCACGGCGCCAGCGATGCCGACTTAGAGGCCTTGCGCTTGCGGTACAACGAGGAGAACACGCTGAGGGAGCCGACGAGAATGCCTATGTAGGCGAAGGGGATGGCGAGCCCGATCCAGTCGACCATGTTGGAGATGCGCCCAGCGAGGGGCTCTGTGAAATCCCGAGACGGTGACTGTGCAAAAGCGGGCGTATTGCAGGTGGCGGCGCGCGATGCGTGTGCGTACAGAGGGAGGTCACTGTCGGGGGTGGCTCGATGTGTCCACTGCACCTGCAAGCCAAATAATATTGAGGCCAGAGTTGCAGTCGCGGAGGAGCCTTGGCGAAATCCAGTAGGGCTGAAAAATACGGAACCCGATATCGCCGTGACGCGCAGTATGATTACGTCGGGCCTACACAGCTAGCTACACCCTGGCGTGCCTGCCTTCTGACGCCTTCCACCACCACCTACAAGCCATTACGAACCACCCTGCCGCCTGTCTCTGCCTGCCACCCTCTTCACCTGCGTGTGGCTCCCTTCCCTTACTGAACATCTAGTTTTCATCGCCCCAGAACCTCTACACCACACACCAGCTTGCCGTTAATATGATACTGAGATTCTTTAGCCGCGAGGGGCAGTTCCGCCTCGACGTGCAGCCCTCTACGACTTTCACAGATATCATACCTCAAGTCGCCGAGAAGCTGCCTAAAACGGTCGACATAAAGTCCATATCTGTGAGCAACAAGCCGCATGGCGGCGATCATAGGAAGCTCAGCACGCTGAAAGGCGTCACGTTTGGCCAGGTGGGCCTCAGGTAGGCAAGACTATTGTCAAAATGCCACGGCGCTGACGCCGATTTACAGCCACGGAGCTCCTCTTTACCTAGATTTCACCGATCAGCAGTCGGTATCCAACGGACACTCAGAGCCCGGAGCTACTTCGAACCGTTTGAACGGCCGCGCCGTGTCACCCTCAGAAGCTGCACCCGTCACGGTCCCGCTAGGATCGCCTACACAGCTCATAAAGAACCCCTGGGAGGTCGTGAAGCAGTCACCTTTGGACGACAGACTAGACAAGCTCGATAGCAAGATACCCCGAAAGCTCGATCAGAAGATGTGCAGGCACGGGCCGAAGGGCATGTGCGACTATTGCATGCCTCTGGAGCCCTATGCGCCCGAGTATATGCTGGAGAAGAAAATCAAGCACCTCTCCTTCCACTCGTACCTGCGTAAGATCAACACCGGGAAGAACAAGCCAGAATCGGGGACCTCATACATGCCGCCACTCAGCGAACCATACTACCGCGTGCGACCAGATTGCCCAGCAGGACACAAGCCTTTCCCCGAAGGCATCTGCACAAAATGTCAGCCCAGTGCGATATCGTTACAACCGCAGGAATACCGAATGGTGGATCATGTCGAATTTGCCTCGCCTGACCTCATAAACTCACTTCTGGATTTCTGGAGGACAAGCGGGAGCCAGCGACTGGGTTTTCTCTATGGAAGATATGAGGAGTACACCGAGGTGCCGTTAGGAACAAAGGCTGTCGTTGAAGCCATCTACGAACCCCCGCAGATCAACGAAGCCGACGGAGTTTCGCTTGGAGAATGGGATAATGAGAAGGAAGTGGATGAGATCGCGAGATCATGCGGGCTAGAGAAGGTCGGGGCCATCTTCACAGATTTACTAGATTCAGGAGAAGGAGACGGCACCGTGATATGCAAGAGACACATCGACTCCTACTTCCTCTCATCACTGGAAATTCAATTTGCTGCACGGTTACAGGCCAAGTACCCAAGACCCACGAAATGGAGCGAGACTGGAAAATTCGGATCGAACTTTGTTACTTGTGTGATCAGCGGCAATGAAGACGGCGAGATTGGCATCGCTTCATACCAGGCTTCAAATGCGGCTGTGGAAATGGTCAGGGCGGACATCATCGAGCCATCTGCTGAGCCGTCGGTAATGCTCGTCCAAGCGGAAGAAGACAACGACGTCCTCAACAAAGCGAGATACATCCCGGAAGTCTTCTACCGTCGAAAGAATGAATATGGTGTCAACGTTCAGGAGAACGCGAAACCCTCGTTCCCAGTAGACTACTTACTGGTTACTCTCACCCACGGCTTCCCCAACGAATCAAACCCAATCTTCATAGGCCCGAAGTTCACGATCGAGAACCGAGAGCTTATCGGCCAGATGCAAGAACCATCAACCTTGTCCAAGGCATTGAACGCGAAGGCGAACGGCGTTGCTCTGAACACGTCGAGTGGAGTCAAGTCCGTGTCTGATTTCCATCTCATTACCTTCGTCCACAAGCTTGGCATATTAAGCAAGGTACTATTCCCTCGAATTTTGTCAAGATCTCTAAGAACTAAACACTCCATCCACTAGGACGAAGAAACCCTCCTCTACCGCGTCGCAAGTAAACACGACCTATCACAAGGCCTGCAGCTACAGCATAGCCCAGGATGGGCGACTCTTCTGACCATCCTGAAAGAAAGCGGTGAGAGACCCCCTAAACGTGCAACTCCTCATCGCGACTTCTCCCCAAGCGATAGCACAGAACAGCTTGCTAAGAGGGTTAAGGGGGTTAGCCTGAAGGGAAAATAATTGCATATTGTTTTTCCTTTTGCTACTCTTTTGTGTAGGTTCGCCCACGTATGTAGACTTCAGAAGTCATGACCCGATTCGAACGAGCTAAGCTGGTGCTGGGGCGAAATGGAATGGCTTTTGGGGCATCTGGGGAATGTTCCTAATCGTGTCATCTGCACATTCGATGATGAGAGCCAGGGCAATAGCTAGATTGCACAATATGAATGACATTGGAACTGAACTTTGTGCTCTATTGTGATGTTGTGTATGGAAACACGATTTGATAAGAACACTATCAGAAACGTCACCTAGCACCTCCTTCAGATTCTTGAAAGCATAATGAAGCACTACAGACAGTCCAAATGACACTCGTGGGATATATTGATGGGAGGCTAAAGTGGCGCACGTGACAAGCGCGTAGATTTGTTCGACTTTCGCGTTCCTCGCGTCGTTCCTCAACACCAAGCCCACATCACCAACTTCAGCCAATACAACCCCTCAACAATGGCCAGCTTCTTCGACATCAAAGCCCGTCAGGCGGCTGCGGCTGCCGCAAGCTCTTCAAAAGCTCCGACTACGAAACAAGAGAACAATCGCATGCAGCCATGGGTTGAGAAATAGTACGTTCAATACACCCTGTTCCTTCAGATTCTCGGTCCCTTGGACAGCAATACTCAACTATAGAATCTTTCTTGCCTATCTACACTCTTTCTCTTCCAAAGATGCATCTACGAGTAGCTCAAATAACTCCCCCAGCTAACCCCTCCATCCACAGCCGCCCTCGCTCTCTCAACGAAGTCACCGCCCAAGACCACACGATCCAAATCCTCTCGCGCACCCTCCAATCCTCCAACCTCCCCCACATGCTCTTCTACGGCCCGCCCGGCACCGGCAAAACCTCCACCATTCTCGCGCTCGCAAAGCAGCTCTACGGGCCCGACCTCATCAAATCCCGCGTGCTCGAACTCAACGCCTCCGACGAGCGCGGCATCTCCATCGTGCGGCTGAAAGTCAAAGACTTCGCGCGACAGCAGCTCAGCAACGCGCCGAACTACAACGTCATGGTGGACGATGGCACGGCCGCTGGATCGAAGCAGGTCAGGTATCGGGATAAGTATTCGGCGCCGCCGTTCAAGATTGTGATTTTGGATGAGGCGGATAGTATGACCCAGGACGCGCAATCCGCGCTGCGGAGGACGATGGAGACGTATAGCAAGATGACGAGGTTTTGTCTCGTGTGTAATTACGTTACGCGTATTATCGATCCGCTCGCGAGTAGGTGCAGCAAGTTCCGGTTTAAGAGCTTGGATGAGGGGAATGCGGTGGCGCGGGTGGAGTTCATCGCGAAAGAGGAGGGGGTCAGGTTGAATCCTGGAGTTGGGGAGGAGTTGGTGAGGGTCAGCGACGGGGATTTGAGGAAAGCAATCACGTTCTTGCAGAGTGCGGCGAGATTGGTGGGGCAGGCGGCGAAGAATGGGAATGGGCATGCGGATGCTATGGATATCGATTCTGACGACGACGTTAGCAAGGGTTCGGGTGCGGCTGTTACCATGGAGCATGTCCATGAGATCGCGGGTGTGATACCGACGCCGACGCTCGAGCTGCTGCTGGACAGCATGCAGCCCTCGGCTTCGAAAACGATACAGTTCAAGACTATTAGCAAGGTGGTCGAGGATATGGTTGCTGATGGGTGGAGCGCTGCCCAGACGGTGTCACAACTCTACGAACAGGTGCTGTTCGATGAGCGGATTGGAGATCTGCAGAAGAACAAGATCGTGAATGTGTTTAGCGAGGTGGATAAACGACTCATCGATGGAGCAGACGAGCATCTTGCTGTGCTGGATCTCGCCGTAAGGGTAGCCGGCGTGATATGTGAGGGCTAGGGAACAAGATTTGGTGCTGCATTGCGAAGGCGTCCGGCGTTATCGGGGTAGGTCTATAAGGAACCGGTAGAGGGAAGGGCATGGATGCCTTCAAGGCTCCTAACGAGTCCTCAACGAGAACGCAAAAGAAAGCTTATATCGAGGGCTCTTAGCATCCACATCTCAGAACTGATAACGACGAATTGTAGAACCTTCGCCATTTTCTATCAAGAACGAACCATACCCACATCCTCAATCTTCAACCTTTCCCCCCCTTCTCAGCCCCTCTTCGTCTACCTCTACTCCTGTCCTCTCTTTCCTCTCTTGTCACCATCATGCCTCCGCGCCACACCCATCCCTCCCTCATCACCCCCCCCCCCCCCCCCTCAAACCCTCCACAAGCCCAAACACACCCCCGCCACTACCACCACCAGCACCGCCATCCGCGCCATCGTCCAGATCCCGGGAACGCACTCGGAACACCGGCAGGAACAGTCGTAGCAAATGCAACAACAGTCGCAGGAACACATGTCTTCGGGGCCACACCTGCAACCATAGACGGGGTCTTTTCCGTTCTCGTTCTCGTTTTCTTCGCGTTCGACGATCTTGATGCCGAGGTCGCCCATCTCGAGGTCGTCGCCGCCCCGCTCGAGGTCGATGGCGGTGTTGGTGTAGCGGTCCTGGGAGGCGGGGGTGTAGGATGGAGGGGGGTTGGGGGCGGGTTGCTGAGAAACGTAAGGGGCGGCGGTGGCCTGCTCGAGGTCTTGCTTGGGGTTGTAGGGTAGAGCGGGGCGAGGGGAGTCGCGCAGGTTGACGGGGCCGGTGGCCATGGTGATGCGCTTGGTGGGTTTAGTTGTGGTAGAGTTCAGTTGCATGGTGGATTTCAGTTGTGGTGGATTTCAGTTGTGTGAGGGATGAGGATGATGATCGGGATGCTAAAGTTTGTGCGAAGGGGGAATAGGGAACCGTGGGTCTGGGGTGTGGGGGACCATAGATGGCATATCACTTCGACCACAAATTTCAGAAGCATGTAAGTTCAATTTGGAGATTAGGTATGCCAGAAGATGTACAGAATATGTCCGCCACACACCCTTCTCTCCTTCTCCCTCTCCCGCTCCCTTCTCAACCCCTCCCCTCAAAACCTCTTCAAAACCCAGATACACCCCGTCAAAACCACCACCGTTACCAGTGTCTTCGTCCAGATGCCGGGAACGCACTCGGGACTGCGGCAGGTACAGCATTTATCTTCGCTGCAGCAGACAAATAGATCTTTCGCACCGTTGTCAGTCTCTCTAGGTTCGGTGGCCGAGACGTCGGCGCGCTCGCGTTCGGGGTCGCTCCTCTCGAGGTCGGGGTCGAGGCCGCGGTCGTTGTTCTGTTGCTGGGAGTTGGGGGAGGAGTAGGATGGTGGGAGGTTGGGGGCGGGTTGTTCAGAAACGTAAGGGGGATCGACTCGCTCGAGGCTGGGTGGCTTGAGATTATAGGATGGAAGAGGGAAAGGCGAGTCGTGGAGGTGGATGGGACTGGCGGCCATGGTGATATGCTTTGGTGGTTGTCTGTAATGTTGTGTGGTGGTGTATTGCGGTGTGCGGTATAAGGATGAGGATGAGTATGAGGATGGGGATGAGGATAGGATGAGGATGGCGATGCTAAAGGTTTGTGCGAAAGGGAGAATAGGGCACCGTGGGTCTGGGGGTGGAGGACCACGGTCATCATATCACTCCAACCAGAAACATGTATGACCGGGCTGAGTCTTCTCATCATTAAATTCGCATTCATACCCTCCAAACACCTGCTCATTCGAACTTTATCCCCAAAGAATACAATCACTCCCACCCCCTTTTCCTACTCTCAAGCTAAACTTCATACTAAAGCTCCACGCCCTCACCATTCTGAAAATGACGCGCACGCACATGCTCAGTTCCCTCTCATAAACCTCCTCCTCAAAGCTCCAACCCTACCCCTCCCCACTACCGAAGCTGTGAGCGTGATCGAGTGTCTAACCGCGGCCTCATCACCGCACCTGCTTCTGTCTCCCGATGGTGCCCAATTCAGCAAGTCTTGGCCGCCAAGAACGACCCTTGGCGTTGAGTCCAGAGCAACTGAATTTCCCGTCCATTCGAGGCCCCCCCTACATTTTCGCACATAACTCAACAACCACAACCCCTACCAGAAAACCAAAACCCGGATCGGATACACCTCATTCAGGCGAATAATCCATAAGGTTGTAAAAAAATAACTTCGTTGCCCCGTCGAGATAGGGGTGGGGTCCGCGCGCCGAGTTGGAAAAAGTCGGGTGCTATTACCAAAGAAAGGTGCGTGTAGCGATTGAATAATATGGGAATATTTATAGTACTAGGAGACTGGGGTTCTAGCACGGCCCTGGCGTTACGGGAAGTGTTTCATAGATCTTGAGGCAATGGTTGGGAGCCCAATTCGTCAACTTCATTTCCTGAAAAATTCCCACTACTGCGCCGCCTGCTTCGCTATCTCTCCTCGCTGCCTCCTCCCGCTACCTCTTCTCACCGTCGCTCTCCCTGCTTCCGCCGTTATCGGAGGCGCCAGAGTCGGGCTCATCGCGCGGCGCATTGTCGCTGTCGCTGCTGCTTCGGCGGAACGGTAGTGCTGCTCCGCTCTCGCTCGACTGTTGGAATCGTTGTTTCGCGGAGAAGGACCTCATCTCGCTCCAGGGCTGGTGGTCGCGGATGCGGAAGACGTGGGTGCATGTCAGGGTATGCATAGCTTTAGAATTATGTGCTTGGAGGGTCTCTAGGGTTGTAGGGTGGAGCAGAGGTGGGCGGGAGAGTTGGGGAGGGAAGGGGATAAGTACCAGTAGGACGGGACAGCGGCTAGGCAGCCTCGTCGTTAGGGTTTGGGAAAGTGAGGCTTTGCGTTATTTCTTTGGGGGGCAAAATGTTGCCTTGTTTTTCGTGGGTTTATGTGGTGGGAATAGGCGGCGAGGCTGGAATGGGGGCTTTGGTCTTGCGAACGGGCTTTTGTTGTTCGACTGTTATCGTTTGATGATTTGAGCACGATTAAAGGCAACCGTGTCGGAAGCGTGGAATAAACGATGGAGAGACTAGGGCTGCTAGAGGGACTGGACGGCGCAAAGAATCAGTGTGAAGGAGATACGAGAGTGCCTTTCATTGAGAACCATCATTTACGCCAGCTTCTCAGCTTTAAGAACCCAATTCAAACACGATGAGATACAGAGAACCCAATTCTCGAGAGTCTACAACCTAGGAAATTTCCAGAACACTTTAGATATACAGCTTTCCGTCTTCTTACTTCCTCGTCGGTCCGCTGACCCCGGCACCGATCACGCTTGGTAGCTCCTCCTCGCCCATGCTGTACAGCATGCCAATCCCCGTGCCGACCAGAAACATCAGCATCACTGTCGCGCCAGCAAATAGCCAAAACTCAACCACTACATCTTTCTTCTGGCACGCCGGCCCGCCCCAGTTCGTCGTTTTGTGGCCCTTCCCCTCGCCCCTTTCGACAACGGTAGCTTTGCAAGCGCAGCTGTAGCAGTCGTTGAATTTGCCTTTACCGCCGGAGCGCTCTTCCCCGTGCCGTGAGAGATAGCATGCCCCGTGGCCAGTGCAGTTGCGAGTGGCGCTTTCGCAGGCGGATTGGGAGGCGTAGCAGCTTTTGAGAATGCCGAGGAGGGGGCCATCTTTGGCGAGGGGGAGGTTGGGTGTGGTTTCGGTGTTGTTGATGGCGTTGGCGGCGTTGGAGGCAACGGCGGCTGAGGAGCTGAGGATAGCTTCGGGGACCTGGCGGCGTTTTTCGAGGTGATGAGTGGGGATAGTGTAGGTGCCGTACGGGTGTTTCTTGGACTTTGGGATGCCGGGTGGTGTCAGGACGACGGTGAAGGAGAAGCCGAGGCGTTTGGCGGCGGAGAGCACTTGTGAAACCCCCTTGCGGTAGTCGTTTGCGCCCATGAAGTCTGCGCTCACAACAGGTTCCGATTTGGGCACCTTGTTGTGCGATATGGAAATGTGATTTACGGGCATCTCGGAATCCAGCATGGTGGAAATGGCGTCATCAGACTCGTGAGAGATCAACTGTGGGCCGCGGCGTTTGGGTAGATATTTAGCTTGATTGTAGAAATCGTATACAAGGGCTTTGTTTGCTGAAGATGAGGCAGGGTTGGAGAGTGTGAAGTGCGAGTATTCATCCAGATCGGACTCAGGTATGATGTCTGTAGAGTCGCGTTAGTATTGGAGCTTCCATAAAGCACAGGGGCACCAGCCTTGAGGATCTATGACAGCGTCCAGCCATATCAGAGCATGTGCGTGGTTGCTCTCTCGATCTCCCCCGAACAGCTTCAATGCCCGTCCTCCGTACCGATTCAGCTGTTGAACAACATCTTCATCCGCATCGTCTAACGAGTGGAATCTTGACAGCCCTAGCCGTTGTGCTATTATCAAACGAGCGGTCTCAGCGGTAACCAGCGATTCCTGTGTGGTGTCTTTGCTTTTGATGGCCGAATCGTAGGCGTAGACATGGCCGACGGGGGATTTCGATGCGGCAGAAGCTGCGCAGCACAGCGAGGACAGGACAAGGCCCCACGACGGCTTCATGGTGGCTGCTGTGGTGTTGATGGATGGGCGGGAGTGGTCGTGATAACAGACGTCAGTGCCTAGCTGTGAAGGAGCCTCGACACGGCGGGCTTGGCGCCGTGAATGCCGCGTGAGAGCCTCCACCTTGTTCTCGAAGCCGCCAGAGTCTCCCCATGCGCAACGCAAACTCGCAATAAATCAACGGCCACACACCCCCGATCGCTCTCTTCTTCTTCCCATTCTTCCGTGATACCCATTTGCCGCGTTCTTCATTTCTTGCCACCAGCTGCCGGTCCATGACTACCCTCCAAGAGCGATAGCCGCATCCACAACCCTCATGTACAAGCCGTCGATTCTGAGGCCTGCGCTTCACGTCGCCCGCCAGACCCCAATAAGGGTGTCTCGACCATTTATCCGTCATGCGAGCACCGAAGTCAAAGTCCAGCGGGTGCGCTTCAAGAAGCGCATGTTCACCAGAGTGTTAGCCGGCACCCAGCTCTCCATCTACAGTCGTCCAGTGGCTAAATATTTTACAGAACGCTCGCCTCATTATGTCTCTATAGCGCCGCATACTACACATATTTCCAAATCATAGGCCGCCAGCTCGACCGACTGGATGAAGGCGAGGGAGTGGCGAATCCTGGTCGGGGCCCCGCAGACTCAACTCTCGACGAGGACGACGAACTCGAGCCCATATTCATTCCCCTGGGACTCACGAAAGCGAGGCCGAAGACATATTACAAAGGCTCGGATCCAGAATGGCAAGAATTTAGGAAACTTGCGCCGGACCAGAAGAAGCATGCGAGGATGCGAGGTACTATAACCTTTATCGAGGCATTTGCGAGCGCATACTAACCGCCCTCTCAGATCAACTCGTCACAATAGTACGAACGCAAATAGCAAACGACAAGCGCTTCAAGCCCCGCATGGGCGACATCAACATCACCTTGGGCGCCCACTGGCTCGACATCACATTCCCAGACGGCCCTCCTACAGAATACGAGCGATCCGGCATTGAGATCGGCGACCACATTGCCTGGACCGCTCGCCCAGTCAGCGAACTCAACTACCATCGCTTAAATCGCGCTCTCTACCCCTCTGCGGTCTTCTCGTCCGTCCTGGCTAGCTCGAAATACCTTGTAGACAGGCAGACGCAGATGGTCAAGAGATTTTTCAATCTTCCTGTTAGTGAGGAGCAGCAGAAACAACAATATCGAAATAGCATTCTTAGGAAACCGACTACGCCTACAGGAATAGATTCAAATGCTGATGCTGACGCCACTCAGCGCTCCTCTGTTCCGCCTCCACCGCAAGTCCCACAAGTCCCTGGATCGAATCCGCAGGAGAAGAACGTAGCGTTTCCAGACTTCTCACCAGCACCTCCCAAGTCTATGGCCCTTTCCATCTTTGCGAGCACTCTTGCCAAGAACTGGCAGGCCTTCAAGCTCGAACCTCCCCGCGGTACCGTGGTAGTATCGGGATTGATCGAGATCAAGGGGTCCAAGGCGCGGATGACTATGGATGTAAATGCAGCGTATGATCCGAAGCAGGACAAATTTGTCATGCTCCAGGGCGCCATTAGGAGGATACAAGACATGAGCCAGAGACCTAAGGGCGGTAATTAGGGCTCTCTGGGTTGCTTACTTTCGTTTTCGTTTTCTAACTGTTCGATGCTAGGGCGGAGGCGTTCAAAGCGTTGACCAGCGTGCATAGGATCCGGCGTGGTTTCAGGCATTTCAGCTCTCTTTACTAGGAGGATGGCGTCTTGGGTTGATCAACACTCTCCAGCGTGTCAATCAGGGGTTATTAAAGCCTGATATCGAGTTCAGGACGGATGCTTCTCTGAAGTCAGCGGCATAGATAGCTCGGTGTAAGCCTCCAAATTAAGCGTTTGTTTTCCAGTTCGTTCGTTGTTTACTTTTCTTCTCACTTACTTGTGACTGTACAAAGTTCTCGAATACATTTCGGCAAATCCAGCCGACGCATACAGCAACGGTTTTTGACAGTCTATTAGCATGCCAGGGCACCTCAAGCGGTGTTGGCTCCCAGTATCCACACTACTACTAATGTGATCCGGGCAGTGTGGGCCGCTGTTCACTCCAAGTATTGCTCATATAATAGTAATGATACTACCAACAGATGAAAGGCATGGAGGTCGTGGATCCTTCCCAAAAGGATGACGTAAGAGTCTGTGCGCAAGCTCCTACTTCCCCAAGTCCAACGGCATTCAAACCCCTCACCGACCGCATCCTTCCGACAACACCTGCCTTTGTGCTGCATGCAGAAGAGGGCTGGACTTCTTCGTGAATTCATACTTTTTATATCTCCACTCAACAGGGCCGCTGAACCGCCTTTCCCAGCACCACACCTCACACGAGTCAGTAGTCCGCGATAAGCTCCAATCGCCTACAAACAACTAACGCGGGACAGTACCGTGGGTCTAGCAAAGATGCAGCCACTCTTCCCATCCCAGAAGACGCTCCAGAGCGTCTTTTCGGCCTCGTCCCCTTTGACACTCCACAAGACGGACTGGACCCCGAAACCGCGGTCGAGATATGAAGCACCCCGCGGCGTCTTCAATACCTGGAGCGCCATCGACGACGCAAAGAACAAGGCAGGGCAATTGAGCAATGCCGCCATCCAAGAGCTGGAGAAAGGCAGTGCAAAGGCCCAGGCGAAGGCGGGCAATATCGAGATGTACTCTTTGCAGTACTATGCGGCCTGCACGTTTGGTGGACTGCTGGCTTGCGGGACTACGCATACGTTTGTGACGCCACTGGACCTGGTCAAGTGTCGACGACAGGTGGACTCGAAGATGTATAAGGGTAATATTGAGGCCTGGGGAAAGATTGGGAGGGCGGAGGGGTTCAGGGGGATCTATACAGGATGGGGTCCTACGGTATTTTGATATCATCTCCACATGTGTAAACTTGACTAACTATCTTTTTCAGTTCTTCGGCTATTCTGTTCGTAATCCCTTGGAAGTTCGATTGGCGTTTACTTGCTGACTTCATCCAGGCTCAAGGCGCTTTCAAATATGGCGGATATGAGTACTTCAAGAAGACATTTGCCGACCTCGTAGGACCTGAAAACGCATACAAGTACAAGACGGTGCTTTACCTCGGTGCCAGTGCGTCGGCTGAGTTCATTGCCGACGTTGCGCTTTGTCCTTTCGAGGCAGTCAAAGTCCGCATGCAGACGACTATTCCGCCATTCGCGAAGGGGACGTTTCATGGAATCTCGACCATCACTGGCAAGGAAGGCTTTGCAGGGTCAACACTGTCTTTCCCCACTTTTTGATATCGTACTAACTAGCTCAGGCTTTACAAGGGCCTCTACCCACTCTGGGGTCGCCAGATTCCTTACACGATGATGAAGGTGCGTGATCTTGCTTCTCCACTCCTCTCGTTGCTTTAGTAGGCCGAAATTTACAATCACAGTTCGCTTCCTTCGAAACCATTGTCGAAATGATATACTCCTACCTCCCCGGCACCAAAGCCGACTACTCCAAGTCTGCGCAAATCGGCGTCTCCTTCACCGGTGGCTACATGGCCGGTATCCTCTGCGCTATCGTCTCTCATCCCGCCGATGTCATGGTCTCGAAGTTGAACGCCAATCGCCAGCCCGGTGAAGCCTTTGGAGCCGCTATGGGCCGTATCTACAAGGATATCGGCTTCGGTGGCCTCTGGAACGGATTGCCCGTTAGGATTGTTATGATCGGTACCTTGACTGGGCTGCAGTGGATGATCTATGATTACTTCAAGGTCTTCTTGGGGCTGCCTTCTACTGTAAGTAATCTTGAAAGTTATGGGGGAGGAGAAGATGCTAACGTGCGAATAGGGCGGGCCGGCACCTCCTCCAAAGGAGCTCAAGGCGTAAGGTCAGGAACGAAAGCTTGAGGTTTGACCGGTGCTTAGCCAGCCGTCTCGGTCAGCGCGACGAAGCTTCTTGCGATGGTAACAGTTTACTCGGGTTGGGTTTCTTGTGGTCTGCGTCTGCGTCTGCAATCGGGGATTTCACTGTTTCGGTCTCCCTTGTAATTATAACTGTGGAAGTTTTACTGTACACGAATTATACCTATGCTCCATTCTCAACAAATCCCAGCCGTCTCCAGTTACTCGCAAGCGTAACTCGGGAAGGCAGCAATACGAACTACATGCGGTGCGCGTCTCCAACACTCTAATACCTTCGTTCTAATCATCGCCTCGGATAAGAGCACTCGGCCGCCATAAACTATTTGCAACCGCTAACACTACCACGCAATTCTCATGGCCATCATCATCAACTGCAGGGCGCCCTCTCTCCCAATCCCTTCCACCCATACGCGAGGGCTCCACTGAGTGTTGATCCTCTCCTCCCTCCAACTCCATACATCCTTTCGATTCTCTGTTTTTTATCCCTCTCCCTCCACCCACATTCCAAGGTCACAGCAAATGGTTGATCTGCTCCTCTTCTCACTCCATTCGGTGATGCGATAAATGCTTTTGATTCTCCAGCCATCAGTGCCCGTTGCCAGGGCTGATGACCACGCCGACCAAGACCCAACAGCCCCATACTCGGAATCCAATAGTCTACTTGAAGACAAGACCTCCAAGTCCCCCCCATCGCAAAGTTTGATGATTGTTTTTATCGCCTCTCCGAACCTGTTCCTCTGCTGAAGAAGAAAGTGGATGAGGTGGGAGGGAGGGAGATCTTTATACTCGGGGAAGTTTGGGGGGCGTGTGGGGCTTGGCGGGACACGTGCTTGTAGGTCACTGCGGATACATGCGACCTAGACAGCTGATTAGGGAGCCGACATCGGTGGACACGTGAATTGCCTTGGCTATAGGGTATAAAACTTCGCTCGCGGGCGGAGGAAGGTTCTCCTCTTCATCGGGGAGGGGTTCGGTTGGGGTGCAAAATTGTGCACGCCCAACTTCCATGGTGACTGGCTTCGTAAACCAAGGAAGAGGCCACGCGCGATGTGCTGGGAGGATCAACACAGGAGGGGAAATGTTCTCATGGGAGTGTGGTCGTCGATCAACACAAAGTCGAGCAAACTCCTATGGTGCGAGGACTTGGGAGGTTGGAGGCGGTATGTTGCATATCGCTTTGCTGCTGCACGTCACCTAGTTGATTCGAAGCTGACGCAAAACTTCTGGGGAGTGCAATATGTGTAAGCGGTGTCGACCAAAACCTCAAACCATTAAGCTCTATGGACGCTGCGGATCATCATTAGAAGACCGAATTCACGTCCAACGCCCTGACCTCGTTTTACACCACCTCCGCCCACCCACATGGAACCAGACTATGCTCTATTTTTCATCCACCCTCCCTCTCTCTAACTACATTCCCGAGTCGCTGAGTAGTTGTTGATCCCCCAGCCATGAAAGCTCTCTGTTAGCTCTATTTGATCTTGCCAACGCCAATTGGCGACTCCATTAGATGCCACAGCACGTAGTTTTGATGCAAGGGGCCTCGCACCGCTCCATAGGTTGCGTTTGATTCGGGTTTTGAACCCCTCCTCGACCTCCTTTGCTGATGAGGAAGATGGGAGAGGGAAGGGGTTATATACCTAGATAAAGTTCGACATCAGGTAAGTCTTGGCTAGGACACGTGAGTCAGGTGGTTGTGAGGGCTGCGAGTTGGAGCAACTAGGGGAGGATATGGGTCTGGTAGGCACGTGAGAATGAAGATTACTACGGGGTATATAACTCCCTCTCAGCCCCATAGAAGACTTCTTCTCCATCGGTGGAATTTGGTTACTGCAAAAATGTATACACTTTGCCGGTATGAGCGGTCTTCAAAACGCAACACAAGCCTTGAAATGCTGTGTGAGTATCAGCACCTTGCCCTTCGCAAGCCGATGTTCGCCTGCGAGCGCTGCATGGGCCCCTGTCACCCTCCCCCAGGCGGCGGGGACGAGGGGCTCAAGGAGTCGATGATGGAGTTTAACGAGCCGTTTGGGTATTAGATATCAGAAGCAGAAACGACCGCGCCTAGACAACAACCCAGACGAGTGCTGGAGGTCATCAGAAACAGCCATTGGCGTCACGCTCCCAGAGTCGCAGCACCTCTTCCTCCGCCCATGTGAACGACGGTTTCACCATTTTTGATCCACATAATCCTCCCTCCACTCCATCGGTTCTGGCCGATTGTTTTTTTGATGCTCCAACCATTCGTTGACGTTTCCGTGATTTCGTCGCAGCGGCCGACACCACTCCATTCGTCTTCATTGCGTGCACTTTGATGCACGAAGTCCGAAGCCAACCATGTCTCGGGTATAGCGCGGTTTTTGAACACCTTTCCGATCTCCGGCCCCTCTACAGAAGCTTGTCCTCGACGAGAGATGAAGCCAGAAGGTCCACCACGCCATGCCGCGTTTTCGATTTCATTTTTGATCCCACTCCATGACCCATTCCCTAGTCTCTTTTTGCTCTCCGCTCGAAACACCCATCCTCTGCCGAAGAAGAAAGAACCTCTGGCTGTTCGACGAGGAGGTTTTATACTCGGGAGAAGTCCTGGGCCGCATGACTAAGCCATTAGGCTTGTGACCGCTCCTCTTTGAGCTGGTCCAGAAGCTGCGCACTGGCTGATTACTGGCTACGGAGAGCAAGCACGTGAAGCACGTGAGCAGCCGGATCTGGCCTAGGCTTGGGGTATAAAACCCTCTTCTTGCTCGCTCAGAAGTTCCTTTCTTTCTTCATAGGAGTTTCGGGGTTGGAACACGAAGAATGCAGACGCACGATGTTGGTCGGCGGTGGTGCAAAAACAGCCTTCAACCGTGCCTATGGTGGGGTCTGGCGGCGGGTCTTGCAACCATGCTAACATCATGGAGGCATGGTCTTGGGGCATTAAACAGCGCGGGGAGAACAAGCGATGGTCGTGCGGGCATTGAACACGTTTCTGCGACTGGTGTCATAGCGTGGCAAAATTGAAAAGGTTCCGTATCGATGTTGGGAAATGGAGGTGGAGGGGCAACATATTTGATGAGAAGTACGATGGTGGGAGGACTACTGGGATTCGTGATCTTCATCGTTTTGAGGAGATGATAGAGGAGTAGATTTGGGGGAGAGATGAGAAGATAGATTAGGAGATGGAGATGACGAGCAGTGATTGAGAGAAATGATGGACAGCGAGGAGACGAAGATTGCTGGAGTCGTCCACTCCAGGCACAGAAACACGGAGATGCGTTCATTGCAAGACGCAGTCTCTACCAAGACCATTCGGCGATAGGAAGAAGATTTGGACTTCCTTTCAGCACATTCGGTGCCCACTTGGATTGTTTCAAGGAATCTCAAACTCTGAACTGTGCTGAGAGAAGCCTCGTGCGCCGGGAAAGTTTTATGGACGCAGATTAACGTCACGTGATAGTCACGTGATATTGAGCGGATCCGGACTTGAAACTCCCATAACTTACAGCGCGACCATATTCTAGCGATGAATCATTCGATCTTTTCTGTATATATGACGTTGAAAGTAGACTTGCCAGAAATCCAACTCGCCCTAAAATCCTTCACCCCCGTGACTCCACCTAAGCCCTAAGAATTAGCCTACCGAAGCTGTCACCCCGTGGGATCCCGCCGGCGCCGCTACTAGCACAGGGCAAATCGGCCAAGCTCTCTCCCACGCCCACGCGAATCAAACTACACGACGTTATCAGCCGAGCAAAAAGCAGTGTCCACCATCACCTCACGCCATAGACAAATCCGCTCGCGAAGCTAGGTTCGCGCATCCCACGGGCTCTTGGCCCTGCATCATACACCCATGCTAGGATTTTCCGCGCTGCAAATTTCTGACGTGCCCGGTGGCTGGACGCTGCCAAGGAGCCGCTGGGGATGACTGAGGCGCGTTGGGCTGGAAATTGAATTCGCAAGACCTGGCTGGAGCTTGGGAGGCTTGAAGCAAGGTAGACGCTTTGCGCATCCCACGTTCTGTCGGTGGCCGCGGCGGCGCGATTGATGTTGTGGTTGCGTCATATGGGTTTGTATGAGGATATAAACTCGAGGCCCGCCCCGCATATGCGCCCTGAATATGCCCCGCTAGATCATAAAGATCAGATCATATCAACTTTATTATAACCCCAGATTCTCAAAACTCGATCTCAAGATGCCTGCTGATCCTATTGTCTCGACTGGCCGCGGTGGTATGATACTTACTATAAAACCTGATTGGGAGTTTGAAGGCTGATAGACGATAGGCGCCGGTAACATTGGGCATGATGAGACGCCGTGAGTACTCCAATTCCCCATACTCGACCATATATAGCTTCTATTTTCACCGAAGAACAATACTGAGATTACATAGCTACACTGATGCCAGCATCGTCCGTGAAGGACCCGTAGGCGAATCCACTGACGGGGCCACCTTCTCCACTGGCGTACGTTCCCTCACCCAACCTTCAAACGAAGTCCGTATACTTACACTCGACACAGCGTGGCGGTGCTGGTAACATCGGTTCGCCATCTCTCGGTCCCCAGCGCGGCCGTCGCGGGTCGCAGGACGTGATCCCGGAGCAAGCGCTCCGCGAGGGACAGGCTGACTTCCACACTGGGGTATGCATACAATACTTAGAACACTAGCACAAGAGTGAAAGCTGACTCAACTCGTAGCGCGGCGGCGCCGGCAACGAGCACCGCGAGAAGTACGGTGGGCACAGCAAGAGCCCATCGCGAGAACGTCTGGGCGACAAGGTCAAGCACCTGCTGCACAAGGACCACAAGGACCACAAGCAGGAGTCGCCTTTGCAGAACGCGGAGGCGGCTGAATAGATATCTGTATCGAGATCTGGGATGGGCTCTAGATATGGAGAAAGGAAAGGGGTTATGGGCGTCACGTCATGATGATACCACATCGACTGGTGCGGAAGACATTTCAGTCGAAGATGCTTTTTTGGATTGTTTTTAAATAGTGTAGTTAGACAACGTTAAAGTTGCAGAAAAGTGGTGTCATTGCTCCCATGCTGAAGCGTGACCCTGGGGCTTCGTTCTACGGGGGGGTAACCGAGGCGTCTTATCGATAAGACATGGCGTTATTTGCATCTTTTTTTCTTGATCTTCACCTTTACTTTCATTCATTGGTCAAGCATACTGCATCATGGCATCCGAAGAAGCTAATCCCAAGACTGTGGATGATGCCGAACAGCTTGTACAGTCGGAAGACCCGCAGCATCCATCAAACCTGATCTGTGAGCTTTGTCGGAAGTTTTATGCGTTGGGCTGGGTATGTATACGTATTCAGGGACTCAAATGACATTATCTACATGCGAAAGAGCTGTTAGGGTCTAACAATGATGAACTTGCTAATGGAGTAATGCAGGTCACAGGAACCGGCGGTGGAACCAGCATTCGCTATCATGACCACATCTTCCTCGCACCATCCGGCGTGCAGAAGGAACTCATGAAGCCGAGTGATATATTTGTGATGGACTTCAACACGAAGGAATATCTCAGGAAGCCGAGCGTATGTTTCTTTCCCTGTGTGACTTTTTGTTTCCTTCTAGTCTCATTTCTCCGCTTCGCTTGGCCAAATCTTCATTCTCCATCCTCATCGAGACCTCATTTCTTTCATCTGCGCTATTTTGAATGTCATCTGACTTTTCCTTTCAATTATACAGGTCCTCAAGCCCTCCGCCTGCACGCCCCTCTTCCTCGCTGCTTTCACACGCGGCGCCGGCTGCTGCATCCACACACACTCGCAATGGGCAGTTCTCGTCACTCTACTCGTAGAGCGCGACTTCGGTCAATCGGCGTGCTTCGAGATTGAGGAGATTGAGCAAATCAAGGGGATTGGGAAAGGACGAGGGAAGGTCGGGAATTTAGGGTATCATGACAGGCTGAGGATTCCTATCATCGAGAATACGGCTTTGTGAGTTCTCCAGTTTTGCTAATGGATGGCGGACGGGTCGTGGCTTTACCCTGCTGCTAATTTGATATATGTGACTATAGCGAAGAAGATCTCACTGAGAGTCTGGAGGTTGCGATGGAGAAGTACCCAGATACGTATGCTATTCTAGTCAGGCGGCATGGGATGTAAGTTCCCCTCGTATTTCTTTCATTGCACCTCTATTTGGTCCACAGACTGACGTTCTCAGATACGTATGGGGCGACAACGTGCACAAGGCGAAAACACAGTGCGAGAGGTAAGATATCACCCTGACACTTGAGGGAAGATCGAGAGTTAACCTAAGTGCAGCTTGGACTACATCTTCCAACTCGCAGTTGAGATGAAGAAGCTGGGATTGCCGTGGGCAAAGAGCAGTGATACACATCTCAGTGATATTTAAGAGGATGCTAAGGAGCTAGATAGGAGTAAACATGACTGCTGGTACTTTTCCTTTATGAATTCTCTAGTGATGACCAATTATGTTGTCTTCAGCAGCGATTGTAAAGTATTTCTAAGATTGTAGAAAGCCTAAAATAGATGTTGGTAGTAACAACATATAATGACAAAGGCTGCTGCGGACTTTCAGTCACGCTAGTTCTACCCCGCAGCAAGCTACAGCCAATTTCAACCTCCTTCCACCCCCTCTTCCTCAAGATACGATCAGCCTTCATGACTTGTGTGCCCCGTCGAATAGATCTGTTGCCCTTCAGCACATTTGAACACCCACTCCGGTAGGCCACCCTAGCGGTGATCTTCAAGGTAGCGGGCACCTTCAGTCACGTAGCTGACCTCTAGGCAGCCTCCACTGGATGCCTAAAACCTATCTCAGTTCTTGCAATACATGAATATTTGAGCTACAGTTTACACCAGCTAGCGCGCTCTGAAGATGTCTGTCTCCATCCACCCGCCTCTCGAGCTACCTTTCCGGTTTTTCGACCTTCCGGCAGAACTCCGCACCGAAATCTACGACTACATCTTACAAGACGATACGTTTATTGTCCATCATCCCCCTTCGAATTTCACTAAACGCCACATGCGTTCGCGGTTGTGTCGCTCCGGTGTTGCTGGCGGTTTCTTCATACCTCACCGACTCGCCCTGCTGGATACCAATCAGCAAGCACGCCTTGAACTCGCACCGCTTGTTTTCTCAAGCAAAGTTCAGATCACAATGCCGAACCACACTAGTCTACTCAACCTTACGCGCAATTTTGGCACTCTCGGCTTAGAGCGTATCACGTATCTGGGTATGAACATGTCCTTCAACGGATTGATTGCTGGGATACGCAAGAAACCCTCGTTGCGGGATATGTTCTTTCAGCTTACTGGCCTCAAGCGCTTGGAGATTAGTATATACGTGAACTTAGGCACATATATCCCAGATCCTGTCCGTAAGTTTATAGACTTTGAGTTCGTCAAGGCGCTTGGGCTACGAGAGCTGCATGCTGCTGGGGTCAAGGTCGTTCTCAAATGCGTATTACTTGGCGCTAGGTCGAAGACTATCGAGTGGGAGAATGAGTTGGCTAAGTGGGAGCAAGGAGTCGTTGATGCGATGAAACAAATGCCATGAGACTTGGTATGCCTGGCTCCACCTTGTTTTTAAGCGGTGGTCCACGTGGTTCTCACTATCGACCTTGAAGCACGCTTGTGCACCGAGACTGAACGCCAATCGGCCCTTTTCGCTCATCATTCACTAAGCAACTCAGGCCCTGGTGCTCTCAGTGTACAAACAAGACATCGCGGACGTGGTGGCCCACGCCGGAATGCGGGGATAGGTTAAAAGGATGGCTCACATGCTTCTCTTGCAAAATCAAAGGTGTATCCACAGTTCAGTGGGTTGCATCGATGCCTGCGCCTACGTGTGTTACTTCTGGAGTGGACGGTGAGCAAACCGTACATCAAGGAGATAGAGTTGGCTACCAGACCGACTTCCACGATCACATCAGGAGCCACAGCCCGGGGCCGGATTGGGGCATTGTCAATGTGACATCGTTGGGGAAGGATTTCAAGCCAAAATCAAGCGGTACTGGTAGGGGCTAGACCTCAATTGCTCTCAATTCTGATGAGATTGTGGGTTAGAGCAATGGTACTCCACTTTCCGATGAGAAGAGTAGAGTGGAGGTTCTTGAATCTTCAACCATGGAACCAACACCGCAGAAGCATCTGAAGTAGTAGCCGTGTGCAAGACCCACCAACCTCTCCATTTTCTCGACCTTCCACCCGAACTGCGTATCTGTATCTACGAATTCGTCCTAAGCACTCCAAATTACAGAAAATACGTTCTATGGAATCCACGCGGAAAATCCTGGAGACGTATAGCTCGGTTTCCTTCGGCTCGTGAAGGTGTTGCTGGCGGATACTTCTTGCCTCATCCCGCACGCTCTTAGAAGTCAATCATCAACTGCGAAATGAGCTCGCAAGGCCGTCTTCGCCACTAAGCTCCAAGTCTGGATCCATAACCACACCTGCTTGTGGAATGTCGTCAACAACTTTGGCCCCCTGGCTGTAGGCAATGTCAGGTCGATAGTAGTATAGCGGAACTCGATGACTATCGTCGTCCTAAAGATGAAGTCCACGGTGTCGGATATGCTGAGGATGTTTACCGGCCTCAAAGAAACCTCTATTGATGTTTCCGTACCTGTTGCTAAGAAGATGAAGCTTGCGGAACTTAGTGAGGTACACGGACTGAAAGAAATGCGAGAAGCTGGCATTGCCGTTAGATTGAGTGCGATGCTCGGTAGTGGCGAGGCAGTTCTATCACAGAGATGAACATGGGTCTCTGAAGCGTTCCATGGATCCTCTCTCGTCTTATTCAGCCCACGAAATCACTTATAGTCACGTCACCTTCTACCATAAGCTGCGAAATGCGCTTGGCTCATCTCATCGATTTGAGGAGTGAAATTCATCTCCCTGCATCATACAGAATTTCAACTTCCAGAGACCAGAATCGCCTTCAAAATAGTTGCATGTTTCTTTTCAGCCTTCAGCATGCCGAGTCGTGTAAAACTGTCCTCAGGCACCCATGCCATACCTAAGGACATTATCGATCAGTCTAAAATGAAAGCAACGAGCCAGGGACATATGATGCGACGCGAGAAAACAAGATTTGCCAGACAAAGACGACTGCGTGCCTTGATCAAACTTCAAGATTTTTGGATTTACCCGGGGAAATACGTAACATCATCTATCACAACATCACTGAGAGCAAGACGTACTGGATCGGACACAGCCCAGGCCAGTGTTGGTGCATGATGTGTCCAGTGTATCGTCGCGAACTAGACCGTATGAAGTGGTGACCGAAACTTGACACAAGTGGTGGAATTCTCGCTGACTTGTATCTGTTCCTGACAAGCAAGTAACCGGCGGGCTTCTCCTATCCCATCACCCGGACCTCGCTCTACTAGCCACCAGCCGCCAAACGCGCCTCGAGCTCGCGACTCTTCTCTTCAGCAGTGGAAGAATCAAGGTATCCATCTCGGGCCGGAAGCAACTTGAGAAGCTCACACGCACCTTCGGCGGCCTGCCCTCCGAGTGGCTTCAGCATATTGAATTGAGTTGGTTTCATAATTATGAATACGGCTTCTGGTGGGACTTCCGCTTATGGAGAACCCACAGTCTTCTCGTTTCCATCAAGAAGTCGAGGACAACACCATTACCAATTTACGTGCTGGATAGTTATACCGCACTCAAGAGCGTTACAATTTGGCTTTGCGCGAGCGAAGTCATCGGGATAATGACGCCTGATTGCTTTTGCAGGAGCTATGGGCTAGAGGACTTTCGCGCGGCGGGGGTAGACGTTCATGTTGGAGGTACCCTAACAAATCCGGTGGCCTGGCGGGCTGAAGTTCTTAATCTTATGGATTGCAACGTTAGTAGTGCAAATGGTGGTTCCGTGGGCTCGAAATTGGAAGTCTCTCTGGATTGAGACGTAATCCACAGTCTTTGACTCGTTCCGTTCATAGTTGAAGCATCAGACGATGTTAAGCTTCTCCTAATGCTGTCGTCATGATACCCTTGTAGCGAGGCTGTTACATAGGGTTTCGAGTTTAGCTATCCCGACTTATTGCACCACGCTTGTAAATTGCGAAAGCTACCCCTCGATTCATGGTCTTCAGTTGATAACATTTCACACTCAAGAATTAGACGCCTTGAGGCTCCTCCGGACGCCGTCTGAACAATAGCAACGCCGTGGCAAGAGCATTCCAGTTCAGCTATCTTCACCTCTCGCACTATCTTCGTTTGTTGAGAAATACACCACTCCATCCGTGATGATCGATGCTTTACATTCCTAGCGGGAGAACTGAGCGCCTTCAAACTCCTTCAGATCCAGTCAAAATAATAGCCAAAGGATTACACGGTCATTCCAATCAATTGCCTCCGTGCGGGCTGAGCTTCAACTACAGTAAAACCTCGGCATAGTGTAGGAGTCGGGGACCAGGGGTCGTATCACTGTACAGAATGTATCACCGTACTAAGGGTCACGTGTAGTCGATTGGTAAGCCAGGCTGTCCCAAGACAGCTTAAGAAAGGGGCGTTAAGGGGCCACGGACCACTCTCCCATATAAAATCTGGCTTGGTTAGTATGATATTGTATGAGAGAGGGTTAGTAGGGTTAGTGATACTATACTAAGCAGAGAGTTAGTAATATTGCAGGCAAATCGGATAATCCGGCGACTTGTATTACTGTATAGAATATATTACTATAAACGACTATTACTATACCGAGGCTTTACTGTACCTCTATAGCGGAAACTGGATAGAAAAGGGTTACTGGTTTTGGCACTCATGAGCTAAGCCTATTGTGGCCACAACTAAGCTAAGCAACAAGGCTGAGTAACTAGCTGCTTCAACAGCATCGTGTCTTGTGACCTTCCACTAAACCATCGCACATCACAGGAATGGGTCTGGAATGGTTTTGATATCCTACTCTACCTGCTGCAGTCATAACACCAGGTCGCCTAGCCGTTGGGTTGCGCCGTCTACCTAGGTACCAACCCAGGCGTCCCTGAAGCGGGGACTACCAACGCAATCTGCTTGAAGCTCACCTAACTCGAACTAACGATCTTTGATCCTAGCGCACAAAATACCTGATGCATGCTGAACCCCTACCATGGCCGCAATCCCAGACTTGGTGCGGGTGTCGAAGCTCGACACGCAATTCTGTACAAACCCGGAATATACCCAGCATGTCCAGTACGTTTCAGGGAGCACATATAAGCAACGGAAAATTCCCAAGGAGGAAAGATGGGAGAAGGATAGACGACTTGGCCGTGGTAGTTACGGGGTCGTATGGCTGGAGCGATGTATTCATGGCGACAGCGAGGGAAAAGTACGTGCTGTAAAGAAGGTCCAGAAAGTTGGATCTGGTGATTATTACAGAGAGCTAGAGGCCATTGCTCTGTTTTCTCATAGCAAGGTGAATCATTTCCCATCTCTTATCCTTTATTCCCGGCCTTAGTGCTAACTATTGCCTAGTATGAACAATGCTTTGTTAAATCCTTCGGCTGGTACGACAATCTGGACAGCATATTTATTACCATGGAGTACCTTCCAGACGGTGACCTGCAAAAGTATCTCAGCTTGCCGCTGCCAGAGAGAGATGCGCAGCATATTATTGCCCAGGTTCTTGAGGGCTTAAATTTCATGCACGAAAACAGATTTGCTCATCGGGATCTAAAGCCGGCTGTTAGTTTAGCTATCTCTTACTTAAATCATCAATGTCTGCTAACGATATATGTGCAACACAGAATATACTGGTTGTTTGCAGAGGCCCGGACTGGTGGGTGAAGATTGCAGACTTTGGCATCAGCAAACGAGCAGTCGAGGGACTTACACTTCTACGGACTTCAATAGGCACTCCTGCATTTGTAGCACCAGAGGTCCTTGGCTTTGTCCAATCCAACGACAAGGAGAGGTCCTACACAAATTCTGTCGATATCTGGTCTCTAAGCGTGATTGCGTTCCTTATACTTACTGGCAAGACGCTGTTTAGAGACCAGTACCACCTGGGGCAGTATGTCAACGGTCTCTTCGCATTCCCTTCGGACGTCCTACTCGCCAATGATGTAAGCAAAGAAGGGCACGATTTCGTAAAGACATTGATGGCGCCAAACCCCGAAGATCGCCCAGACTCAAGGAGTAGTCTGCAACACCCTTGGTTCAGTACCGAGCTCGCAGAGTCAGATACACGCAGGTACTGCAATTTCTATAACAACAATTCTCATACGGTATTGCTAATTATCACCAGAATAACAACCGCTCCTGAGTCACCATCTTACGAGTCGGATACGGACGCCCTATATGCTGAACCGTCTGCTAGCTGGAGCACCAAGGCACAGACTTTTCCGTCCAGGCAGCACATCGATACAGGCGTACACTCACAGGGAGCGGATTCTGAACCGTCCGCTAGCTGGAGCACCAAGGCGCAGACTTTACCGTCCAGGCAGCACATCGATACAGGCGTACGCTCACAGAGAGCGGATTCTGAGTTTTCTTCTGTCAAGAGTGCGCAGAATCCGACTTCAGCACACGAACCGCAGAGATCGATAGAGGTGCTTTCTACAACTACAAGGGCGACCCCTACGTCTACAGCGGGAAAAGCAGAATTAGTATTAGGTCCACTTACTCAAGGCGACTGGAAGGTAAAACTGGAGCTAAAGGGCCATTCGCAATCTGTCTTGGGCGTCGCATTCTCGCCAGACGGCAGGCTGATCGCGTCGGCGTCATGGGATATGACGGTCAGGCTTTGGGACTCGGCTACAGGAGCGGCCTGTGGTACGCTCAAGGGCCCACATGCTGTCAATGGTGTCGCATTCTTGCCGAACAGCAGGCTCATTGCATCAGCGTCAGACAAGACAGTCAGGCTTTGGGACCCAGCTACAGGAACGCTCTGTAGTACGCTCGAGGGCCATTCAGCTGCTGTTATGGCTGTCGCATTCTCGCCGGATGGCAGGCTGATCGCATCGGCGTTATTAGATAAGACAGTTATGCTTTGGGACCCGGCTACAAGAGCGGCCTGTGGTACGCTCAAGGGCCATTCAGAGGCTGTTAGGTGTCTCGCATTCTCGCCGGATGGCAGGATGATCGCGTCGGCGTCAGATGACAAGACGGTTGGGCTTTGGGACCCGGCTACAGGATCGGCCTGTGGTACGCTCACGGGCCATTCAGCTGCTGTCAGGGGTGTCGCATTCTCGCCGGACGGCAGGCTGATCGCATCGGCGTCATTAGATAAGACAGTTAGGCTTTGGGACCCAGACACAGGAGCGGCCTATGGTATGCTTAAGGGCCATTCAGGGGCTGTTAGGTGTCTCGCATTCTCGCCAGACAGCAGGGTGATCGCGTCGGGGTCAGAGGACAAAACCGTTAGGCTTTGGGACCCGGCTACAGGAGCGGCCTGTGGTACGCTTCAGGGCCATTCAAATGATGTCTTGGGCGTTGCGTTCTCGCCGGACGGCAGGCTGATCGCGTCAGTGTCATATGAAGCGACAGTCAAGCTTTGGGACCGGGAAACGCAGAACTCTCTGGAGAAGAAGACAGCACTTGGATCTTAGAAGGTTCTTTGCATAGGCGTCTACTACAACCTCAACCCCACCTCCCTTCCTCATCTCTGATATATACACGCTCAATAAACGTCGGTTGTTGTATGTATTCACAGGAAGAGGAGGACCACCTAAACCTGAGGGGTGTTCCCTTAAACAACTTCACGAATGAAAGAGCGTAAATGGAATGTAGGAACTTGACCTCTTTTTGCCACTACGCTCACCCCATTAGGGGCGCCTCAGAAGCTCGATAAGTTTCATAACACAATGGCAGTTAACAAGGAGTCTTGGAAGGACCAGTAACTCTACATTTCCAGATGCAGATGCTCTAGTAGATGGAGTTGCACCCTCTGGTCAATGGGATCGTCAATCTTAGCACTAAACCGATCAGAAGTACAACGACTTCGCCTAGAGCGGGGAGATAGTCTCGGAACAATTGATATAAGGTTAAAGCACACAAACAACAGGTTGATTCTGCAGCTCATTCTTCGGTCCTCCCACGACTGCAGCATTCACGAACGTCGTTACGCGCTCAGCTCTTAGCAGCGCATCCCTACCACGAAAAGCGGCTCGAAGCCTTGTAAAGAGCACGCCAGCCACCATCATCCGAGTGATACCCACCCGCCCCATTGATTGATGATCTCTTCCCAACGCCGCTGGGCTCCATCAAGAACGACGTCTTCTCGCTCATAAGCCACGTGGATGTGCCCGAAGACGACCAGCCGTGGTCGTATACGTGCTATCTCCTGAGCCAGAAATGGGCAGCCTGCGCGATGGAAGCCTCGCTTATCCAGGTGCAAGCGTGGAGGCCCGTGGGTGATGAGGATGTCTTTATCAGGGGGGATCTTGTTGGACCAAATGTCCTCATGCTTTGGATACTGAAATGCTGAGATGCCGTACTGGGGTGTCCATGGACTGCCATAGATTCTCAACGTGCTTTTGGAGGGGCTAGATGCATGCTGAGAGTCGATTGGGAATTCTAGTTCTAGAGAGGAATCCTGGAGGTAATGCACATCGCCCCAATCGAGGTCGTCCGCAGTCTTGCTTTGGCCATACCGTCGCTCGGGGTTCTCCTCGAGGAACTTCGCGTCGAGGAGGACATCGTGGTTTCCTGCGACAACGATCTTGTACTCGTGTGGTTGGGCTGCAAGCCAGGAAAGCTGAGCTTGCACTTCGTCAAAGCTTCCGTTTTCCGTCAAGTCGCCAGCATGGATGAGGATATCTCCTGGGGGAAGATCTGGCTGTGTGTTGTGTGTATCGGATATGCAGATGGCTGTTATAGGGAATGACAAAGGCTCTTGAGAGACGGAACCCTGGTGAAGTGGATGGAGTTTGAGGAGCGACGTGGCGAGGCGAGCAAGGCGCTGGCCCGGTAGTTTAATAACTCGAGGAGATAGAGAGTTAGTGGGAGCCATGTACGTTGTATAGTCAAAGGATGTAATGGAATGCCTTCAGGGGCACGCCGTTGATTTGTATTTCGTTGATTCTTTCTGGAGCGGGGTGAGGTGTCCATCAATGACGCTCATTTCATCGCAAACGCATTCTCCAGCGTTGTGCAAATCATGTGGACGAGCAGATTAGACCGTGTGTGAAAGATGGAGCAGTGGTCGTGGAGGCGATGGTCAGAGCAGCAAGTTTTATGCAAGGTGCATGTATAGGAAATATTATGCATGCCAAGACATCATGCTACTTACATAATCGGCATTAAACTCGCCTGGCCTTGACCTAATCGAATCTCGCTCTGGTGGGCCGCTTTGACCAAGTGTTGAGGGTTTATGCTACGGTTCACTGAGACCGTGCTAGCTGGAGGTGTCGGCTTCAAACAATCTCTCGATATAGATATCCGTACACTCGTTTACCGCTGCGTGAAAAGCCTCAGAGTATTTTCAGCGTTCCGAATTGGAGAGAAGCTCGGCATTTTGGACGACTGTAAAACTCATGAGGCCACTCCAGACAGCATCAGAGAGAAAACTTCCCTGTCAAAAAGCCTTTCATTAATGCCAATTACTAAAGCTTCCATATTGCGCGTATGGCTTCCATGCGCTGTAGAGCCTTTCTAAGTGAGACTCCCGGAAGGGATTGCCCCATAATTTATGTATGGACGGTGTCCCCTCGATCCTAGAAATGTCATCATTCAGCCGACCCCTCGATGAATGCCTACCCCATGAGCTCCATAACCTCCCTCCTCCACCCCTCCGCCCGCTCATCAGCCTCATCGTCAAACTCATCCTTGACCACAAGGCGTACATCAACACCCCTCGCCTTCAACTCTCTCATACCAAGCCATGCCTCTTGACAAACTCCACCGCCTCCACGCTTTGTCGCCGCGCTGTACGATACTTTGCACTAACCCTCAAGTCCACCGTCCGCAACCGCTCAAACTGCGCCAATAGCGCCGGAACCCCCGGTTTCTTCCTCAGCACCGTACCTATATCACACGCCCACTTCTCATACCAATTGAACTGCAGATGCTGGATGTGTGCGCGGCCGAGGGGACTGATGTTGCGGGCCAGGTTATTGAAAGCCGTGTAGCTGAAGAGTGTTACTGAGAGGTAGGAGCTGTATATGAGAGATGCGACCTCGAAGCGGGTCTGGTGGTTGATGGATAGGAGCGCGAAGTGGGGTTACGCAGGGTGAGGGACGAACACACCGTGGGGGGACGCTAGGCGGGGTAGGTAGAGGCGGTTCCTGTGTGAGGGCTGGGTGTAGACACGGAGCTTAAGGCTGTATTCGTGGCCGGCTAGACAGTGGGTGTAGATTGAATTCCAGAGCTTGCCTGGGAGGTCGAGGAAGCGGACGCGCTGGTGACGCTGATTCTGTACCTGGTACCTGTGTTGTTCCTCCAGGCGCCTCTTTAGGGAGCTCCGTATCATGATCGAGTCTAACCCGCTTGGCTGGAGGCATTTCAGCTTGATTTAACAGCTTAAAAGTGGTAAACGGAAGTTGGCGACTTGAAGTTGAGGTTGAAGTGTAATCTGAAAGATATGCAGCTAGCACTAGCGCGGATGACATTAACCTGCATAACTTCCTGTGAACACAAACCACTTAACAGCTAACCACCAGCATTTATTAAAAGGCAACCCAGAGGATCCTATATATATTAACTCTGTAAACTGTGTATTCAAGATGCTTGCGAGCATCTCGCACGCTCTTCGCTTGAAACAAGGCAGGCATCTTGTTGAAGACGCCCTCTCATATGCCATGATATCAAACTTTCCCTCTTCAATCTGACTCCTGTACCCACCAAATCTCTTGCTAGAGGGTCTGTCACCTCTGCTAGGTATTAGCTTACACCAGCGACTCAACAACGAGCGCGCTCGCTCCACCACCGCCGTTGCAAATACCTGCAACACCGATCTTCTTCTTCTGCTGCCTCAACACGCCTAGCAACGTCGCCGTAATCCTGGCCCCTGATGCTCCGAGGGGGTGTCCAAGCGCTACGGCGCCACCGTGTAGGTTCACCTTGTCCTCAGTGATGCCCAATAGCTTCATGTTCGCGAGTGCGACCACGGAGAAGGCTTCGTTAATCTCGAACGCGTCAACCTTGTCCTGAGACACGCCAGCATGCGCAAGGGCTTTCGGAATGGCAAGGGCGGGTGCAGTGGTGAATTTCGATGGGTTTTGCGCAGCATCGCCCCAACCAAGGATCTTGGCAATAGGGGTGAGCTTGTGCTTGGTGAGGTAGGCCTCGGAGACGAGGACGAGTGCCGCAGCACCGTCGGAGAGGGGAGAGGCGTTCGCCGCGGTGACAGTTCCTCCGTTGGGCTTGAAAGAGGGGCGGAGTGTTTTGGTTTTAGCTTCGTTGAACTGGGGCTGTTAGTGTTTTGTAGGTGACAGAGGCAAAGGTGACACAGGGGCAGAAATTGGACTGAACTCACGTTCTTGGGCTCGTCGTCCTTGTCCACGGTGATGGGAGGTTTCCCCCGCCCACCGCTGACCTGCACCGGTGTAATCTCGTCAGTAAACAGCCCGGCCTCGGTGGCCGAGACAGCCTTCTTGTAGCTGCGAATGCAGTAGTCGTCCTGAGACTCGCGGTCAAAGCCGTGGTCGTCGGCACACTCCTCGCCCTGCAGACCCATGTGCTCCTTCTTGTATGCGTCGGTCAGACCATCCTTCAGGATACCGTCCACAAGGGTCTGGTCGCCGAACTTGGCACCAGTGCGCAGGTTGGGGAGGTAGTGGGGGGCGTTGGACATGGACTCGGTGCCACCGGCCACGACGACGTCGGCATTGCCGGTGATAATGGTTTGTGCACCGAAGATTATGGCTTTAATGGCCGAGGCGCAGACTTTGTTTACGGTGGTAGCGACGGTGGATTCTAAGAGACCAGCTCCAATAGCGCATTGGCGGGCGGGGTTTTGGCCAAGGCTAGAGGATGTTAGCTGAGAAGATAAGATACAGCGACGGAGGAGGAGAAGCATTGGGCCTACTTTGCGGACAGAACATTGCCCAAGAACACTTCCTGGACCTCTTCTGGCGCAATACCTGATTTCTCAACGGCGGCTGTCGGCAATTGTTAGCATGAAGCATGAGAGGATAGAAGGCACCAAGTAGCTTACCTTTAATGGCGTGAGATCCCAGTTGAATTGCAGTGAGACTCGAGAGGGAGCTGTTGTAGCGTTCAGCGCATGTATTTTGGCTATATTTCTTTGTGGTGAGGGGCATACCCTTGGAACATGCCCACCGGCGTGCGGACGATCGAGATGATGTAGACTGGAGGAGGGGCCATTTTGGAGGTTGCTCGAGTATGGGTATAGAGAGGTATACGCTGTAGAGTTTGAGGTGCCCAATTCTTGTGGGTATTTGTAGAAGGGTGTCAATGGCGCAGTCCGTTGAGGGCACTCATCTAAAAAGCGCCCGCGACCAGCACTCCGTTGCTCGGCCACAGGCACGCCAATCACAGGGGAGCTCCCTGCTCGCCCAAAACGCGCCCAGACCCTTGATTACTTTTGGCTTTCTCACCGCCGGTCGTTGGTTCTTCCGTTCCGGTCACGTGCCGGCAGATCTCTTGGCCAACATCGCGAATTTCTGGAGCTCGAGCTTCACGTTGTCGCGACACCCCTCCCGCCACACCTACCCCTCCGCCGTCACCATGGATGATCTATACGATGAGTGAGTCGCGCGTCCTTCCTGACTGATCGCGCATTGCTAATTTTAAACAGGTTCGGAAACTTCATTGGCGAGGCCGAATCCGACGACGATGCATCATCCACTGGCCAGGCAGCTGATGCCTATGTCCTCGGCGATGACGCTGAAGAGTCGGAAGCAGGCGCCAATGACCAGCAACTCATGGAAATAGACGACGATGGGCCCTCCAACGCGGTGATCCTGCACGAGGACAAGCAATACTACCCAAGCGCGTCCGATGTATATGGCCCCGATGTCGAAGTTCTGGTGCAGGAGGAGGATACCCAGCTGCTCACCCAGCCCATAATCGACCCTGTAATTCAGAAGAAGTTTACTATACAAGAGGCCGACTTACCGCCTGTGCGCTTCAGTCGCGATTTTCTGGCCGACTTGATGAACTTCCCGGAACAGATTCGAAATGTGGCGATAGCTGGACACCTGCATCATGGAAAGACGGCATTCATGGACATGCTAGTGTTGGAAACACACGATGTGCAGGATCAGCTGGAGAAGAAAAGGGGCAAGAAGCGGGATGAGCAGCTACGGTACACGGACGTTCACGTTCTGGAGCGCGAGAGGGGACTATCGATAAAAGCTGCACCCATGAGCTTAGTTCTGCAGAGCACCAAGGGCAAATCGCATTTGTTCAATATGATCGATACCCCGGGACACGTCAATTTCGTCGACGAGGTGGCGGCGTCTGTACGGCTTGCGGATGGTGTGGTTCTAGTGGTGGATGTGGTAGAGGGCGTCCAGATCAACACGGAGCAGGTCATTAAACACGCAGTGCTTGAGGGTCTACCAATGGTGCTAGTCGTCAATAAGATGGACCGACTCATTTTGGAGCTAAAACTACCCCCGGGAGACGCCTACTTCAAGATCAAGCACGTTATTGAGGAGGTCAACAAGGTCATCGAAGACACACTACCAGGACAAGGCGAAAAGAGGCGGTTGAGTCCCGAGAAAGGCAACGTCGCGTTTGCTTGCAGCAGTATGCGCTGGTGTTTTACCCTGCAATCGTTCGCCAAGATGTACGCGGACAGCTACCCAGGTGTTAATGTGGAAGATTTCGCTATTCGGCTATGGGGTGATATCTTCTTCAATCCACGAAGCCGGAAATTCACACGGAGACCCAAGGAGGATGGAGCAAAGCGAACATTCGTCAATTTCGTCCTGGAACCGATATACAAGCTTTACTCACATACTTTGAGTGAAAGCCCTAAGGATCTTAAGGCTACACTGGCTAAGCTGAATATCCATCTGAAGCCTTCACAGTACAAGACCGACGCAAAAGAACTCCTGAGACTAGTGTGCGAGCAATTCTTCGGCCCTGCAAATGGGTTCGTTGATATGATTGTCAAGCACATCCCATCCCCTGCCGAGGGCGCGAAGCGGATGCTCGAGCGATATTATACCGGCCCTCTCGAGAGCAAAACTGCCGCATCCATGGGATCTTGCAATCAGGACGGACCTCTGGTTATTCATGTTACCAAACTGTTCAACTCCAGCGACGCAAAAACATTCAATGCATTTGGACGAGTGTTGAGTGGCACAGCGAAGCCTGTTCAGTCGGTGCGTGTTCTAGGAGAAGGTTACACGCTAGAAGATGAAGAGGATATGGTTGTAGCCACCGTTACAGATACTTGGATAGCAGAATCGCGATACAATATCCCCACCGACGGCATCCCAGCAGGGAACTGGGTACTTCTCGGTGGAGTCGACAACTCTATTGTGAAGAGCGCAACTCTAGTAGCACAAAAACTTCCCGACGAAGAAGACGCATACATCTTCCGGCCAGTCAAACACCTATTCGAATCCGTTTTCAAAGTCGCAGTCGAGCCCATCAACCCCTCCGAGCTTCCCAAAATGCTTGACGGTCTCCGCAAAATCAACAAATCCTACCCTCTCGTCACTACCAAAGTCGAAGAATCTGGCGAGCACGTCGTGCTTGGTACCGGCGAGCTCTACATGGACTGCGTTCTCCACGATCTTCGCCGGCTATATGCCGACATGGAACTCAAAGTCTCCGACCCCGTCACCCGGTTCTGTGAAACAGTTGTGGAAACTTCCGCCATAAAATGTTACGCCCTCACACCCAACAAGAAGAACAAACTCACCATGGTCGCCGAACCCCTCGACCCCGGTATCGCAGAAGACATTGAATCCGGCGCTGTCAACATCAAAGACCCCGTGCGCAAAGTCGGCAAATTCTTTGAAGACAACTACGGCTACGACCTCCTCGCCTCCCGCAACATCTGGGCATTCGGCCCCGATGATATGGGCCCCAATATCCTTCAAAACGACACCCTTCCTTCAGACGTCGATCAGAAGCTCCTCCGAGCCGTCCGCGACACTATTCGCCAGGGCTTTTCCTGGGCGACGCGCGAAGGCCCACTCTGTGAGGAGCCGATCCGCAATGCAAAGTTCCGCGTCATGGACGTCAACCTGGCGCCGGAGGCTATCTTCCGCGGTGGTGGACAGATCATCCCGACAGCTAGACGCGCGTGTTATTCGAGTTTCTTGATGGCAAGCCCGCGGTTGATGGAACCAGTGTACAGCTGCAGTATGATCGGCCCGGCCGACGCAGTCGCCAGTTTATATACCGTCCTCGCGCGGCGGCGCGGCCATGTGTTACAAGATGGTCCAATTGCCGGAACTCCGCTATACAGCGTCAAAGGACTGCTCCCAGTCATCGACTCCTTCGGTTTCGAGACCGATCTACGCGTGAGTGTTGGCTTAGCCTCCTTCCCGGTTTGACTCGTAAATACTGACTGCCATAGATCCACACCCAAGGCCAAGCTACCCTCTCCCTCGTCTTTGACCGCTGGAGCATCGTCCCAGGCGACCCACTCGATCGCGATATCAAACTCCGCCCTCTCGAGCCCGCGAGTGCGCAGGCGACGGCGCGGGACTTCGTCCTCAAGACTCGGCGTAGGAAGGGTTTGGCGGAGGACGTCACGATCAGCAAGTTCCTCGAGCCGGAGCTGTTTAGGAGCTTGAAAGAGACTGGAATTCTAGATTGAGGGAGGGTGTATGATACTAAATGGCAAGAACCTCGGTGTTTTGGGCGTGTATGATATGGCTGGTTCTTGGGAGGGTTGGTTTCCTGATGAACCTGAATTGAAAGCAAGTTCATGTCTCTCTGGGTGGGTACGCTGTGTGAATACACGACGGACCTACACCGTAGCTGACGGCTACTAATCAATCCACTTCATATGCGGTTCGATTCGTTAATTTTGCTCCCATTTGTGCAAGAGAAAGCCTCCGCTATGTGGGTATGTAACGGGCTTGTGTCCTCCCCTCGACGTCTACTAACGTGTCACACCGTTCGATCCGATGCTTCTTCTCCCAATTATGCACGAAGGGGCTCTGGCCTGGATAAGCACGCTGTCCAAATCACATAGCGTGGCTCTATCCACCCGTCGTCTAACAAATCGTGTCTTGTGCGGTTCGATCTGACGCTATTACTCACAATACTGCAGGGGAGGTGATTACTCGAAGTGGACGTCTCGTCCGAGCACCCGGCGTGTTCACAAGCACCCAGTCCCTAACAATTCAAGATTCACGCGGTTAGATCGGATGCTTTTACTCACAATAATCGCATTCTCGAGACTACGCCTTGGCTACCACAATAGACATTAAAACGAAGAGACACTCGGGAAAGAGACATTATTGAGTACGTGCATAAGCAGACTGACTTCGGTCTTTTTGAAGATGAGAGTGGTCTTTAGACTAGTGAAAAGTGGTATCCGAAACGCAATACAACCCTAATATCTTGTACCACGTCAAATTACGACGCTCCAAAGGAAAATTTCGGTTTTCAGCATTGGTATCTTCCGTTCCCTCTACCACACGACTGTAAGATCGACATACTAGACCGTGAGAGATCTCCCCGATGTGACCTATTGAAATTTCCTCCTTATTCTTTCGGAAAGTGAGACACAGTAGACAGTCTCCCCGCATGGTAGCCACCTTCAACATAACAATACCACTTAATAATAGCGTCCGCAGTGTTGACTTGATATCAATGGAGATGCCATTAGAATCATTGTGCGAAAAGAAGCGGTTGAATGGACCACAGGTGCGGAGGGAAGACGCCTTGTTGTGTAAGAGAAACAGCAAGACATCTTGCTCTGGAACTCCTGTTACCGCTGCTAGCTCTGATACTTTGCGGCATACCACTCTGGACTGTAAGAAGTCCCGCCAATGCCACTGCTCCACCTTGGCTGACTTTGCAACGACAATGAACAACCCTAGGATTGAAAATGTAAGCATCAATACGTTGGACGGGACTCGGGTTGTAACAGCTACAACCTAGGATCAACAACTCATACGGTTCACGGTCACCTACGTACAGGCACTCCCCCCCTTTTCTCTCTCCTTGATTCTCGTTCTTTGATTGGTTGCTACTAGCGCGCACTCAGCGTGGCGAGGCCCTCTGTTCAGCTACACCAGGGTCCTCTCAGCTGTGTCCATTCCTTTCAAATGGCCTCTATTCAGCTGAGCTGATAAGACCTAGGGGGTGGGCCATTTCCTATTAGTATATATTCGGCCCGTACGGCCACTACAATACAAGCAGAGTTCACATCAATTTTAACCTGAGTACGGGTCTACCCCATCAATTCTGCAGCCGAACACGAGAGCGGTAACAATCGTGAAGGACATGATGCACACACCCAGAATAGACCAGACATAGCGTTTGCAGGTAACGGTGACGGAATATCTGTCTACAACCCATTCTGCTCGAATTTTGCAGGCTAAGTCTGCGTACTTCTTCCGAGTCGCTTCCGTGATCTCCCTTGTCTGGTTTTCGCCCACTTCTTCAGTCCCGCAGTGACCTGGCGCTGTCAACCTTTGCCAAGATAATAGCGATGCTGACAGTGAACGCGAGTCCATTTCTTCTGGTCGGTGACGCTCGTTGACATATGCTAGTGTTTCCAAGCTGTAAATGGCAGTAAACTTGGCCTCTTGATGGAAATGCAAGTGATCCTCGGCTTTCTTCAGATCCAATGCGCTTTGCACAAGGGCTGTCATGTTGCACAGAACGCTTGAAGCTGTACATGCCAGAGGCACGATCATCGCAACCACCACGGCCCTTTCCGTGGTCTCGATCTTATCGTGCTTCCAACTAACATCTTGGCTACGATCTTCCCACTCCCAGTCGATATATGTTTCCACCTGGTCGCACTGCAAGTCCGCGGTCTGGTGGTTGACCCTCGCAGCACTGGCGGCACTGGTTCTGGATGTACTAGGCGTTATATTTGTCAGAATATCACGTAGAACGCCGTATCCTACATATGCGGCTTGGACACATGAGGACAACGAGCTTCCAGATACCTCACCGTTCCAATTCTGATACACTATCACAGGAAATTCATCGAAACCGGTCCCATATACAACGGAGGAGACCTCGAAGGCGTGTGAAGAAAGCCCCGACTGATCGCTCTTGATCAGATCCAGTAGCAAAGCTTCCATCATGAAGACAATTCTTGATCTAAACGCATCCATCTCGTTCAGGTAATCCCACTGAAGCTGGTCTTTCTCAAGTGGGAGACTGTAGTGGTTCAGCCTCAGCTCTACGTCGTCTTCTTCGTCACTGTAGTCGTCCTCGCCCATTCGGGTCTCACCCAAGCGGAACCTTGCGGGGTACTTAGACTCCTTCCCCGGCCCCATTCCCAGCTGAGCCACGATCTGTCTGCTTGTATCTAGAGAGATTACAACGTGCTCTCGATCGCTGCTGGAAAGAAATTTGAGCTTGGCGGACAGCTTTGCCAAGGTACGGACTGTTGTTGTGTAAAATAGCTCGCATTGCGTATATCGGGGGAGTATACGTGCCAGGACAGCTGTGGCATAGTCGACTAGCGCAAAATACGCCGCTATATACTCAGGTTGAAATTGATCTGAACTCTGATTTCTATAAGTGTCTACTCAGGTTGCAGCACTACAACCTAGGATCAACAACTCATATGCTAGAAAGCTACTCTCCGAACATCAACTGTAGAGAACCCAGCTGAAGGCTCAGCTGTGCAGTGTTCAGCTGAACTTATTAGCGCGCCACCCAGGGGGTGGCCCCCCTTCCTTCCCCTAGTATATATACAACTAGCTAGACGTCTATAGAAATCAGAGTTCACATCAATTTCAACCTGAGTTGTCTAGCTAGTTGTTTATATACTAGGGGAAAGAGGGGGGCCACCCCCGGGGGCTTAACGTGGCAGCTCTCTTGATGCGTTGCTGGTTACATCCTGTTACTTGATACAGTACTGATACCGTGCTGCAGCACTGCTGTTGCACTACCTGTCACTTCCTCCTGTATCAGCATGCCATCCTGATACGTTACTGGCATATGAGTTGCTGATCCTAGGTTGTAGTGCTGCAACCCGAGTTATATCCTCAAAACTGAGAGTTGTCAAGTTGTCATCCGACGCCAACTTGTCTAGGCGGTCCTGTAGGACCTTTCGACTCGCAGCATGCTCCCCTTTGCTGTGTTAATCCTGGCACTTCTCAAGGAGCAACGTTTCGGCATCATAGTTGCAGATATTGAGGTTGACTCTTATATGCTCGCCGATAGCTGAGAGTCTATCGAATCCTTGGCGGGAACATTTCCCAAGAAGGTTTCCTTCACTGCCGAACACGTGGGGCATTTTCTCCTGATGGCTGCTGCCAAAAGTCTCTCTGTTTCCAAACGCCAGAGTCTCGTTTCTTCGTCAACGGTTGCGCCGTACCCGACAAGGCCTTCGAACGTGAGGCGCTGCGACACCTCTGCATCTTTTTCGACAAGGTTTTCGTGCTTCGACATTACTTTAAAGATCTTTTCGCGAGTGGTCTCCAGGCTCATTTGTTGGTGCCCGTTGCTTGGTGGAGTGAGAAGTACCATGCCCTCGACTTGCGATTCGGCCAAACTGTTTCCCGTAGCGAAAGTCCAGGACCCTATCAAGCAACACTTGGATCTTCTGTTAGACTTCATCTATAGTAACAAAGACGGCTGCAAAGACACGATCGACCGGTACGAGCGGGAGGTTCCGAATGGCAAAGTTTCATTCAAGATGTTGTGGACAATTTTTCCGCCTCGAGAATTGGTATACGTCCTCGGCACTGATACTGCGGAAGAAGCGCTGTATGTGCTAGAATCTACGCAATATGGGACACACGGACTCGTGCTTACCTTACTATGCGGAAACCATTCAGGAGTAGAATTTGGCGTCCAGAGATGCAGCGAACTGGTTCCATATTTTCGAGGCTTGGTCGATCTTTCGCCAAAAGACCTCAATATGATTCCCTTCCGTTACCTTCCAGAACGAGACAGCCAGAGAATCTGGCAGAGTCTCGTCCATCGCGGGAAGAAATATATTACACTTCAGCGTAATAAGTTTTCACATATGCGCTATGATGGTCCATTCTGGACCAAAGACTCAAGGTTGGTATCCGCCCTACACAAAGAATCGGGTAACTGTGTCAAGGTGAGTGCTAGACCCTGGTAGAAAAGCTTCGTAGTTAACAGTCAAGGTACGTGACCGAGTTATCGTGGATCGTTCTACAAGCTAAAAGCTTGGGCATGTATTCAGTCCGCCTCACGCTGGGAATTCTCTCAACGAAATTTTCCGACTGTCACGGGAATTGAGTAATCCCCCGTCGGAGATTAGTCAACAGGGTGCTTTTCCCAACCTCGAGCCAGAACAACTTAGCTGTCTTACCAACGAAGACTATGCTATCTGCCCAGGTTTCACTTGGGCTTGCCACCTTGCCAGAAAAGCCTGGGGACAGGTTTGGGTGTCCAAGTTGTCAGATATCCAGTGGGAGCAGAATCCCTTCACGCATCTTCAATTAGCCCCAGACACAAAGCATTCCCTCCAGATGCTTGTTGCGAGTTTCGACCGCGGAGATGATGTTGATGGATTCGACGATGTTGTCCGTGGCAAAGGCCAAGGATTGATCATTCTTCTCCACGGAGCTCCCGGACTTGGAAAGACTATGACGGCTGGTAGGATAATTTTCGTAGTTGCCCTATCCACCAAATGTTCCGCGTTCACCTGACCACTCCATAGAAACAATCGCGGAAGAGACAAAGAGACCGCTGTAACCCGATAAGCGCTTACGACCTGGCAAGGGAGAGAGATGATATGAACGATACGCTCCAAAATACCTTTCAGGTAGCGGAGCGGTGGGGAGGCGTTCTTCTTCTCGATGAAGCCGATAGTCGCATGTCCGAAGAGTCCGATGGTCGCAGCTTCCTCGACGCAGGTCAGTATGGTTTGTATCCAAAGCATCACGTCCCAGGTTTCGTACAAAACTCTGGTTCTAAATTTTTCGAAGTTTCTGAAGCATTCTAACAATTTCTACAGCCTTCTTGCGGCACATAGAATTCTACAACGGCCTCCTTTTTCTGACCACGAACTACAAGGGTCGATTTGACGACGCATTTCACAGCCGCATGCACGTAACTATAAAGTACCCTGATCTCTCTCCTGGATCACGATCCAATATCTGGTGCAGCTTGCTCACGCAATCTCCAAGAAAGCCTGGGATTGACGATTCTTGGACAGATCTCGCGTACGACGTCTTAGGCCGCTTGCAAACCAATGGTCGCCAGATCAAGAACAGTATCATGACAGCTTGCCGAGTCTCGAAGTCCGAGAAGGTGGCACTGGGAGTGCGACACATCATGCAAGTCATCCAGATTACCTTACCAGGTGAGCAATCGGAGCAAGTTGTGAGGGAGCTGGAGAAGATAATGGCGGAAGATGCCAAGGGGAAGACTTGGCTGGTGGAGCACCAAGCGAAGAGACCGTAAGAAATGGCCAGGCGCGTATACTGCATGAAACCATAGGAGACTCGGAAGAGATGAATGTTAATCAAACCAATCAGGCTGCCTTCAAGTAGTGCTGCTGAAGCTGAACAAACAGGTATCTCGATCGAAATTGAGTTGCGCCCCTTTTATGTCACCACTGTGTTCAAACACCTGACGTGCTCAAAAATACTCAGCGTCTCACAATCTAACATCTATGCGGTACGATCCGATACTCTTACTACCATTAGTACCAGAAAGCTCCCCCCTCATAGCTCGGACGCGGGCAAACCACCTAGCGCACTCACATCCACCCAGCGCACTCACATCCACCCAGCGCACTCACATCCACCCAGCGTCTACCAATCCAACTCTCACGCGGTTCGATCCGATAATCTTGCCAACAAAAGCGCTCAACGACGTACCAACGCGTGGTTTCTCACTCCTAGCCCAAAGCAGGTAAGTTCAGCCGACCGTTCGACTTCGCCCGGCGACGGGCTGAAGCGTTTCGTGACGGGCACGTGAGAAGGGAAGGGACGCGGCCGATCCTCCGACTGGTCTGGGCGGGTATAAAAGCTCTTCTGCTGCTTCGAGCTGTAGAGGTGGTTGGGGTGGAGATTAACAGAATACCAGTACTTTCGAGTGCGGAGGTGAAAAGCGGTTTAAGTGGAGGTGATGGGCATTACCTTGGGGCAGTGCTTCGAGACGTAAGTAGGTGAAGCTAGAAAGCTTAGAAGGAAGATGCTAACAAGCATTACTAAGAAGCGATGGTGTTTAGCAGGAGCATTAGCAACGAGAGTTCCCTCCAGACCATAACACATTTGTGAGTTCCTGAACGGGTTGGACTTTCCAACTCAACCCAGCACCGGACCATCAAAAGACCTGGAAGAGGTTTTCAATTCCACTCCATTCGCCTTTTGCCTAGGGTATTTTCCACGAACTTCAAAAGCTCCTTCTACCTCCTATCCTTCGCCGACAGCGAAGTTTTATACGTCCTCGCCACCCCGCTAAGCCCGGTCACGTGCATGAAGTGTGACCCCGTCTCCGTTCTGCTGAGCACCGAGACCACTCGGCGCTCGGCGCACCCGCAGCTGCCCCCCTTATGTCACGTTCCTCCCATGTGCCCCCCTACTCCAACTCCTATAAATCTCCCCTCTCGCCCCCGCGAACTTCCTTCTTTATGGGTTTGCAGTCTTCTTTCGAGGATTGAAACATGCATCCTTCAGGTGCCATGGCAGTGGGGGATCAACAGGTACAACGGCGCTATAGCATGGTCGTTGCCGAGCTTTGCGTCAAAAATGAAATCGAAGCTCCATGGCTGCCTTTGGGGATGAAACCATCCTGGAGAAAGAGGCTGATGTGGTGGAGACGGAGGGTCAACAGCGGATTTTTGCAAACATGGTGGTTGTTGCTGGGTTTGGGGTAAATGGGGGAGGCGAATGGGTGATGGTGCGGTCGGGGATTGAACGGCTATGGAAGGACAGCACAATGGAGAGGCCGTGGTAGTGTTGTTAGATCAGGAATAAGTGATGATGATAAGCATCTACTGTTTTAGTCTCGATTAAGTACTGGGAGAAGATGGTGAGTACGATAACCTCTAGAAGAAGAAGAAGAGTATCATCACTAGGGTGCTACAAGCTTTCCACGCACTATTGGCATATAGACCTGTCTGAGTTGAACGGCTCCCGTCCCAGCCATCGATGCACTTATTGCGGAAAGTTGAACAAGACCAACTCCCAGCCATAGAGAGACACTGTTAGTTGTTTCAACAAACGCACCCCCCGACCATGGTCGCGTTAGGACACTGTTTTTGCTCCAGCACCCCATGGTCTACCTCCTCCGTCGGTTTGACCAAGTCGCCAACTCGACTCCTCCGCTGAAGAACTGAACTCGAAAGTCCAGCGAAGTTTTTATAACCCCCCGCCAAGCTCGATCACGGGACGGGCACGCTGGTTTCGCTCGCCCACCTGACCTGTGGCTGGGATCTATCCCGTGTATGTTGCATTCACCGCCCGTTGCGTCTTCGGCGCTATAAAAGCCGATGTTCGCGTGCTCCTCGGGTTATGCCCAAAGTGCCACCGTCTAGTCCAGCCTGAGATCTGGCCCAGAGATGACAGATTCGCGGCTCCATCAGTCGCCGATCGAGCACTGGAGCTCGCCCCCTTTCCACTTCGAGAGCAGCTGACTATGACGTGTCTCACGTGCCTCACGTGCCAACTCCCTTTCTTCTCTTTCCTCGACTATAAAACCCCAGCTCCCGTCCTGCTTTCCTTCCTCAAGGCAGGTTTCTCTTCGGAGAGCAAAATGAAGCGGAGACAAGGTGTCAGGTTCGGGTGTCAAAATTCGAGCGCAACCTCTCATGGCGAAGAGAGGGTGTCGGGCGTTCAAATCAACACAACGCAGGCAATGATGGAGTGGGGGACAGGGGTGTTCGAAATTACGAGACGCAGAGGACTATGGAGTCGTGGGAATTGGGTGTTCAAAACAGCACAACGCTGCTAACGATGGAGTGGTGGGAGTGGGCGGTGTGTAAAACCGAAAATACCCAGAAACCATGGAGGCAGGTGGAGGAGGTGTGCAAAAAAGCGGAAGTATACCAGAATGGAGTTGGCGGGCGGTGGGACCGCGGAGATTTCGAGGGGGGTAATGGTGATGGCCCCTTTTTCCGCTCGTACTGATCATCGCCGCAAAGAAAAAAGAAGGATATTCTGACAAGATGAATAGAGGTCCAGAACGAGCGAAAGACAAGCTGGACACCATCAATGGGATATAAAGATGAGGAGCGAGGGATTAATGCACACTCACGCCCCCACTCCTCTTCCACTCCATGCATGGTGATGTCAAGAGCTTTTTGATCGAAACCAAGTCCCACAGAATCTCCCAGAACCATGGTATCGTACTACGCCACAAGTTCAAACCTCCATCAAAGCCATGCTCACATCTCTGAGGACGAATTGCTAGAAGACGAGAAGATTTTATAGTCCGATTCAGGGGTGCCATCACGTGGAACCACGTGAGCTATGGGCGATTCGACTTGCCCCTAGACGTCAGTAGATAGCCTTCGGACCAGTCGTCTCAAAAAAAACCCCCATAATGTAGAATCTGATATTCATTCAAACCTAGTAAAATCATCTGCCCTCCCTTTCATCCAAGCCTCACCTCTCCATCTACCTAATCATCTAGATACCTTCCTCAAGGCTCGGCTCGGCTCAGCAGCACTCCACTCCCACCCCCATCTCCCGCAACGAAAAAAATGAACTCTACTCCGCCAACTTCTCATGGTCCTTCACCAACGCCGGATCCTCATCGAGATCCTTATCGAAGTTCATATTATCCTCAATCTTGTTGTAGTGATGGAACAGCGTCCAGATAATGCAACCCGTAATGAAACTGCTAATCGCCAGCCCCACAAACATCCACAAAATGGCGGGATCGTAGAGCACCGGGTTCAGCGCCTCCGAGATCGCGGATCCGAACGCGTTGGTGAACAGGTACATTGACTGCACGAAGGACTTCATGCTGGGCGGGGCTTTGGTGTAGGCGTACTCGAGGCCAGTCACCGAGGCGAAGATCTCGGAGATGCCGATGAGCATGTAGGCGCCGGTTTGCGCGGCGATGTGGATGTTATTTCCTTGCGCAACGCCGTCTACGACACTGGCGTCGCAGAGCGGGTGCTCAAAGCAGGGGCCTCGGATGTAGATGTAATGCTGGATGACGGCCGCGTATGCCATGGCGAGCGAGCCGATCCAGAATCCCAGGGTGATGCGGTTGATGGGCGGGAAAGGGATCTTGGCCTTTCGCATCGCGGGGTACACGAACATGTCGAGGATCGGGACGAAGACGACGATGGAGATGGGGTCGAAGTTGGGCATGAGATCGTTGGGGATGCCGTGGCCGCGCATTTCACCGGCTAAGAGAGAATCAGAAATGTGGAGAAGGAACGGTAAAAAGGAGCTGACGTACCTTGAGTAACGAAGTTGTTCGAGAACTGTCCGTACACAACCCAGTAGATGGGGTAGAAGGCGAAGACCTTGCAAGCCAACAGCGCGCGCTTCACCTCTTCAACGAAAGTGTCGTCCCAGTGCGTCTTCGCGCGTCCACCAATGGCGGCCTGGTACGTTGGCTTCGGCGCATTCATGTCCCGCGCCTTGATCATTATCCAGATGCACTTGAAAGCGTCTGTGACGACGGAGCCCTGCGGCGGTCGCACAATATATACTTTCTTTCCTAGAATGAGGATGACGGTGCCCAACACGAACATGCACAGACCGAGGAGGTAGGCACTCCAGAAGCCGATGTTGCGCTCCATGTAGGGCGTTCCGAGCAGGGAGAGCGAGCCGATGTTGATGCACAGATAGAAGATCATGTAAATGCGCTGGATGGTTATGGCTGGGTCGATGATGACGCGCTCGCCGTTCTTGGGGTCGGTCCCGATAACCATTTGACGGCGTTTGTACTGGTCGGCGATGAGGGGGGCGACATTAGACTTGATTCCTCCAGTGCCGAGACCGATGATGATGATAGCTGCAATAAAACCGCCGAGACCTGCGCCATGTTGGAGCGCGATGGGAAGAGATGTGAGAGTGAGGATCAAGAGACCGATAATGTAGACAAAACAGAAGTACAGGATGGTCTTGTACTTTCCGAGATACTGGTCGGCGATGATGGCTCCAATGATTGGAGTGACTGTGGTGCCGTTAGACGTGGTTGTCCAGATTGATATTGAAACTAAACTCCATAGTTCTCCCAGAGATGAGCTCGAAAGAAAGTTAAGACATACCGTAGCACCAGAACTGGAAGAAAGTGCCCAATCCAGTAGCGCCTTTCTGCCCCATTCCCAGCGCACCCCTCCCCAAGCTCCCGTCCAGCGGCCTCTGCACATAGTTCTGGAACAGACCTTGGATACCGTAGTAGGTGAAGCGTTCGCACAGCTCGACAATGGCGACTAAGAAGGCAGCCTTGGGCAATGGGTCGCCAATGTGTCTCAGCGTCCTCTTCTCTTCCTCTGAGGGATGCTCGCCCTCAAGGCCGTCATGTTCGTGGTCGAGGGTGATTTGTGAGGGGTGCAGCGAGAGACCCTTCTTCTCGTCTAGAGGGACATCTTTCATTCCCACTGGCATGGGCGCGCCCATGGCGTCCGTCTCTGGTTTCTTGCCATCAGTGGTGAGGATCTGGTGAAGCCTAGCAAACAAATTAGCAGCTAGCCATGGTGAGACTCCGACACAGCAGAGCGGATCTATAGAGAAGCGAATCCACTTACTGTGAAGCATTCAGTTCGTGGTCCGCCATGTTTGCGATTGTTGTTGTGAGTCCGTCCGTCCAGCGCGATCAATCCTGGACCCTCAACAATATGGGCAGCGCAGTGTTGATATACCGTCCCCACCCACATGTCCCACCCCAGCCGTCACACATCCACGGCCACACCAGGCTTGCGGCCCTGTTACCCTTTCCAACCAAAGCACCGCCTGCGCCGCCTGCGACCCCGGCACGATGTAACGCGCTGCGAGGGCCGCTAATGCGCGCTGCAGCCAGCCCGGGTGGCGTCGAAGGCCCGTCGAAGCTTTTGATAAGCTTCCGCCCAGATTGCAGCCAGCGAGGACGTCCCGTGATAGCCGGAGTCCCTTGTCGATCCCTTGTCGATCCCCTGTTTGAGACGGGAAGGCCGAGACGCTATCAAACCATTCACGACCCAAGCCAATCATAGAGATTGGGCTGGTGAACGGCGGTCGCTAGAGGCCCTCGGTGTCCCCACCCGTGCACCCGCAACAGCGCAAAGATCAGCAGCACCAGCACTTCACCTGCTGTTGGAGGCAAGGCTCTTGGCATGGACAACGGGCCCCCTGATCCGAGTCCCGAGTGTTAGAGTCCATTGTTTGTCGCCTTCTTGAAGCGGAGAATGCTCCCTCTTGCTAAGTAAGCGCCTTGGTATCGAACTATGCGATCGATTTGTATGTAACCTCGCGTGGGCCAGTTGCCTGGCTGTCACGATATCGCGCGGGAACAGCCTGCCGGGACGGCACTGCAATGTTGCGGCGCGTGAGGCGGAGGCGGCCGCTATATTTCATTGCACTACGACCTGTCGTTCATCGCGCTGTGAAAAGAGAGGTGGCGGCCTCATGCTCTACTCAATGTGGGAATAAGCGTCGCGACAGCATGGAGGCATGGAGGGCGGAGGGTGGAGGGTGGAGGGTGGAGGCGACGTTCAAGATGAAACCTCAGCAAACAAGCGCCCCAAGCTTTTCCCACATCGCTCTGTCGCTTGAAAAATGCGGGGGCGGCATGACATGAGTGGCTGCGCCATCCACAAAGCTTGCAGCCATGTCCCCTGCCTCGCCTGCATATCTGGCCCCACCCATTCACTGCGAGATGTCTATCTGCGGCCAAATGGCCACTCACGTCTCAGGTGATTATCTTGCCTCGATCACCCTTGGACGCCAAGACGTACATGGTCCCCCCAACAAACAGGGGATTTCCAACGTCCTGGTCTTTGGACCTTCCTTCAAAGTTCTGACAGGCCAAGCAATGCCCACACTCGACGGATGCCGCGATTGGTGATTTGTTCAGCTTCCAAGGCGCCTCCTTGCTGACCGGCATTGCCCTATCTCTCGAGACACGCGAAGCGAGCTCCCCTAACCACCGTACCTTCCTGAACGCGTTACCAGTCAGACTTCCAGTCTGGATCACGAGCTGCTGTGCCTATCGAGGCCGTTGCTAACCTTCCGATTGATAGGTAGAGGAAAGAACGGGACAGGGACGGCACGGCGCGACAGGCGGGAACGGAATTCCATTTCGCAACTCGATGCTTATTTATAGATTATCTTATCGATCATGCCATGATATGGATCTTGGCGAACTTCTGTCTATCTTGCTCTCCTTCTGGAATGTTTCTAGAACATGTGGAGGCCTTGTTTTGTGCATATGTACTAACCTTGTACCAACCTCCTCATTCTATCGACGGTGCATATCAGGTGAAGATCAACCATCTGTATTTGTGATCATACGACGTGCCGTCACAGATATCTGTACACTCGTTTGCCACTGCCTGAGGAGGCTCACGGCGTTTTCAGTATTCCAACTGTGAGAGAAGTTCGGACAACTGGTAAGCTCGCAGGGCTATCCTACACAGCGTCAGCAAGGTGTACGCAGATTGGAAGCGTATCCACCCCCTCCAGTTTCTATTCTTACGTTGAAATCCCACAACCACAAACAATGGCAGGAAAGCGGACGGATATCCATGGCCAGACAATGTATGAATACCCGTCCCCTCACCTTCAACTTGCTTCACACCCTGCTCACATTGAGCTTTGACAGCCAAATCCAGCATGCGTCTTCGAATTAGAGCTAAGTATATATACCTTGAGCATCCAGGCATCCTAGCAATACTCCAAACCCGCGTCTGCCCTCAGACGGGGGCTCCCTGTGTGAAACCCTATGGTAATATCTCCGCTGTTAGGAAAACCCCATTCGCTACTCTTATAAACCTCAATGTACCCGCGTACACCCCATAGACCCAACCATCCGAGTCTCCTTGTATTTCCCATAATCCCCTGAACCCATAATCTCACATAGACAAAAGGAAAAGCGTGTGTGGTACAATAATACAACGGAAAGAAAAAGGCTCGACACATGCCTACTCCTTATGGAGCAAGGTGATGGATATGTCGTAGAGAGACTAAACATCGTTGTACCCCTCGGGCACCTCCTCCTCAGGTTCCTCCGGGGTACGGCGGCCGAACTTGCTAACGAGCTTGCTGAAGAAGCCTTCGGGGGCAGGCTCATCCGACTTGTCGCTACGGAGATAGCAGTATTAGCAGAGTGGTAGATCAACAGCATCTCACCACTCCCTACCTCGCCGCCCCGTCTTGAGGACAGCACTGCTTCCCACCCTCGCAATCATCTCCGCACTCGAGTAGACACACATCTTCGCCGGTGGTGCTGCCCGTCTTGCTGCCGGTTTTGCTGCCACTCGCGTTGCCGGTGCCATTCCCACTGCCACCCCCGTTCGGGAACTCATCATCGCAGCTGCTCTCGTCGGCCTCGGCTTGGTCCACATGGTCGTGGTTCTTGTCGAGGCAGAATTCGGGCTGGATGGTGCTGGAATGGATTCCATACTCGTGCAGACACGTTCGAACAGCTTTGGCTAGCGTCATGTATCTGGCACTACCCTCGCCCTTGAAGTCGAAGCCGACCTGCACATGCAAGCTAGCAACGAGCTTGGTGTCGGAGAGCTGCCAGACGTGGAGATGATGGCAGGAGATAATGCCAGGGAGTTCCGCAATATCCTCCTTGATATCGTCGATGGAGATACCGGCTGGTACAGCTTGGAGCAGAATTCGAGAGGCCGCCTTGCACAAGGGAATCGCAGAAGCCAGAATGATGACGGTGATAATCAAGGAAATGAGCGGGTCGGCGTAGAAGCGCCACCAGAAGTCTGTTAGCCAGATGAAGAGTGCTGATGCAATGACACCAATGTTGCCGAGTGCATCGCCCATAACATGCAGGAAAACGCCGCGCATGTTGAGATCGCCATGAGAGTGGCCATGACCACCAGAATTTGCGCCGTCTTTGGGTGCATTGTGCTTGTGGTCCGCATGCCAATCTTTCTTGCTGTGTGAATGTGATGCGTGGGAGCCTCTCTTGATGAGGGGTGAGGTTTCGGTTGGTCGGGCCTCGCCTTCACTTGGAGTCGGACTGGCTGATTCCGTTTCGTTGTCCGTGCTGGAGGAGTCGGCCTCGTCGATTCGAGAGGCGTTGATGATCTCGCTCCGGAATGAGGAGGGGTGCACATATATCTCTTCTATGTTGGAATATCCCCGCGACCGTGAGCGGCTGTGCTTCCGGTTTTTCTTCAGAGTATTGTGCTTGGAATTGGGCTTTATCGTCGCGGTGTGGGAATGGGTCCATGAGACGTTTCTTCCCGTTGGATCACTCGCCTTGCGTAGAGTATTGCTAATGGCCGATGGTAGATTTCCAATCCTGTTTTCTGGGAGCACATCTGCAATGTTGCCACTCTCGTCCGCAACTGCTTCGTCCTCATCGTGTGTATGTCCGGCATGCCCTTCTTCTGCTGCACTGTGAGAATCGCTGGGTCCGTGTGAATGTCCACCGTGGCTGTGTCCATGGTCGTGGAAAAGGAAGAGGCCGAGGACATTTGACGCCAGTCCAAAGCATCCAACGATCATGACCAGCTGTGGATGCGAGACTTCTTGGGGTTCGACGAATCGCTGGATCGCTTCGAGGAAGATGGAGAGACACAAGGCGACAAGGAATACACCGTTGACGAGAGCACCGAGCGTTTCGGCGCGTTGCCACTAGGTGGGATTAGAGAAGTCGTGAAGTGTATAGAAGTCGAGACTGCTCACCCCGTAGGTATACATCTTGGAGTTTGTTCTCTGATTGGCGACCCTTACCGCCCAGAGACCGACTATTAATGACAAGACATCATTCAACTGTAGTAGCAGTCAGATATGTGGAATCCATGAGGGTTTCGGTGGAGACGGACCATATGAAAGGAGTCGGCGACCAGCGCGAGGGAATGGACGGCGTAACCTGCATTGACTGTCAGAGAAGCTTATACGAGAGAGAGACCGCTATAGCAACATACCGATAATGAGCTCCAGGAAGAAAAATGCAGAGTCAATGGCCAGGAGGATCAGTATCCTATGCGACTTGGAGAGCCCCATGGCGATATCGGGGCGGGCGACGTTGAGATGGGACGCGACGGGGAAGCGGGTGCAGCGTCGTGCTGCTGTGCGAACGAGGGCCCCAGGATCTCAAGGCCGGGGACTGCGCTCTAATGTGAAGCCGGAGCGCGTGGTGCTGAGGGTCGTATGGCGGCGATGGGGGTGTTGAGTGGTGAATGGCGGATGCAGCTGCGTCGTTTGACGGCGATCGCGAAGGGATGCCAGTGGCGTCATGCACGGCCCTGGTTCCTTCGGCTCCTGCCAAACCTTCCCGACAAGCGACCACCTGGGCACGCTGGGTCAGTCAACAGCGTCTGAGGTCGCCCAGCGAGCTGCCGGCTCGCTAACACTATTAGTTTACGACTCTTGACAGTGCACTAGAAACCTCAAGCGGCGCTAGGTAAGTGTACACAAGCCTAGAGTGAGGGCGTTGCTAACGTTTGCATCACAAGGGGACCACCTGCATCAGTCATGCGGTTGCTACTTCTCCAGCAATAAAACCGCGAGTGGTCATGGGCGTGCATTCAGACGCACCTGCAATCTGCCTTGAGTGTGTATCCGAAGTATATAATTTGAAAAGATTCACAGATCCGTGGCCGGTCACTTTTCGTGCAGGGGAGGGTGAGGATTCGAGGGGCAGGATTTGAGGGGCCGAGACCAATTCTCTCGTTGATGGGTGATTCTCGCTTCTGGGTGAACGACGTGATACTAAATTGCGCCCAGAGGGCCCACCGTCTTTGAACCGATACAGGGACTTGAAGCCATTGTATGGCCCCCGTGGTCGACGTAGTAAATACATCTTCCTCCGGGCCTGAGTGCACAAACCTGTGTCCTAGTACTGCCTGCCGGCCTCAAACTACCCCAGCATGCTACCTACCCCAACAAACAGTATAGGCCTCTTCTTCACAAGTCAAACATATATAGGAGTTCCCAGAGGCACCCAGGTTTAAGCACCGAGCCGCTCCCCCATTTTACCGTAGATTGCCGGAATAGGTAATTCTTAGCGAGTAAAGGTGTTGGAGTTTGGACGCGTAGGGATAAATATAAATAGGCCGACATTCTTCCAAATACAGATGACTATAATGTCTAGATCACATCTAGGACAGTGCAATCCAGACACAAACCCCAATGAGATTGACCAGACCCTAGCTCGGTCCGTAAGAAACAGATCGACTCCGATGTCGCAAGAAATATAACTAGGAGCCGGTCCGTGAAATCTGAATCTCATTAACATGACAGCTAAATCAAACCTTTGAGCTGGCTCGCCTCCAATTCCACAAGAAGCACAAACGGGGGCCAGCTGGTGCGATCTACGCTTAGTTTTATCATGTTATTGCCATGGGCCCTGTATCAAATCCTACGAAGTGACTTGCTTTTGATTGCGCGAGACGTGTGAACGAAAGGCGGCCCGCGCGATTTGCACTCGATTGCGGCATGTTATGATTCAGAAATTGGAAAGCAAATGTCGCTTTTCATAGTCCCTGGAATATAGGGAGGTTACCAGTGAGTTTCGACTGGGCGAAGAATTACGCTCATCTTCACATTTTTTCTCCAAACACAAGCGAAGGAAACTCCTCATAATGGCTAGGAAGCCACAGTTGCAAGCGAGGGCCTCGGGGAGGATGAGAAAGATTGGGCTCGTGTGAAGGGAAAAGAGATGGACATGGGGAATTGAGATGGAAATGTGGTCGCCCCGCGTCATGACTCGCGCAAGTAACCCCAGACCAACTTTTAGTCGGCGGTCTCTCTTCCTTCACCTCCACTACGCCTTCAACATTCACGATACGCAATGCACATTTGCATAGCAAACTCTACAGCTTGTTCAATGCTGGCCCGTCAGCAACTCATCCTCCCTACAGCTCTCTCGACCCGATAACAATGGATCCAGACCCAGCGCCTCTCACACTCCCACCAGCGACCCTCCACTTCCCACTATCCCCTCACCCCGACTCCGACGAGCACCGTAAGAAATATAACCAGCGAACAGCGAAGGAATTGACCTCTCTTTCGCCCTCCGGTTCTGCCTACGCGTCGTCCTCTTCTCCCAATGAGCAACGCTCCCAAGGAGGGCCCTCGCGCTCTCCCAACGCGGCCCCAACCCACCCGCGCAATAGCTTCGGCTTGTCAAGAACATCGCAGTCTCTAAGATCTAGACCTTCGCGTAGACACTCAGAATCCCTCACCACGGTGCCGGATGAGGATTGGGAGGCAGACGCGAGCCGGAATCAGCTCCGGCGGCAGACACCGCACTGGTATGATGGGATTACAAAGTGGTGGAAGGCCCAGATTAGTGTTACGATTGATGAAGGGCAGCATCGGGATCATTTAGGTAGGTTCAATGCTTCCCATACCTCGGAATCCCGCGACCAGTTGGTGATACAGCCATGAGACTGAGAATGTCACTGCTTCAATGTCAAATACCGAAGCTGACCCCCACAGCCCTCGAAAGGACCTTCCTGGCCTATCTCCGCACCTCCCTCGCCTTCGCCATGACCGGCGTTGTAATTGCACAGCTCTTCCGCCTGCAACACGCTCTCCACCCTAATCCCGCGCTCGGCTTCTTCGTCCTCGGCATCCCCCTCGCCGCAACCTTCATCGGCGCCGCCGTCGTGATCCTTCTCATTGGCGCGTTCCGATTTTGGAGACAACAGAACGCTATCATACGCGGATATGTATACGCGGGCGGTTGGGAGATTACGTCGATAATGATACTTGTGATTGTGGTGAGTGGGATGCTGTTTTTCTATATGTGCGCGAGCTGACGGGTGGGGAGCTTTCCTTGGTCGTGTTTGTGTTCGCCGTGGCCATCGATATCGAGAAGGAGATGACTTCTTGAGGGTGAGGTCCTTTCCTAGGTTTCTGGAGGTGGAGAATGGCTTGCATTTGGGAGAAAACGGCGTTTGGTCAAGCATACACGATACCCAGTCTGGAGTTTAGATACTGCTATCCCGAGTAAAGTAATCTTGCAAAACAAGTCTCGCTCCTGTACGCATGAACGCTATATAAATTTCGTACTTCCGGTCTGTATACACCTATCTTCTGTTGTTTGAGGTAGCTTAGGGCGATACCGCGTCTAAAATTCATGTCGTTCAGATCCGTGAACGCGCCTCCGACGGTGGCAGATACTACACACAAACTCTCGTAGCTGCAACCAAGACCCAGTTTTCTCAATTCTTCGGAGCACCATCCACAATCTGAAGAGCCGCTTCATCCACCACATCAGCCTGCACAAGCGCAGCTACCACCTGCCGGAGCCAGGTCTGACAGTTTTGGATCTCCACTCTATGCCTTGACCCCTCAGCAATAGTGGCCGACACCAAACTCTTTTTCGGTGCTGGCACGCTCAGCGCGACTTTCTCAATGCAGTCATACGCTGTGCTGTCTTTTGAATTTCTTCCATCTTCTTTGACATCTGAAACTTCGTCTAGGGCCACGAGCTGATAGCGTTGAGTAATATTCCTGAGGTCGTATTCCCGCTCAATGATGATCTCGAAGCCTGTAGCCGCATCTCCGACGGCGTTGATGAGTTTTCCGGTGTTTGAATTGGCAGGATGGGGAAGCCAGAGGGCCCAATGAGCCGGGAAGATGGGAGAGTTGAATATGAGAAGACTGATTGTTTGAGGCATGTTGGGATACACTTTCTGCTAGGAAACAATTGATAGTTGAGGAAGGTTGGTAAGAAATCCAGCAAGTAAGACTTTGGGATGAGGCTAGGCAGCTACGCCGCAGCGCTTCGACCCAACCTCGAAACCACTGAAAGACTTCAAATCAGGCACCTATGCTCAGGAAAGTGGTATAGTCGGGTAGCTTCTTTAGCAGAGTAGTACAATAAGGCCATAATGAATGTTTCTTTAGCATAAGAGGCCTGGAGGTCATTAATTCATGACCTCTCACCGGTAGCTCGCACTCTTTACTGAAATAATGCCTTACATAGAAGAAGGATGCGAACTTTTTTAATACAGGAAGGTTTGAGAAAGATCACGCCTGTACTCACGAGGGTTGAATACCATCGTGAAACAGTACCTAATGGAGTTGAGGTTCTGGACCAATAGGGCTTAGGCGAAACGCCTCTGTGAACGGACCTCCCGTCCTCTCCGTCATCGCTTCAGCTCTCTATCCCGACATCAACTCGTCCGCACGACATGAAACACCATGATTGATAGCAGAACACTTCTACTCATCACTCGTGAATCTATTTCCGCGGACATTGATGTAGTCATGGCCCAGAGCCCTCTTATCTTCCCACCCGTCCGCGTAGGGATGGCCTCTCCCTCCCAGACGATGCCGCTGCTGATCCTGGGATGCAAATCCCTTCCTTATCCACCCAGACGACGTAGAAACGGTAGGGATACCACGTTATCACACGTTACTCTGACATCGTGCTCTTATTTCTTATGCTTATGCGAATTGTACTTATCTGCCTATGAATAATGCGCTGATATACCTGATATCCAGCTCTGTGGTACGCTCATACAACTCCCTATCTTGTACCTGGTCGGCATGCCGTCTTGCGGTGCTGGGGTTGCCCAGCAGCGGCAGACTTGCCGATGATGACGTTCGGCTTGTTTCTTCCGATGCGTGAGGGAGCCGATGCTTGAGGGAGATAGTGGGATGCTGTGATATAAGCTCAGAGCTCTATCCTCGCGTCAGATTTGGTGTTGACCTTAGAGAATTGAAAGTTGTGTTTTTCGACGCAACCATGTCTACTGTCTCCGCTACTCTGCCTCTTGGCGCTGGCTATGGCGTTGTTGTGGGGGTTGGGGTCAGTATTATTCCCGTCATCAATCATCAACTTCATGCAACAGGAGCGTCAGATCTGACCCTTCGTTTCTATTCTAGTTCTTCTTCGCGTTCGTAATGATGGGTGTATCGTTCCTTCAGGTCTGTAATTCTACTTCTTGTCCTAGCGCAAGGCGCTTATGCTATGCAGAATCGATATACGACATACTCGACAAAGCAATCGGAGGAATTCAACACTGCGAGCAGAAGCGTGAAGCCTGGTCTCATCGCTAGCGGAATAGTCTCGGCCTGGACTTGGGCTGCGACTCTGCTCCAAAGCTGTACCGTTGCGTATGAATATGGAGGTATGTCTCCCATCCAACCCCAACCTAATCCCCGTTGGCTAACGACCATACAGTCGCTGGACCGTTCTGGGTAAGCAGCGTATAAATCCTCTGGGGACCATTCAATACTCACACATCATAGTACGCAGCCGGAGCGACCGTTCAAATTCTGATGTTCTCAATCCTAGCCTGCAAAGTCAAGCAGAATGCTCCCCGTTGTCATACCTACCTTGAGATTATCTATGCTCGATATGGCAAGGTGACGCATCTGATCTTTATGTTCTTCGCCTTCGTCACCAACATTCTGGTTGGTAGCCAGCTTCTACTTGGTGGAAGTGCGGTGGTGACGTCTTTGACTGGTATGAATGTGTATGCGGCCATCTTCTTGATACCGACGGGTGAGCAATGCATCTCGATGGATCCTTTAATGTTCAAGACTAACGACAATGAAGGTGTTTGCACTTATGTTATTTTAGGCGGACTCAGAGCAACCTTCCTTTGTGAGTACCATTTTTATCCCTTCCCTGGGTAGCGTTCAGGTATTTCACTAGAGAACTCCACGATCCCGCATTACGTATGATGATGTCCAAAACCGCAAAGCTAACCCTCGATCTAGGCGACTACTCCCACACTCTCATTCTTATGATCATCATCCTCTACTTTATGTTCAACGCCTACTCCGTCAGCTCCCTCATCGGTTCGCCTGGCGAAATGTACGACCTCCTCAAAGAAGCCGCCATCAAGCGCCCTGTCGAAGGTAACCACGAAGGCTCCTACCTGACCTTGAAATCAAACTACGCGCTCGTCTTTGGCGTCATCCAGCTTTGCTCCGGCAGCGGTACCGTCTTCCTCGATCAAGCATACTGGCAGCGCGCCATCGCCTCCCGACCAACCACCGCCGTCCGAGCCTACATCATGGGGGGTTTGGCTTGGTTCGCTATTCCATTCGGATTTGCTACAACCCTTGGTCTTGCTGCCGTCGCACTGACGGATAATCCTCGATTCCCTACATACCCTAACCTGCCTACGTCCGCGGAGATCTCGTCGGGGCTTGCAGCCGCATACGCTGCCTCCGCAATGCTCGGCAAAGGAGGAGCAGTCGCACTCCTCATCGTCCTCTTCATGGCCGTTACATCTTGCGCCTCCGCGGAGCTCATAGCTGTCTCCTCAATCCTGACTTTCGACGTCTACAAATGCTACATCAAACCGCTCGCCTCACCATCACAACTCATCTTCGTCTCCCACGCCATGATATGCGTCTTTGGGCTGACCATGGCGGTCTTCGCCTGCATCTGGAACGCCATTGGCATCGATCTCGGGTGGTTGTTCCTAGTCATGGGCCTGCTAATCGGCGGTGCCGTATTCCCCGCCGCTTTCGCCATCACCTGGAAAGGTCAGACGAAAGCCGGTGCTATTACGGGATGTCTCGGTGGACTGTCCGCTGGGCTCATCGCATGGCTTACTACTGCAAAGCATTACTATGGCGAGCTTTCCGTCCACACGACCGGGCTATCGTATCCGACCCTCGCAGGCAACCTAGCAGCCATCATGACGGGACTCATCCTCACCGTCGCAGTGTCATGTATCAAGATGGACAACTTCGACTGGGAAATCACGCGCGCCATCAACGTTGCCGTCATCGACAGCGCACCTACAAACTCCACGCCCCCCGATTCCTCACCTAACCTCTCTGACTCCGAAAAAGAGAAAGAAAAAGTCGACACCTCACCCGCGACTCCCACCCGCACTACCACAACCACCTCCCCAAACCTCCACGTCGAGATCGCACCGCCCGACGAACCGCACAAGCTCCGCGCGGCGTTCAAACTCGCCTGCATCTCGTCGTTTGTGCTGACTTTTATTATGGACTTTTTGATCCCCATGCCAATGTTCTTCAGCCATTATATCTTTAGTAAAGGGTTCTTCACGGCGTGGGTGGTCATCTCGTTCATGTGGGTGTTTTGCTCGAGTTTCGTGAGCACGATTCTGCCGATTTGGGAGGTGAGGGGGTTCTTTGGGGAGTTGGCGAGGGAGATTGGGCAGGATTTGAGGGGGAGTAAGACAAGGAGGGGGAGGGGTGGGTTGTGAGAAGTAGGAATTGGAGAAGTGGGCTTGAAAATATCTTTAGGAGTTGAGATAGTAGCACGGATTGAGCTGGGCGGGTAGAGAGGGTGTCCCGTACGTCATGATTCAGGGATAAGCTTCCAACAATGTCACATTGACTTACCCATTACGTGCTCCATCGGGGTTGTCGATGTAAAATCTGCATCAGTTAACAGCTCTTCGGCACGGGCCATGCATCAGTTGATGCCGATATGAGGAAGCGTCGACTGTGTTTTTCCTACATCCACTCCCTGTGTAATCGCGGGAGTATAGCTCCTATAGAAAGCCTCTATAGTCCCTTTCATTTTTCATCACATCTCCATCCATCTACCGCTTACGTATACTAATCATGTGCATGCATACCATTTCCCATCCACCAACCCTTCACTTTACTTAGTCAGCCTCTCGCTCCCTCTTCTTTCTGGCCCGCTCTATCAGATCCCACTTTGCCTTTTCTCCTCCCCCCCCCCCCCAACCACCTCCCTCCTCGATGCCTTGGCCGAAGACGCCTGGCCCGTACCGTGTCTTCCCGCACCCGTTCGACGCCGAGTCGGAACAGCCGCGGTGGCGTGAGCGGGCTGAACAACCTGCTCGTCGCCAGACGATGCGATTAGTGTTCAGGACCAGGCGAGTTGGGAGACTTCGGCATGAGGGCGTGTATGTGGGGGGATGGGGTGGGGGGTAAAGGGAGCTTCGCTCTCGCTGAATTCGCTTAGATTCACGTGCTTTCCTGTTCTTCCCCCCCTTACCCCATCCACGGTGAATAGCGAACTCCCTCCTCCTCTCCCTCGCTCACACTATCGTAGATGGTGCTGTTATCCATCCTCGTATATGACGTATACAGATCTAAATTGTTCACGGGATGAATACCCCTCCTCTTTTGAGGAGCTATCAATCTCGTCACGGGTTTTCGTCCTTTTTATGGCGTTGAACCCCTGGCCAGGGCATAGAGCTCAAGGCCCGAGCTCGTAAGAGCGCCGCCAGGCGATAGACTTGACTCGACCGGTAAGGGTTGGCTGGTCGCAGTAGTGTGGTACACGATATTGAGACTCTGTGAGAGGGACGTAGAGGCTTGGCCGAGCATGGGCGCGGACATCCCTGAGCCAGAGAGCATGATGGCTGGAAAGTGTGGGGTAAGGGCTGGGACAAAAGAGGAGAGGGGGAAGGTGGGAGCCCCTGGCGGAGGAGCGTGGTGAGAAGGGAAGATGAGTAGGCGGAAGTGGGATGAAGGCGGGTGCGGTGGTAGTGGGTAGTGGGGAAGGTGAACATAACGGGGCGCCTAGATGGGGGGATTGGATGGGCGGGTAGGTGGAGAAGATATGTAGACATATAGAGAATCGGTACATTGGAGGTCCATAAAATCCTGATAGAGATAAAATACAGATGATGATGCGATAAGATAGCTTGTAGGATAAACGTGCATAAGGAAGCGAGAGAGATATGGTTGTGGATAAGGACGAAGAAAAGCCGTGGGTATGTAATCGTCATGTATGAAGGAAAGAAATGCGTGTAGGTACGAGAGTCGTCGAGAAAGTGGAGTCGAAATGGGTCAAGTCTGCATGTAGCTTGCTTAGGTTTCTACGAGCAGTACCGTCCACCCCAGAAAATATTGAGAAATAAGAAGAATTCTGGCGGCGATTGGGAAGGTTGGATGGGGACTACAGACCGGGCATTGGAGAGAAAACGAAGGCAGCGATTTTGTCTTACAAGACACAATAGAAGAATCGCCGGTGGTGATGTAGGTGGTGGGTGAGTTGACTTTCGCGGTGAGTTCGGAGCCATGACTTCTCCGGTTTGGACTCTCTGGTTTATGTCTGAAGGTAATAGTAACGATGGGATATACGCTCTAGGAGAGCTGTTCGGAAACCAAACGGTGGATGATGTTTCCGCAAACCCGGTCCAAGCTACGTGGTCGGCTACTGAAGGAGTGGTACGAAGTACGATGGTCTCGAAGAGGGAGGCGTAGTAGCGGCAGGGTTCTCGTTGATGACGGAGGATTCGGGCTACGGTTAGACTGATGCTGCTAGTCATTAGCACGAGCATAAAAGATGCAATGGGACTGGTGGGACTGATTTATTCGGGCGTACAATTAATTGGTTAATGATATCAGGCGTCGAATTGATCGGTCTTCGGAATTGACGCTGTGGGCAACTTGCCGTGGAAGCAAGCTCATTTTCGACCATGAAGTGGGTTTTTCGAGGGGCCAGATCGTAATTTTGCCGATTTGTTCCTGCTCCACTTGAACAGATTGGCAAGACGTGAGTTACTCTTACCCTTTGAGTGAGTAAGGGTCATACCCATGGTATCTTTTCTTTTCCTGCTTAGAATATCTGAGATCGCTTTTTCGTACTCTAAAAGGTTTCCTGGATTTGTATTGTCAAGTTTGGTACCATGCTTGATGAACAGCCACGCAGCCTCCATCCAGTAATCCTTTTCATGTTGTACTATATCACTGTTCGTTAGGGAACTAACAAGGTGTTCCCAAGGTGTGAGAGTCTTGACCATTGGTGAAACAGCGATGCTCAATGTGGATCTATAGTTGGGACTGGCACCGGCCTCTAGCAGGGGCCTGATTATTCTCGTCCAAGGTTCAATGGTAATACTACATGGTGCAGATGAGGACCTGGCCATGCTGGCTTTGAACCTGGCATTGATCATATTGACGTTATACTGGGTATTGGGCATGGTGGACGATGCTATGCACATCTTTTCTTCAGGCCAATCGCGGAACCTCAAGAAGAAGGCGCGAGGCTCGTCACATCCAAGTGCGCAAATCAGGTAAGAGTGCTCACTATGCCCCTGTGTCTCTAGGGGTTGGCCTTTAACCTTTTCCTGGACATGCCAAGTAAGCCCAAAATTAATTCCGAGATACATAGGGTCTGATGGCCAAAGCCTTACAGAATCTTTATCGGTTTGGTGCTTGAGCCTGTAGCATTGATGATGGGTTCGAGGGACATTTGTATCCGGGTTGCTTTGCCCGGTAACAATAGTCTCCTTCTCGGAAATCCTGACCGTGACTCTGTGCATCTCGTCTATTAGCTGAACTAGAAGATCGGTGTCCTCGGTTGGGTATGCGCTTGCTAAATCTGCATATTCCATACAGCTAAAGATGATACTCTGGAATTGGCTTTCGTCAAGCAACATGTTGCCGAATTTCAGTTCCACCAATGCTGCACCAGCCAATCGTCTATGGGCGTCGATGGGTGCTTTCCAAGCTATGACAGTCATTCTCTTTACGTTAGGTTGTTCCATAAAATCCTTGACTGTTCGATGCAAGTATTGGACGGTTAGGGTCGTCTCTTCATCCATGTAGCCTCTTCTTCCATTGACTGAGGGCTCGATTCCTTGGTGGCAAGTTTGAGCGTTGACTCGAGATCATATTTGTCTGCGTAGAATAGTTGTAGGAGCGTCAAAGGCCTCCTCGCTGCGTTCACGAGCTGAAAGAGCCTAGCGGCATTGCTCCTGTGGGACGGCTCAATGTTTCCAAGTATTCGATGGAACAATCCCTCCAAATCAGGTGGCAATGCATCGAGGATGGCCTGAAGATCTTCGATTTGACCGCCATTTGAAAGACCGGTCAACAATGAGGCGACAACCACTGTTACCCACAGAAATACTCCAGAAGCCTTCTTTACAAGATTCTCAACTAGACTGGAAGTATATTCCGGTTCCACTTTTGCGAAATCGCTGAAGCCTCGACTACCCGTAACTTTATCTGAAACATACTTGAGCATGTCCGGGTAAGTCAAGTCTTGAAGACGGAGGCTGGAGGCTTGGCCAGCAAACGCGTCTTCAAAAATCGGCCACGGTCGACTGGATACGCATAATTTGACATTTGGAAAGGCTGCTATCGACTGTAAGAGGTCGATCAAGGCGGTCAGGTGGCCAGAGTACTCATCGAGGCCATCCACAAAGAAGTAGAACCTGGCACTAGATCTTTCGAGCAGCTTTAGAAACGCTCGTGCAAGTTCTGGCCAAATCCAAGTCGTATCAGGGATTATGCCGAAGATATGGAGCTCTTCGAGCCGGTGGGGGGGTAGTACGAAGGGCAATGACTCTGGACATTCTTTGAGACAATCGTGGAGCAAGGTTTGAATGAGGCTATTTTGGGACATCTGAATCACCGTTCCTGAGTTCCAGAAGCAAAATCCACCAATGATAACTCTGCAACTTCCGAAATCTGTGGAAGAATGCGCAACATCGCAAGTGCGCGGGTCGCTAAGAAGAAATTTCATCAGGGTTGACTTCCCCGAGCCAGATTTACCAGTGAGCCAGTAAATGCTCGAAGATCCCTTAAGCCAATCCACGAAGCTATCCCAAGGAACGTTACGTTCACTTTCGCGGAAAATCCACTCGTAGGTCTCCTGATGTCGAATAGGGATCCTTTCGAGCCGATCGGATATTTCTCGGAAGCGCAGACTGAGTAGAACTTTTCGTAGCAATGACTCCTGGGTAACATTTGAGTAAGGCTGTAGGAAGACCTCTTTTCTAGGTTCTAAAGGAGATCCGGCGATTGTGTCGTGTTGATGGCTTTTTCTTACAGCTTCGAGGAGGTCTGATCGCTATTTGTCGCTCTCAGAGATGTGCTTTAGGAACGTTTCTCCAACGTGCTCGTTTCTTCGAACGAGGTGATCGAACTTCCGCTCATGCTGGCTTTGAAGATCTTCTCTCAATGCAACGAGGATGAGTAGAACCAGTTGCTGTCTATACCCATCAAGCCGATGTTGCAAGTCCTCAAGCTTCTCACGACCCCAGATGCTCTTCAAGGCTACTACGACGCTTTCGCGTTTTGTGGCTTTCTGCAGTTTCAACTTGAGGAGGATGTCAGTAAGCTCTTTTGCAGTCTGACGGCAGTCTTTGCAAAGGTTGACGATCTCTTCGGTATTCGTTGAGCTTTGTTCGATGGTTGCAAAGTCTGACTTTTCGAGTTTTGCTGTCAACCTGGACAGACTTTTTGTGACAGCTTTAAGGTCATTGTGCTGCTCAAGCTGTCCACTTGTCGACTTGTAAATTTCGATGCTGCCGCTGATCAATTTGCTGCTGAAGTCGACAAATTGCACGACGCTCGTAGCAAGGCTGAGAGCGGATAGAGGCTCCATCGCGAGGTTAGAGAGAAATCAACGCGGGATTCGGAAGTGAGCGGTGCGGGTTGAAATAACAGAGCTCTTGAGGATATATGACTAGAAACATTGCCCTTGGAAAATCAAATGATTGGAGTCGGGGTGAGACGGTGGATACTGTGTGAGTCGGGAGGGAAGCTCAGCCTGCAGGTGGGCGGCACAGCAGGAGGCAGACCGGCGCCCGACCCCAGCCTCGTATAAACCTCGTCCAGTAATGAAGTGCAGCCTGGCAGGGAGGGTCCAACCAATCCATGTCAGTTTCTCCCGGCTGATGAGGCAAACGGGTCCAAATCTTAACATGGAAAATATCACTGGTAGCAGACCAAGACGTGTCTTAGGAACAGCATCGTACAGCACATGCGTCTCAGCTGTGTCTGAGCATGGAGCGTAAGCTTGGATACATACCTATTCCGGGACCTAAGCAGACCTGCGATTTATCATAAGCATCTGGGCACATCACGTGTCTGCGTTACCATCACTCCATACCGCTCCATTATCCACACCTTTCATACACACTGGGCAGTCGAACCTAAACCACCCAATCAAACACCAACAAAATTCTTTTAACTTCCTTCCCTTTCCGCACCACCACTCTCCGCACATGCCTCCTCTCCTTCTTCCCCTCAACCTCCAAGTCGGCAAACCCCCAAATCTGCCAGCCCACCCACCCGCCCTTCTTGTTCTCCACATAAGCCTCCACTACCTCCCCATCCCTTGTCGCCTCATCCCACCCTTCCGCCATAAACTTCGCGTCCTCTGCGTCTCCCCCCTTCACTTGTTTAACAGCCTCTTCCAGCTGCGCGAGCTTGGTGAACTGCGAGCGCCCCTCCAAGCTGCCGAAGAGATGGTCCGTGTGATCCCGCCACTGCCAGTCTAGGGTACGCAGCTCGGTGGTGCCTTTTATGCCGCCCGTCACGACTTGGTCGAAGTCGATGTGCGTGACATCGGGTTTGAGGGCATCGGGGTAGGAGGTTGTGACTTGGGTGACGGAGGCGAGGCCGATGCCTTTGCGGGTGAGCCAGCCGATGCCTTGGAGGGCGAGGACGCCGTCGGTGTCGCCGCAGTATTTCTTGTTCTGAGGAAGGTGTTAGTGGCCTTCGAGGAGTATGGGAGGGGAGCAAGAGGGGTACCATGAGCCATTTGCCGCTGAGGTCTTTGACGGTTGTGGTAGCTGGGGCGGCCATTGTGGTTTATTTCTATCAAATTAGGGAATCTAGGCAATGATACGAATAATAGACGTTGAAAATGCGAGGAAACAGGATACGTGTTGTCGAAGGTTGATGGATGGATGGAGTTCAGATGGAAGCTCGGCGGTCAGGCGTGGGGCATCTCAGCTCACCAGGCCCCCTTAAGTACCTCTGCTCTCTCCCACATCCCAGAACATGACAACCTCCCTACACGGAACCAGTTGCTCTTCACATGGCAATGCAGGTACCTCGCTGTGTGTGGCCTGATTCACGAGATGCCTAGGTAGTGCACTTGATTGCCAGCCGTTTCTCTCTTGCCGGCCGTTTCTCTCCTTCAGGGAACATCCCCGCAGGCACAGGTTTTGGAATTCCCCAGGTTTCCCAGGTAAGTCAATCCGGGGCGAGCTGGGCATTACGAATATCGGGCATGGAATCTCGGAGGGTCGTCATATGGGAAGGTGCGTAGAGTATTGACGCGATGCCGAGGGGCGGAGATGTTCAGCATGTGCGGTTCTTGGAGTACAATATTGGGGCTTGGGGACGCGTATAATGTGGAATGTAGTTCAAAGAAGTTTGGAGCTAGTCCAGTCATGGTAAGTCTCTTTATGGACATAGATTGCTACTTTGGTGATAGTAGAGCTTAGCAGATGAATCGACGGTGAGGTATGGGTGATGGTTCTTCTTTCAAGCCAATTTGTCATATTATCTCTTCCCTTCCAAGATTGTCCAAGTCAACCTCTCCAAAACCTTCTTTCTTTTTATTCCGTCGAAATAATGCAATTGCACATTTGATTTTCCTTCTAAGATTCGGTCATGTGTCCTCCAGCCCATGACGAAGACCAGCAATCCTCTCCGAGGGGTTTTTCTGACTGTGTGAACTCTGAATCCACAACTAGCATTTGAAACGCTCCCAGCACCGTAGAGGACATGGGAAATTGATACCTTTCGCCCGTTCGCTTTCATGGAGTCTTGCGGACTGGACTTTAGCTAAAAATTACCAACCTAGGCGCATATGGCCTGGGCTGGATCTCCCGCTGACGTGAAACTCCTCTCGTTATTTGGCTCTGCATCACTGGCTTTAGCTACTCCTATTTCCTAGCATCTATTTCTACTCAACGGCCCCATCAGCTTCTCGAATCTCTGCCCTCATCATTGCATCTTTTCCAGATCTAGGCTCCACTACCCCACGGAGCGCCATGGACATCTCCGGTATACCTCCACCTAACATGTATCTGGCTGTCGAAGTATGTTACCTAACTCGCGGCCCCAATTACCTCCCCTCTGCTGCGCGCCCGGAAATAATTCCAAAACGAACGCCACATGATTCGCGTCGTACCTAGATGGATTTAGATTCCCGTAATTTAAGCCATGGCTGACTCTGTCCTACAAGTTCCAATATGCAGTGCATTGTATTCGAGCGCTAGTTTGGAGGTAGAATCACACTAACGCCTTGAAAGCACGGGACTTACGGACCGGAGAAGCGGTGCTTACCAGTAGGGCTCATTTTGTCCACGTGACAGCCACTGAAAGATGGTATGTAATCTTCGCCGACCTCATGGCCGCAACCAGAGCTGCGAACACCGCACCTTTATGGAGCTCGGAAGTGCCAAAACAGTCTTTCGATGATCCTGGCGGGCTTTGTGGAGCCGGGCGGGAAGAGATCATCGTGGACGGTGCTACCGACGCATGGTGCAGTAGGGAAGAGTCAGCCTACCTGACTCAACATGTTTGTTAGATTATGACAATCACCTACAGCAATCATTGCGTGTAGCAAACGGGGCTTTCATGTACATAATGTTCGCGTTCCACCAATGTTTAGATGCTACGGCCTGCAAACCAACGAAGGGAGGAAGTCGAATGGGGTGGATCAACAACTGGCTAATAGATTTTGATGGTGATTTGGTGGAGGTGTATGACAAGAGAAGAGAAGCTGGCGGTGATGTAGGTAGAGACGCGGGGGAATCATGTGGTGATGCTTATCGAGACTGGTTGGCGATGGCGGAGAGGAGGAAGGGAGAGTGGTGCGAAGTAGGGTTTGAGTTAGGCGAGTGGTACTGTCTTCCCCAAGGTACACTAGGAGACGTCTTTCTCAGACTTTGGTCCTATGCATACCTACACCTCTTTCTTAGTCCCAGTCCCTACTGTCCATTCTTTTTAATCTTCGACAGTGGTGAACCTAGCGCCTCCCTCTCCTTACCACGATAATTCCATTATTCAAATGCTGATAAGCTCGACTTCCTCTCCACTCCCGCTCCACGGCAAGGATGTTGGCTGGATTTTTGAACAATGCTTTTCCTTCGCTCCATGGAGTCACAGAGAATCGATTTTAAATATCCATAATTAGGCGATTCAGGGGATTTTTCTAAATTACCACTCACCCACCCGCCTCGTACTCTTATTGCTTCTTAAAAATCTCGTTAAGTCGACAAATAGAGGGAAGGATAGTCTTTATAGAAAATATGGGCGAGGGGATCGCTAGGTCCCATAGAAAGCATGTGACACTCTCTGTTTACTCGAGCTCGAGTTGGGGGTATGTGGATGGATAGGAGAGGAGTGGAAAGGAGTAACAGAAAACTTATATACATAGTACGTGCGGAGCTTAGTCCATCGAAAGCGTCACTGTTCAGTTGAAGCCAGATTCTCCCACACCTATGAAGATCTTGCTCTTGAGCGTTCTTGAATAGATAGCGCGGCACGACCCAATGATTACTCGCAGGGACGTGTTTTCACTCCCTGCAGAATAGTTCGACCGCGTAATGAAGCAGAAGAGTTGCAGAAAGAGGAAATGGTCTTCTGGGCGAAGTTGACGGAGGTGGGAAAAGGTCACGTGGTTTAATATTCAACGGTTTCATATGAGAGATGAACGGCAGTAGGAAAATCCAGTGAATGCTGCTAGAGTGGTATGAAAGTAGCCTCACGCATCGCTGCAGTCGATATACTTTGGATATCTATTGCCTTTTCACACGTGAGAACGTGGGAGGTAGATCGCACTAAGTAGGACTAGCGCAGACGCGTCCTGGCGAGCGACTTTGTCTTGAGCCAGGTTGCTCCTCCTAACTCTTCTCCTCTCACCAATCAACTCAGTCTGCGCAGATCGACCGCCATCATGGCCTGCCCGCTGATGGGGCTGCCTGACGAACTCCAGTTGTGGATCATCGAGAAACTCCAAGAATCCGGCAGAGACGGCTTCAATGGCCTCGTCAACCTCAGTAGTACTTGCTCTCGGTATCGGACGCTTCTCGCTCCTACCGTCTTCCACACGATCACTCTCAAAAACACCGTCAGAAGCGCTGAATCGGTGCTCGCGGTTGCGAATAAAAACTCTCTTGCACAATACGTCAAACACCTTCACTTCATCGGCACACTGGCGCAAATCGACTTCATTGCGAACCCTTGCGGCGATTTATATGGCCTGTTGGAGGATACAAAAGATGCAGCCTGGGTCTCCATGGTAGAGTTGGACGCCAAAGAAGTGTTTCCGACTGTCGCTTCCAATATCTTATCCGATTTACGCTTGTTTCCCCAGTTGACCATGCTCACGGTCAGCTTTGATTCGGATTCTTGGTGGGGGCATCCGCAGAGTAACAGCTCTATGTTGACCGACCTGGAGCACACAGACGGCAGCAGTCAGGTAGAGTGGGTGGAGCAGAATGTGCCTTATAGAGCCTTGATGTCGGCAACATTCGTCACCATTACCAGGAACACGAATCACTCTATCACAATGCTCCACTTGAATCTGATACCCATCCTGGTAGGAGCTTTCGGCAGTACAGACTGGTCCGAATTCTTGAACCCCATCCAAAGCTGCACCGTCGCCATTAAAGGTGAATTCAAAGCCAGAAAAATCCCCCGGGATGAGAACTGCTGTCTTGCGAGAACCTGCGACGACTGTCAGGGTGCGCAATGTGCCGGCGCCACCACCGGCTACTGCTATTTTATCTCTAGGCTTTCTCAGTGTTTCTTCGAACACCTAGACTCCGTCACGACTTTGCGGATCATCGCCTCTGTCTCGGGCCCAATCTGGTACGTCTCTGAAGAATGTGGGCTCGGGGGAAACCAGCTGCCAAAACTCCGGTCTCTATACGTTGAACGGGTGTTCGTATGCCACGAGCTTGGGAAATTTTTGGCCACTCGCAAAGACGTCCTAGAAGAGATCACCTTCCAGGATTGCTATGGTACCGTGGATTTTGACTATCCCAACTACCCAAAAGGCGTTGGAAAGTGTAGTTGGCATTGTCTGCTCGATTATCTTTCGACTGCTAACCCCACGCGCCTTCAGTCGGTAGAAATTCGACCTCTTCAAGAGCCACTCTTTTTGATGGCTATGGAGAGTAATTTGCACTGGCCAGATTCAGGCATTGAAGCCATTGATCTAAAAGTGGCCCAAGATCTCCTTGCGAACGACCCCCACCGCGTAGCTTTTCCTTACGCGTGGCTTGAGGACTGGGACGGGCTCCTCGATATAACAGATTATTATGAGAGCGAGGCCTTCGTTCAAGGCGACGATGTAATGTCGTATAACCGACTGCTCGCCATCGTGAAAGCCAACCGGGCAACCCGCTTACAGGTCTAGAAGTTCAAGCGCAGACAATTATTACCTCGGGGCTGAACTTTTGGTTTCGCGACGAGAGGGTTTTCATCTCTATACTATCTTATTCCAATGATGTTGTGCCTTGTTAATGTCGGCATCCAGCTCAACTTTGTTGATCTCACTCAGATGGCCAGATTCGGAAGAAGTCTGACGGGTGGAAGGCGAATGGAATCGGGGGCCGCGTCGAGTACTCAGTTGTTCCACTGACACAAACTTGGGTTTGTAGAGACGCAGCGGCAGGTCACCTGTACTCTTTTTGATGTGCAGAACTAGAGTGCTCTGCTAGGGTGGTCAATTTCAAGCACCGTAAGTAGTGGGAGAGCAGTGTAACCAGTCTATAACGAGCTCGGTCGGCTATGCTTCAATGCTCTACACTATAACTGTGCTACACATCGTCGTTTATTCCCACAATCTTCAGCGAGTCTTTCCATAGCCTATCCTCATTCTTCGGATCATAAGTTTGGCGAACATATCCAACCCCAAAGACCTCATTGTCGTCCTCACCACGTTTTGCTTCTGCACAGTCCTCCAGATACTTTCCTCCTTTGTCCTCCCATTCTGCCCCAATTGCAGCAAGGACAGTCGTCGCAGCTCCCTGCTCCGGCGTCTTCATAATCTTGCGAACCTTCTCGTTGCTCAAAATCTGCTCCACGACTTCTCTACTCATGTGTCTGGACAGCTCCGTGTTGATTGCGCCAGGATGGAGACTTGTCGCATGCAGTCCTTTGTGACCGTAGCGACGATCCAATTCGTTGGCCATGTAGACATTTGCAAGCTTCGAGGTTGCATACGCAAGCCCATAATGATATCCTCCCTTCTGGAAGTTGTAGTTGTCACTCTCGTTGAGGTCGCACGCGCGATGGGCTGAAGACGTGACGGCGACGACTCTGGAGTGAAAATCGGGAGTGGAGCTGGCAAGCAAGGCGGGCTTGAGGAGTTGGAAGAGGAGGAAATGACCGAGGTGGTTGGTAGCAAAGTGCATCTCGTGGTCGTCCTCGGTGAGCTTGAGCTCCTCGATTCCCATAACGCCCGCGTTGTTGACGAGGATATTGACTTGATTATTCGATTTCGCGAGGATGGTTGCTGCTGCGGCTCGAATGCTAGCGAAGGAGGCGTTGTCCATCTCGATCAGCGAGAAACGACCTGGTTCTAGGATCCCCCCAAGAACAGTCTCGGCCTTCTTCATATCCCGGGCCGTTAAGATCAAGGTGGCGCCTGTAGCGGACAGTGCTCGTGCAGTCTCAATACCAATTCCGGCAGTTGCACCGGTGATGACTATCACTTTGCCAACAAGTTTGCCTTCGAGTGATTCATCGCGGACGATTTGGAGGGCGCTTGGCCGGGAATCTCCCACGCCTTGAGGATTGGCGTGAGCGGCAGTGTGAGGACTCATGTTGACGAATGGTCGGAATAACGAGCAGAAATGGATCAAATGGGGAGCACAGAACGAGCAAGCTGCTAATGATTGTTTCGATGAGGTTGAAGGCTGACGGGAGGAGTGAATTTACAACTGAATATCTATCAAGTTCACTGCCGCATCCTACAGCACTTAGTTCTACTCACTAAAAGTAAGACCGACCATTTACTAGGCCGTATGTATGCAAGGATCGTAGTGGCCCCCTTTCAGCATGTCGGATTGGTTCGCTAGAATAAGTGGTCATTCGCGGCCGGTCAGCGGCCGCCAGTGGCCGCAATTCGTCCGCAAAATCTTCTCTTGTTGCGGCCGCTACGGCGCTTTCACTGCGCTTCCCTTTTTCTCCATCGAAACATTAACGTACGACTCCGTGCATCTTTCAATAGGGAGATAACAAGGCACTATTCTTGCACATTATGCGCACACCCAACAGCGAATCTAGCCTTGATCAGGCACAGCAAGTGTGCACTTCATGTAAAGCACGGAAGAGGAAATGCGACAAGGCACTTCCCAGATGTTCGCAATGCACCAAGTGAGTCCATTTCATTGGATACTGAATCCCTGTCCACACGTCGCGGGGCTTATCACAACGGAAATAGGAGGAACTTGACGTGTGAATACTCAACGCTGGAGCAATCCCGCAACTCGGCATCCGTACCCGACCGACCGTGGCATGGTATCCACGCCGACGAAGATCGCGCGGATGCCCAATCCCTTGACTTTCCGACCATGCTGTTCTTGGATCCGGGTATTTTACAGCATGGGCAGGTTGATATCTCCTGTGTTGCTCCTCCCGTTCCAGCCCACATTCTACAACTACTTGGAGACATAGATGAAATTCGCGCCACGGCATCTAAATTCTTCGAGCACATACACATGTGGATGCCATTTATCTCTAAGAAACGGTTTCATGAACTCCACCTACGTTCCTTCCAATCTCAACCCGACATCGCACTTCTTCTAGTCTCTCTTAAGCTCATCACAACGCTCCCTCCCGTAAGCCCACGGAACCCTCGGACTCCCCTATACTATACCGCGAAGCACTTCTACCTCGAAGTCGAAGGGTCTAGCATCTTTTCGATCCCAATCTTGCAGGCTGGGATACTCATCGCTCTCTACGAACTCGGGCAGGCTATATACCCTGCAGCCTACCTGTCTATTGGTGCATGTGCCCGATATGCACACGCTCATGGCATCAATGTTGGTGGAACGTTGAATACAAGAAGAGCCGTGACCTTGATTGAGGTTGAAGAGAGGAGGAGAGTTTGGTGGGCAATTGTGATCTTAGACCGGTCAGTTCCCAGTTCTTTCGCCGTCAAAATGCTTGTCGAGCTATACTCTTGGTTTGATATTGATTGGCATCGTAGCTTCGTGAATGTCGGTTGCCCCGGGAGGCCCTTTGCGACCGCGGACCCTAGCCTAGATGACTTTTTGCCGGCGGACGACGCCGTGTGGGACCAAGGCGTATGCCCCATACCCTCCGCGGTCCTCCACGTGCTTACAAATTCTTCAGATCGTCAGATCAGACGATTCGTTCAGGTTGTCTTCACCAATGACCGCTCACATGAGTAAATTCGCGCTATTATGCCAAGCCGCGAGGTTGCTGGGCCAGGTCCTCCGCCATGTCTCCAGTGAATCGGCGTTTCAAGATGACGTCTGGATGCAGTTAGATCGGACCCTTCACTCCATGCTTGCCGCTTCGCATGACATGGACGAGCCAGATTATGACCAGATTACCTTCATTTATAGGTATGTGCTCTCGACTGCTCACGAATCTCTCTGATTATCTGGATATAGCGCTCTCGTTGCTCTGTATATGCCTTCGTTCTACGCTGCTGATGACACGGATCGCTCTCAGCGCGCAAGAGTTGTCATTCGACAAATCAATGAGACGGTAAGTAGGAACCTCGTTAGACAGCGATGCTTCATAGGTCGCGATCCCGAGGCTATTTCTCCATGGGGCCTCTTTTTCGCGTACCATCTCTGTGGGGCACATATACGCTATGGTCGAGGGATCCCTGAGCTTGTGAAAATCCTTAGAGAGACATTTACGGGTATAGATGCTAGGTGGAATGCTGCAGGTGTTTATCTCCAGCTCCTCGAGGCGCGGGAAGTCATGAGCCAGTCGTAATCGGAGGCTCTGTACACTGTTCTGTTCGACCTGCTTTTAGAGATCCAAGAGGGACGTGATTTCATCCTTTTGAATGACTGGGAAAGTATGGGCACCTCAGGCGGTGCTTCGTGGGGATAGCAATCTATCAATCACATACTAGCGCCCCCAAACTAACCCAGCGCGCCTAGCTAGTAACTACTCAAACCATTAGATTCTCCTTCCTCCACTACAAAACCCATCGAAGGCCATCATGGCGTGCCCGCTGGTCGACGTGCCGGACGAGATCCAGATGCTCATAGCCCATGAGCTCGGCGATGACAACTACGCACTCATCAACCTCAGCAGAACCTGCACGAGGTACCGGTCGCTGCTTGCTCCGACGGTCTTCCACACGATCACGCTCAAGAACACGGCCAAGAGCGCTACATCGGTTCTCACGGTGTCGAAGAGTCAGCATGCACAATATGTCAGGAAATTGGTGTTTGTAGGGACTTTGGCCATGTTTGACTTCGTCGCGGATGATGGATTCGATGGCGATGACGGTACTTCCCAAGACCCTGCAACGATGATCACGAACGCCGAGCGCCTCGAAAAAATGCTGCCAACCAGGTTTTCAAGATCCTGGGGAACTAAATTGCTTTCGAAACCTCTACGCGTTGAGCGTTCGATTTGAGTCAGAGTCCTGGCTAGGAAAACCACGCAGCAGCAATGACGACATTATAGACGAGATCTGGGTTATGGCGGACGAAGCGTAAGATAATGACGACGATCACGCAACATGGGCCTGCTTCCTGCTGCGTCGAGCACTGATGTCGGAGACATATGCCCTGATTTCCAAGAACCGGAACCACTCTACCACAGACCTTCATCTCTACTTGATTCCGCTTGCGCTTGAATCGTACCTCACTCCAGATTTCCACGACTTTCTAAGTAGTATCGAGACTTTCACGATCGAGATCGAAGGCACGACACGGGATTTGGACCCCAAACGGATGGGGGAGCCGCTCTACGTTGGAGCCCGCGATGGATACATTCATTTCTGCAAAAAGCTGTCATCATACATGTTCGACCACCTGGACTCTGTCAAGACAGTGAAGATTGTCGCCCCGAAATCTGGTCCTCTTGGGTTTGATTATTACGCCCCATTAGCCTTCACTGCGAATCAGATGCCAAATCTCTCATTCCTCTCTCTTGAGCTGGTGTGCATATCGGTCGAGCTGGCCGCTTTCTTTGCTGCACACAAAACCTCTTTAGAGGAGATTCGGTTCCGAGACTGCTACGGTGCCTTCGAGTTTCAAGACAGTATACCGAAAAGTGGAATGTGTTCTTGGCGTCATCTTTTCGACCATATGTCTGATGCTCAACCCGAAAGCCTTGGACGACTGGAGATCACCCCATGGCAAGTTCCATTTTGGGCAGATACTACCCAGGACAGGTCTACATGGTCAGCGATAGATCTTCGCTACGGGGAGGGCGATGACGCGCTCGAGGCTTACGAAATCCTAGACAAGAACCCTGAACGGCCTGTCTTCGCTTACGGGTCGCTGGGGTATGAGGACGGCCTTTATGTCCGGATCTGAATAATTGCTACGAAGCAACTCTAAGGTTTATCGATGGTCAGCATCAAACGGCGTATGAGCGACTACGAGCGGTTTTAGAAGCTAACAGGGCGAATCGTACGACTGGAAAGGGATGAGAGACGATTCTAGGGCATCGAACGATCAGAAAGGTTGGTGAGAGGCATGGGAGAGGCGGCGACAGATTCTTTTGCCCACTCGGATAATGTACGGGGAAGTTCCTGCTAGTATCAAAGATGGTACACAGTATGTCCTCCCCTCTACTTTCTATCTCTGAGAAAGTAAAACTAAGCTCTCCAAGACAGTAGCTTATCCTCTCCGCTGCGGCTTCGGTATTGACGGCAGCTACAACAGATACAGAGCTAATGGTGGCATCCGCTTCAATGCGAAAGTGCGGGGAACTGGGTCAGCTTTGGTTATACGAAAAGGTGTTTAATCTCAGTGCAATACTTGCCCGGAAGGGAAGCGGGCTGGAATGTCAGAAACGAGTTTCAGTATCATTCCATATCAAGAACAAGGGCTTACTCCCCTCACACCCTCACTGCTTACACTCAACCTACCCTCTCTACCTACGGGAGAGCTCTGTCCCATTCTACCTCACCCCTCACGCACCTGCCTCATATTTCCTAATCCCAACAGCCTTTAACCCTTCCACCGTCCCCCGAATCGCCTTCTCCACCGGAATCCTCTCCACGCTACTCGCCCCATAGAACCCACACAACCCCGGTACGCGCTCCAGCACATACTGCGCCTCCTCCGCCCCTTCCACCGGACCCCCATGCACAATCACCATCGCGCCCTCCCCCTGCACCCCCCTCACCGCCCCCAATATCTCTTTGCATAAAGCTACACACTCATCCAGCGTCTTCGCCCCCATCCCCTCCTTCCCCAGCCCAATCGTCCCCCCCGTCGTGAGCCCCATATGCGCGACCACAATATCCGCGCCGGCCTCGGCCATCTGTTTCGCCTGCAGGGAATCGAATACGTAGGGTGTTGTGAGGAAGCCCATGCCGTGCGCGAGGGCGATGAGGGAGATTTCGGCGGCGTAGGACATGCCGGTGGCTTCGAGCGCTTGGCGGAAGGTGCCGTCGATCAGCCCGACGGTGGGGAAGTTTTGGATGCCGGCGATGCCGAGGGCGCGCAGTTGGGCCAGGAAGGGGGGCAGGGGGCGCGTAGGGTCGGTGGCGCAGATGCCGCAGAGGAGCGGGGTGGTGGTTAGGAGGGGGAGGGTTTCGTTGGCCTGGGGTTGGGTTAGGGGGGTTGAGGGGGGGATAGGGGAGGATATGGGAAGGGGGAGGTACCATTTCGAGGACGATGTCGTTTGCGTTGCCGTATGGCATTAGGCCGGCGAGAGAACCGCGGCCGTTCATGCGGTAGCGGCCGCTGTTGTAGATGACGATTAGGTCGCCGCCGCCTGCTTCGACGGATTTGGCTGTGAGGCCGATGCCTAGGAGTGGTCAGGTTGGGGTTTGTTAAGAGACGGATGAAGAAATGGTCAATGCGTAAGGAGAAGAAGAAATTGAGTATATGAAAATATCAAAGTGATGCTAAAGGCAGTAGAGTTGAATTGAAAGCCATGACAATAATACAAGATGATGTTTAAGATGAAAAGTATGAGAATCTATGCCTACCCGCTCCAGCACCTACAATTGCTTTCCCCTCAGCGACCTGCTTCCGCAGACGCGCCATGATTTCTGTGCGATCTGTTGGAGGAGGCATGCCTTCTGATATTGACCTTCTTTGAATATACTACAACAATGCTTCAGATTGAAGCAGAACAGAAGAAAGTAGCCGAGCGATCTGATGACGCGGATTCCGCGGTCTTTTCGGAAGTCCCGAATTGGAATCCCGAAAACCTTGTCTCTTTATGTTTAGAGAGTCCACTGCCTTTCAATTGAATTGTGGAAAGTGAATTCCAATAAATTGAAAGGTTATGGGTGTTTAAGGGATGAGATCCTCATCGGAGGTCCTCCAGTCCCTGGCGGAGATCCCCCGCGTTTCCAGCGTCATCGATCCCCGAGCTCGAGCTTCAAGCTCTCTCCTTCTCTTTATCAACCTTCACGTCTCCATGAATGCTTCCTACACTACCCTCTCCTAGCGATCGCACTCGATAACCAACCGTCCAACATGCCTCCCCACATCGTCCTCCTCGGCACCTGCGACACCAAACTCCCCGAACTCCTCTACCTCCGCTGCCGCATCCTCACTCACTCCCCCTCCGCCCGCATAACCCTCATCGACGTTGGCCGCACGCCCTCCTCCGACCCCGCTGTCACGATACCCCAATCCCAGCTTCTCGAATACCAGCCTTCCTCCCCGACGCGTCTTGACGCGGATGCCCTCCAAAACCTCCCCCGCGGCGAGCTGCTAGACAAAATCTCCAAGCTCGCAACCGCATGCCTTCTCGATCTCCTCTCAGAAGACCCAATACACGGCGTCGTCGCGGCTGGTGGGAGCGGCAACACATCCGTCGCGGCTGCCGTGATGCAGGCGTGTCCAGTCGGGCTGCCTAAGCTGCTCGTTTCAACCGTCGCGAGTGGAGATGTGGGACCCATTGTGGGCGAGTCAGATATCTGCCTCATGTACAGTGTCGTGGATGTTGCGGGGCTGAACAGTGTGCTGAGGAGCGTGCTGGATAATGCTGCTGGCGCGATTGCGGGGATGGCGGCGGCGTATAAGGTGCGGGAGGAAGAGAAGGCGAAGGAGGAGGGAGAGAAGAAGATACAGGTGGGCATAACCATGTTTGGGGTTACGACGCCGTGTGTGGATGTTGCGCGGAAGCGGTTGGAGGAAAACGGGTGTGAGGTCTATGTGTTTCATGCTACAGGGCATGGGGGAAGGGCTATGGAGAGACTCGTTGATGAAGGGGCACTAGACGCGGTGCTGGACGTCACAACAACGGAGATTTGCGACCACTTATTTGGCGGCAACATGAGCGCTGGTCCGGATCGACTGCTGGCTGCGGCAGAGAGGGGCATTCCATACATTGTCTCGCTCGGAGCGTGTGACATGGTCAACTTCGGCCCAAGAGACACAGTGCCAGAGAAATTCAAAGACCGGAATCTGCTGGTTCATAACTCGATGGTAACGCTTATGCGGACAAGCGAAGAGGAGTGTAAACAGGTGGGTGCTTGGATCGGGGAGAGACTGAAAGAATCCGCCAAAGTCCCTTCGATGGTCCAGGTTTGGATGCCACTCCATGGTGTCAGCGTGCTTGATGTTGAAGGCGCGCCCTTTCACGATCCCAAAGCCGATGAAGCTTTGTGGAGGTCCCTGGGACGGAAGATGGAAGGGTCAGAAATCATAGCCGATGACTGGCCGATGAACATTAACGATGAGAGATTTGCGACTAAAATTGCAGACAGATTGCTACAGCTTATCCTAACCCATGAAGGATCCTTATGTTCCTAGTATAGATGCCATTGAAGAGAATGAGCATACTTGATTTTGTGGTTGAGAATGTCTGGCTCTCAAAGTACGACACTTCTTGCCTTGATAAATATCAATGAGAGCGCGTTTGAGGTTGGAGTGGCTGGCGATTTTAAGAGTTTAACGAAAGATAGCAGACGGGTCAAGTTGGCTAAAGCCTTTATAGGATTAAAGCCTTCGATTGAGTAGCTGGACACAACGAACGTCTCACCAAGCTAAGTGGAGTGAAAGGACTAACATCTATGACAAGTTAGGGAAGCGCCGGAGTGACATATCCCCGGATCATTCTCCCTTCAAAAATACCGAAACGATTATGGAGCGCCGGAAACGTAGGTACTTGCGAAGCATCAAAAAGTTGAAAATACTAAGAACGAACGCCGATCTTCTCCTTAACTTAGTGCAATCTTAGAGCCATACCTATTCACGAACATCCCCATTATCTCTACCAACTCATCCAGCAGACCCCGTGCATACTCCCCCCACGACTCAAAAGTCACAACTTCAAGCGTCAAGCTATCACCCTGCGGGAACGCCTGTATTTTCCACTCCCGCAACGGCTCGAGATGCGGATAAATCGTTTCCATCTTGCTATTCGCAGACAAGAACGCCAAGTTCTCGACATGGTCGACGTCCTGGTGCACGACCGAATCAAACCAGTCAACACTGCTCGGCCAATCTGTGCATTTCTCCACGATCTCTTTGAGGCCCATGCTCTCGAATGGTGCGCTAGCGATGTGCTGCCGCTGGACGTGGTTGAGTAGATCAAGAGCAGTCCAGCCGTCTTCGAACTTGACGCGAGTAGGAACGTACTGCCAGCACGGTCCGATGACGGCGTCAGCGTTGGGAAGATCGATGTTCCGCCCGCTGACGACTTCGCCGAATGTGACGTCTTGGGTTGAGAGGCGACGGGCTAAGCAGAGCGCCCATGCGGCGGTGGGAAGGGTGGCGATGGTGATGTCTTTGGAGCGGGCGGAAATGTCTACGGTTTTGTAGAACGAGACGGCTTTCCTGGATTCGAGGGGGATGTCCGGGCGTAGTAAAGACATTGAAGAGCCTTGGAGAAGCTTGCGCCAGTAAGGAATACTTGTGGGAGTCGTTTCGCGCACCACACGGTTGACGAATGACGAAAAGGGCAGCGTTTCCGGCGAGGTTTGTCCTTGGTAGATGGCTGAGAGCTGACGTAGCATGATAGGTAGACATATCTCATCGTACTGCGCGTGCGATATCCGGAAAATTAGGCAGCTGTTCCCGTCCTCGCCTTGCACGAAAGCGAACTTGACAAAGGGGGTGCCGAGTGGCATCCGTGTTTGGACGTCTAGGTCGCAGTATTTGTGGCAGAAGTCTTTCACGTCGCCTTCAATACTGAATTCGGAGAGCTCCACCTGTAAGTCTTGGAGAACGACCCCGTAGCAGCTGCCAGCTGCCTCGACGAAGATAGTGCGGAGGATCTCGTTGCGGGATACGAGTTCTTGGCAGCTGCGAAAGAGGAGCTCGTGGTCGATGGCGGAGTCGAGGTAGAAAGCTTCGTATCGAACGGAGTACCGAGGAAGCTTCACCGTTCCTTGGACGGCGATTTCTTGGAGTGGGCGGGCTGGTAAGACGTCCACGACTGTCCAAGAAGGATCCGCAAGGACCGGTTTGATCGATTCTGCCAAGAAAGACTCCACGTCAGGAACATCGAGTGCCGCGAAAGGTATATGCGGCTTCACCACTGTCTCCGAAGGCTGGAAGTCTTCGACGATATTCGCCATCTCGTATAGCGTCCTTGCCTTGAAGACTTGCGCAACGCTCAGTCCAAGGCCTTCGAGTCGTGTTTCGGAGACCAACTTCATGGCTCCGATTGAGTCACCGCCTAGTTGGAAGAAGCTGTCGGTAAGACCGATCTCGCTTTCATTAATTTGTAGAGTGCGACTCCAAATTCGGAGGAGCTTTCGTTGCTTCGCCGAAACTGCGGGAACTCGGATCTTTGGGGTTGGCTTGGAGATGTTGAACGTGGACTTCTCTTCCTCTTCTACAGTGCCAACGATGACAATGGACCCGTCTGTGTTGTATCTTGCGAGCTTGCCGGTCCGGTACAGCTTCTCTTCATGTGCGGACTTCTCGGCAAAGATCGCATCGATCGAAGCTGGAAATTCGACAGAAGGTAGGGCGAGATTCGTCGAACTTTCGATCAAAAGCTCCCCTAGACCGCCAATCGGTAGAAGAACCTGAACGTTCGTACGGTCAACTATCCATGTTGCTGTGGCACCCTCAAGAACTTTCCCATCAACTTTGCTATGCGGACCAATGAGGCTGACTCGACGTAGCTCTTCTCGCTCCAGTTGGGTAGTATACTCCAAGTCCCTAACGAGCTTATTTGGCGCTTCACAAAGCTGCTGCACAAGACGCTCCATATGCACCAAAGCATCCTGCATCTGAGGTACAGCGATAGTCTTGGAATCGAAACTGGCCATCATGAGGAAGCCATGGTCATCCAGAGCGCAGACCAGCATGAGAGCGTATGTGTTGAACTTCAATGCCTCCCGCGCAGCTTCAGAGTCGCCGGCGGGTACAAAACCGTTCGCGGGCTCATCATTACTCGCTGGTCTCTCATCCTCGGCATTGCTAGGGTGTAGGACGAGGCCGGTCCGCAATTCGCAAGCCTCGCGTGCATCAGGGCTTAGGCGTCGGATATATTGTAAACCTAGATGCTCATGCGGCATACGCAGAACAGCATCATCATGGATCTCTTGCAAATATTCAGAGACTGTGGCACTACTGTCAACTCGTACGCGGATAGGGACTGTGGTGATCATTGGACCTTCGATACTTTCGACGCCTGTAATCGGCGCGTTGCGGCCAGTGAGAGTTTCTCCGAACACGATGTCCTTGGATCCAGAGTACATGCTCGATACTAACGCCCATGCTCCGCGAATAGCAGTCGCGATAGTTGTGCTCGAGGCGGAGCGTCTGGGAAGTGGGACATATCGCTCAAGTAAAGAATCGGCTTGCGTTTGGTAACCAGCCCATGGAAGCTCGGGAAATGTACGGCCAGTGGCTTCGCGGAGGCTCTGTCGCCAGTGAGTCTCTGATTCTGCTCGGCTGGCGCCCCGGAGGTGTTTGATAAAGCTCTTGAATGGTGCTAATTGTTGAGTCTTCAGTCCCTGGTAGACTCGATTCACGCGGTCAACGATTAGTGGCATCGACCACCCATCGTATAGAGCGTGGTGCATAGTCAAGACCATGTCGACACGGCCAGTCGCCCCGTCGGTCACGAGCCCGTACCGTGCGAGGGGGACACCGAGGCCCATCGGCCTTTCTCGATCTTCCGTGAGATAGTCTTCTAGATTTGTACGAGATTGCCAGATGGCTTCCTCATTTACAACGATTTGCATCAGGCCACGTCCGGGAAATTGGACTATCCGAGTCCGTAGGATAGGAGATTCCACGGCTGCGGTTTTGAATGCGGCTTGCAATCGCTGGGCCGTCTCGAAGTTCGGCAGGTTCACGACTCGCTGCGCGACGTAGGCTTCTTCTATCTTCACTGAAAGAGCCATTAGACCTTCTTGCAGTGGTGTGCAAGGGTAAACATCTTCGATTGATGATGCTTCTAGTCCGCAGAGCTTGGCTGCTTCTTGACGCACCGCGTCTACGTCCCATCCGTCCAGCAGAGAAAATGCGGGTATCTCGAGCTCGTCGCCTGCTATCTTTGGGCTTGCTTGAAGAGCCATGTCAGCTAGCCTAGGGTACTTAAAGATACTAGCAACTGTCAGGGCCAGTCCGTCCGAGTTTGCGGCGGCCACGAGCTTCATTGCTTTCAAGGAATCACCCCCGAGGCCGAAGAAACTATCGTTGGCACTGATTGTGAGTTCTGAGCCCAATATCTGTTTCCAGAGCTCATGGATCCTGAGCTCCATCTCCGTCTCTGGCTTTCGCGAACCCACCTGCGCAACGCGGAACTTTGCAAGGTCCTGCCGCGACATGGCAGATCCAATCTCGCGTAGCTTTTTACGATCTGTTTTGGCCGAGACTAGAGACGGCATCTTGCGAAGTGGGATATACGCCGAAGGAATCATGTAGATCGGTAGTGTTGTAGCAACTCTTTGGTCCATTTCCGCGAGGGCGCGCTCGAGTACAGGAGACATGGGAACAGTCGTGTTCTCGGTATCTGCTCCGTTCTCCTTGAAGGGTTCCACGACGAAAGCCACCAGTGACGGGTCTCCGCGACCTCCTGGCGTGATAACTTCTGCCACAACGCCCGTTCCCGATGGTAGGTGGTTTCGGAGATGGTACTCGACTTCCGCAAGCTCGATTCGCTGACCTCTCAGCTTCACTTGCTGGTCGCCACGTCCCACGAACACAATCGTCCCAGATCCGTCCGGAGCATACTTCACCAAATCTCCTGTCTTATACAGCCTTCCTCTTCGTCCAGGTACATTCCGATCGCCAGCAACCAGCCACTTCGGATCCTCAATAAACACCACCTTACTCTTTTCCAGCTCACCCAGATACCCCTCCCCCACAATCGGTCCCTCAATCAACAGCTCACCCACTTCACCAACCGGCACGAGCTTGTCATGATCTGCCGCATCCACAATCCACGTGACGCCACCCACCCCCTTTCCAATACTCGTATATGCCTTCCCAATTTCAATATCTCCATTAATCGTACACCCAACCGTGCACTCACTCGGCCCGTACGCGATAATCACTCGCGTCTTCTGCCCCCACTCTGACGCATCACTCGCGGACACTGACTCCCCACCTAGCCCCAGTACTTCCAGCGACTCTAGAACGCCTGGCTCCAGCACCCTGGCGACGGAAGGCGTCATATGCGCCATATTAACGTTCATGGATCTGATTGCGCCGCTGAGATCGTTCAGACGAGAAGCGTCCGAGGGCACGCAGATGCAGCCGCCCGCCGCGAGCGTGCACAGCATACAGTCGATGCTGACGTCGAAGGCGTAGGAGGCGAAGTCGAGGACGCGGGAGTGGGATCGGTAACCGACGATGTGGGCGCGGGTAATAGCACCAGATGTGAAGGCAGCGTGGGGGATTATGACGCCTTTGGGTGTCCCAGTGGAGCCGGAGGTGAAGATGATGTACAAAGTTGAGGAAGGGGGGACCGGGGGGATGGCTGGTAGTGGAACCTCTCCTGAAGCTTGAGAGTCGAAAAGATTGAAGAGGTCGCGGGACACGGTGACGACGGTTGCGGAGGGCGCTATACGCTGGCCTAACTCTTTCTGTGTCTGCGATGTTACGATTATGTTCGCTCCCGTTTGGCTCACGATGTTCCTTAACCTCTCTTCAGGTTGACTTGGATCTGTAAGTACGAATGCGCCACCTGCTTTCATAACGCCCAGAACAGCCACAACCGTCCACATCGACTTCTCGAAGCAGAGTGGGACATAACTCCCTACGTCCACGCCCAAACCTCTCAAGTGGTGCGCCAAACTGGTAGAGTTCTCGTCCACTTGCCAATACGAGAGCTCGCCGTCCCAGGAAGTGATGGCAATCTTGTCGAGATTCTTGGCCGCTTGCGCGGAGATGATATCGTGCATGCAGGTGGTTAAGTTTGGTGGGACGGTAGCGTTCCACTGCCATATCTGATCGAGGTCTTTCTCACTGACGGTGTTGAGATCTACATCTTTGGTGGAGACGGCGGTAGAAGCAGTTGTAGAGAAAGCAGTGATGCCGTCATCGTTTGAGCTATTCGCGGAAAGTGTGGGCGAAGCTGCTGCTGCCTCGCCCACGCTTGAGGTTGAGGATTTGAGAGGTGACAGTGTGGAGGGAGTCGAGGTATGGGTTTTGTTCTCTTTTGAGGGCTCGATAGTGATACTGGGCTGTGCTTCAGTGACTTGAACTTCCACCTCTGTTAGAGTTTCTGAGATATTTTCGGGTTTTAAAGGGTAGCCTGTCGTCGAGGTATGTATATCCTTCTCTTCTAAAGGTTTGACGTCGACATATGGTTCAGTGATCTGAACCTCCCCTTCCGCTGGACCTTCAGATATGGCCCCTTCGCCCTCGGATTTCTCGGACTCACTGCGAGTCCCCATCTCTTTCCTCGCTGGTGATTGGGTACCATCCATAACTCCAGGTACCTGGTTCATGGTTGCTTCTAATGCACACTCTGCGTCGGTGGAAAGATTATCATGCATCATAGACAACGAAAGAATTCGATGAAGGCATAGGGCGCAGCAAATGACAGAGAGGAGAGGTAGGTCGAGGTATGTTTCCATAAGATCGTCTCGCGTGCGTAAAGACGGGTGGCCGAGCTCGCTCCTATGCTACCACTGTGGTATGATTTCCTGAAACTGACACTCAAAGTTAATTAACCGTAATCCGCCTTCCTTTCGGAGGTGCTACCTCACATCTTTCCTCCTACGTAAGGTCTCCGACAACCGCTTCACTTTCCCACGCACCCGTTGAAACCTCCCACCTCCGTCATTTTAGTCAGGCACATGCCACATGCATCCACATCACACCTCCTACTTCGCTTAGCACTAACTTTGACCGAAAGCCAAGTGGAAGACACTAAAACATAGTTCACACACCCTCCGCACAAGGGCCGACCTCTCCCTGCACCTCCACGTCAGGGCGTCCCCCGATTGCAGCCCTCGGCTGCATGGCCGTTAGAGGCGTGCGCCATTTAATGCTGGGATTCTATGACCTGGGTATCTCCACCTGCCTCTCCCACACATGGGGTCACCTGCGAGAAAAGCCAAGGCCCTGAAAAGGCACCCCGAGCAGTGACTAACGCCACCCGCCTTCCCCCACGTCTACACGGACGGGTAATTATCTGATCCGAAGTCTCCTCCTGCCAAATGTAAAGCTGTCCCACCCATGTCATTAGTGGAGCGGGCTAAGTGGGTCTTTGGTGGTGAGAAGGGGTGGCCGAGATCGGGGGTGTGTAGAGTAGTTTTGGACTTTTCCAGAATCTAACGTAACTTTCACATATGAGGAAGATATGGTGTCGATCGGAGAACATAGTACTCTGGACTTTTTGCACGCCACTCAGTAAGCTTTTACGCGCTCAACGCATTTTCCTGCACTTCAATTCCGGCATGTTTCGGCTCTGAACGCTCGCTCTCCTTTGCATAACCTGTTCAACTCCAATCCTAAGCTCGATTCACTTCGTCTCCTGCTTTATTGGATGAGCCTAACTTCGGATCACACTTCATCTCTCGTTTCGCTTCTCACTTCAATCCGTGCTCCCGTGGTCACATCCAACTTCAAAGTTTACCACATCGAACATCATCTCGCAATTCTCATTCATCATGCTCTCCCCCTCCCAATTCCTCATCCTCCCCGCCCAACCCCCTGACACCAACAAAGTCTACGACATCTACTTCCGCGCCTTCGCCGGCTCAGCTCTAACCCGCATCCTCTTCCCCTCCGCCTTCCCCAGCCCCTCAGATACCCTCCCCACAGCCGAATTCCGCGCATCCCACACCGCCCACACCCTCGCCTGGCTCGCCTCCCCCGCCTCCTCTTTTCAATACACCTTCAAAGCTGTGGATGTTGAGAATGGAGAGGTTGTCGGAATGGGGCTATGGGATATCCACTACAAGCACCGCGATGAAGAGGAGTGGAAGTGGAAGGGGGTGGAGTGGTTAGCTAGCACGGAGAGGGAGAGAGCAGAGCAGCTTTTGGGGGAGATGGTGCACACCAAAGAGCGCTTCGTGGGTGGAAAGCCGCACGTCTACTGCCACGTCATTGCGGTACACCCCGAGTATCAGAAGAGGGGCATTGGGAGGAGGTTGATGCAATGGGGGGTTGAGGTCGGGGAGCAGGCTGGGTTGCCGGTGTATTTGGAGAGTTCAAAGGAGGGGGAGGGGTTGTATAGGAGCTTAGGGTTTGAGGAGGTGGGAAGGGTGAGGCATAGGGCGGAGCTGATTGGGGAGAGCGAGGATGTGGAGGTGCCGTTGATGGTGAGAATGCCGGGGAGTTTGGGGATAGGGTGGGTGGAGTGGTGTAAGCAATGAAGAGAGGGAAAAGGTTGAGCGTTAGTAGAAACAGTGATATTTTGAAGAGTGCTTTAGCCAGGGGTGAAGAAGTTTCTGGAGTGAGCGAGAGAGAGGTTTATATTTTGATTGACACGAGACAGCGTATAAGCTTTCTCGTCTTGGAAGAAAATGGCATCTAGATCTTGAGTTGGGTTTGAAATGGTACAATATTGTCCCCCAAGAGCTGCGAATAAAGCTACGGCGTTTAGACGACGAGACCCTTTACTTGCTTAAAGTCCTTCACCTGGATGTCTCTCCAGACCGCGACCGAAACAATTGAGAGGACCAGCACCGTAGATCCACCAATGAGCATGTATCTTTGCGCTTCGCCGTATGCCTGTTGGATAGCGATTCGGATTGGAGAGCCAACAGGGTAGGACAGTTGAGTTACAAGGCTCTGGTAAATGAGCGCGACATCGCCCTTGGCGTCTGCTGGCAGGTGCTCGAGAAGCTTGACCGGGAAAACACCAGTCCAGATCGCCCCAGCGACAGTGGAGCCGATAGCGCCACCCACGTTTGCGAACATGCCTTCCACAGCGAGAAGAACGGCGACTTGTTGATGAGACCCCGCAGCCATGACGGCGATCTGCTCGCAGATGACCAATGTTCCACCGGCGAAAGCAATGAAGATCTGGCACATGACGATATATCCGATGTTGACGTTTGGCTGACGGAAGGCAATCATGAGAGCAACACCAAGGATGGTCAAGGGCACGCCGAAGTAGAGCGCGAGCCACTTGAACTTGCCGGTCCATCGGATGACCACACCAACTATCAGGGCGAAGAAGCAGGATCCGATGCTGTAGATGTTGACGACGTAGCTGGCTTCCGTGACTGTCAGGTTGTTGACGACTTGGAGGAAGGAGGAGAAGTAGCTGTCCCAGACGTAGAAGCTGACGAAGATGGTGCCAGAAAGCAAGCAAGCGCCGAGAACGGTCCGGTCCATCATCAATTCGAAAGGCATGAATTTGACTGGGGCGAGGAACTTCTCGTAGAGAGCAAAGGCGATAATGAGGAGGCCACCAAATATGATCATGCAAATGACGAGCGCGGATCTCCATCCCTCTTTTTGGTAAGAGTAGAGACTAAATGGTAGGAGGAAAAGGGCCAGGCCACCGGTGATAAGAAGGAGTCCTATGGCGTCAAATTGGATGAAGTAGTACTTCACCGACTGGAAGAAAGTCCTGTTGGTTTCTGTCTTGGGTACGAGGCCGGCTTTCTTGGCCTTGCCGTAGTTCCATGCGAACAAGAAGTAGAGGGGCATACAGACTACGGGCATGATGATGGCGAAAACGCCGAAACCCCATCTGAAGCCGGGCCCTTTCAAGAAAGCGGTAGCGAGCGGTCCGCCAATCCAGGTAGTGGCAATGTACGGCGACGAAATGAAGGCAAACATGAAGGCTCGGTTCTTGAGATGAGAGGTATCCGCAACGAAGATTCCAGTCGTGAAGTTGAGTCCGTTGTAACTATCTCGGGGATTAGGCATGTCTCATAAGTAGACGTAGTGGTCAACTTACCCAACCCAGTAGAAAACTTGAGCGGCAGCATACGTCTCAACATTGTTACAAGCAGCCATCATGATGAGACCCAGGGTCAGGAGGATCACCATGAAGAGAAAACCTTGCGGGCGACCAAAGATGTCCAGAATCTTGGCGAGGGTGAGCTTGGACAGACCCCCAATAAGGCTGGACATGATGGAGGTAGTCGCAGTCAAAGAGTGCAGAGCAAAGTCGCTCGTTACGTATGGGGTCAACGCTCCAGCCATGCCTTGCTGCATGGCATCAACAAAGGCGATAGTCCAGATACTGGAGCAGACATTAGAGCATCTCCTGAGGGCAGGCTTCTTCATCGACTTACAGCAGATAGGCCGCAATCAAGCTGCTCTTGCTCCAGACTTGGTTGGTAGCCTCGGCAGCCTGCACACCATGCTGAGCATCAGCTGAGACGGCCTCGGTGTCACTGTTGGCATTATAACGGTCCTGGGAGTGGATGCTGGCTCCTCCATCACCAGCGACGGCGTCCTTCTCAAAGGGAGAAGGCATAGTAGGTTGAGAGGCGGTGTTGAGTGAAGACGGTGCCCCTGCTCAACATGCACTGGTATAAAGAGATGGAAGACGAGGTGCTAGGAAGTAGAATACGACAGGTGGACTAATATATTTGATCAGCCCCTCTCGGCCTGAATCAAGGCATGATTAGCACGCGCGAGCAACGAGATGGAGTCGGTAGCATGTCCAACAAGCGCCCACTTGAGTAGTGTCGGGGCTGTTGCTACTTGGATGCATGCTGCCGCGTGGACGACGTGTTGACGACGAGGATGCAGCTTGGGAACGCGGCGTGGAACTAGTTACCGTGCCTCAGTCCCGGGAACGACCGAAGGAGCAGGCCGTTGATGTTCTGATTTGATCTGATTAGATGAAAATTCTTCACGTCCGGCGTCCGGCGCGAATCCACCTCCCGGGACACCACCCGGGGTGATAACGCAGGGTGATGTCGGTTCGAGGATGTGGCGTCTTCGTGGCTTTTGGTGGAGGTTTTGGATGCGGCAGAGGCGCCCTCGTGACAAATCTAATCAGATCGGTAGCCCTGCTCCCACCGACAGAGTCCGGCATCGGAGCCCTCATCCCCACCCTCACGCTTCACCCTTCGACGCTCGTCCAAGACACCCATCCCCATCGCCCAGCCAAGCCTCCAACGCACGCTGCCTCCGAGGTCATCCCTACTCAATCCCGCGTATCCACAATACCCGCGATCACCTGACCATCTGTCATCAGCCATGGACCCATTGACATTCGAGATGCTCTGCCACTGCTTCACGTCCGAAATCCGTGAAGAACTATGGCAGACGCGTCCTCCACCACCCCGGACGCCACGTCTCGCCAACCGTTGAAGAAGAAGGGTCACTTTCAGGTCAGATACGCAGTCTAATGATATGCTCTTGAAACTGATCCTAAATCGTTACTTAAGGCCTTCCGGAATTTCTTCAGCTATCTCCAACTTCTCGTATATGCAGAGCCAACATGGCTAGACATCCTCCTCCTCATCGTGGGCGGGATTGCTGCTATTGCAGCAGGCGTGCCCTTTCCCCTCATGGGCATTTTATTCGGTCAATTGGTCGATGATTTGAACTCCGCGACGTGTAGTGCAGGCATTGGTGATGCAGATGCGTATCAATCTTCCGTCGACGACAAAGTGCTACAAGTCGTCTACATCAGTATAGGTGGCTTCGCTGCCATATACATCTACGTCCTGTCCTGGAGTCTGGTCGGCCAGCGACTTGCCCAGCGGATCCGCGAAAAGTACTTCAAAAGTTTACTACGGCAACAAGTTTCTTTCTTCGACAACCTCCAAGCGGGCGAAGTTTCATCCCGCTTGAATGGTGATATTACCATCATTCAAACCGGAACTTCCGAGAAAGTCGGCATCTGCATTGCTAGCTGCTCATTCTTTGTCACTGCCTACATTGTCGCATTCATCAAGGATGCCAGACTAGCCGGCATTCTAGTTTCCCTGGTTCCAGCTTTCCTTCTCATGTCTTTAGTTGGCGGCAAATTCGTCGGAAAATACTCCACGCAGATGACCAACTATGCTGCGTCTGCTGCGTCTATCGCCTCCGAGGCTCTATCACATGTCTATGTCGTACACGCATTCGGAGCGAATGCACGTCTAGAGAGCAAGTTTGCTGGGAATCTTATGAGCGCTCAAAAGTCTGGCATCAAGAAGGCCCTTGCCGCGGCCGCGCAGTCCGGCATGTTATATTTCATCGCATACTCAGCAAATGGTGTCGCATATTGGCAGGGCAGTAGAACAATTGCAAATGCTGTCGCCTCAGAAGATGAAAACTCCACGGTTGGAAAGACTTACACAGTCATTTTCATCCTCGTTGATGGTAAGAATAGACGTCGTCATGCCTGGATCAACTTTGCTAATATTCTAGCTTCTCTCATACTCAGTCAAATCGCACCGCTCCTTCAAATCTTCGGATCTGCCTCAGCTGCATTTTTGAAACTCCGCAAAGACATTGAGCACGTATCAACCATTGATGGTACGGTAGACCCTGGAAACAAGCCGCCTTTGACAGGGCCTGGCCATGTTGAGTTCCGCAATGTTTCGTTCAGCTACCCATCGCGACCAGATCAAGAGGTTCTTCAGGACATCTCTTTGACTTGTCCGGCAGGACAGCATACAGCGATCGTCGGTTTATCTGGCAGCGGTAAGTCTACACTTGCCAGTTTGCTTGTCAGACTTTACGATCCCACCAAAGGACAAGTGGTCCTGGACGGCCAAGACATCTCTGCTCTCAATGTACGAGGTCTGAGGAGTGTAATTGGACTCGTTCAGCAAGAGCCACTACTTCTTGACCGATCAATCCTGGAAAACATTGCGCTTGGCCTCATCAATTCCGCGGAACATGCTCAAATGAGACCGATCCTCCAAGGTCCACAGCTGTCCAATGTTGCTGCATCCGTAAGAAATGGAGAAGATGTCATGGAGGCCGCGAAAACGCTGGGTGCCCAAGTTGTCAACATTGTGGATGCAGTACGACGAGCTGTCAGCCTGGCGGACGCTACTGAGTTCATTTCTCGTCTCCAGTATGGCCTTGGAACAATGGTTGGCTCTAGCGGAAACCTAGTTAGTGGAGGACAGAGGCAACGGCTTGCACTAGCGCAAGCACTTATTCGCGATCCCAAAGTCCTTGTTCTTGATGAAGCCACATCTTCCCTTGATTCAATGAGCGAGAAACGAATTCAGGCATCAATCGAATCGATCGCATGTGGGAGGACGTTGGTATCAATTGCGCATCGTCTCTCGACAATCAAAAATGCCGACAACATCATCGTGATGGGGAAAGGTCAAATCCTCGAACAGGGCAGCTACGACGAGCTGGTGGAAATTGGCGGATCGTTTGCAAACATGATACATCTACAAAGCAGTTCAACATCTCAAGGCGATACGTCATCTAGGCAGAGCCTGACGGACGTCTCAATTGATGACACTACGAACGCGAAAGACGACCTCGTATCCAGCGTCAAGCATTCGGATAGCAAGTTGAACGATGATTCAAAGCCAGGCGATACAGAGAATGATACCACATCAAAGGATACGGATGGATCTGAGTCGAAGTCTACCAAATCGATTTGGTCGTTCAAACGTTCAGCCTGGATATTCCGGCCATACCTTTTGTCTTTAATTCTAGCCTTTTCCACCTCAATCGTCGTTGGAGGCTCTTACTCCGGTTCTGGGGTTATTTTCGGAAACACAGTCGCTAGTCTCAGCCCCTGCAATGAGCCGGATCGTATTCGTTCTCGTGGAGCACTTTTTGCACTGCTCTTCTTTTTGCTAGGAGTCATTGAGTTCTTTGCCAATTTTATCAGCTGGTCGGCCTTTGGATTCGTGGCGGAGAAGCTCCTCTACGTAGTCCGCGTTCTATCTTTCCGGTCACTCTTCGAACAAGACTTGCAGTGGCATCAATCGTTAGACAGAAACCCTACAATGCTTCTTTCTTACATTACAAGAGATAGTAGCGATCTTGCTGGCTTTACCGGATCGATCATGGGTACTATTTTCTCCATTGTCGTCAATCTCTTCGCAGCTATCATTCTTTGCCACATTGTAGCCTGGAAGATTGCCATCGTGTGCCTTACCACAGTCCCGATCTTGCTCGGCTCTGGAGTGATGCAGCTCCGCGTTCTTTCCAAGTATCACGAGCGTCACGCAACAGCGTTCTCAACTTCCGTCGGCATGGCAGTAGAGGCTATCAATTCCATCAAAATGGTGTCGGCTTTATCCCTCGAAGATGAGATATTAGCCACCTACCGTCGTTCGCTGCAAACTCCACGGAAGGAGATGGTCGTTGCCAGCGCATATGCTAACTTATGGCTTGCTATCGCGAACAGCTGCGGGAACTTCACCTACGCTCTTGCATACTGGTGGGGAGCAAGACAGATCATTGCCGGAAAGTACAATCAAACTCAATTCTTCATCGTCGTCCTAGCTATGCTCGTGAGCGCACAGCTATGGGGTCAGATGTTTGCGCTTGCGCCGGACGTGTCTCGCGCCCGATCTGCTTTGTCGAGGATTGTAGGTCTCATTGATATTGGTTCTTCAAAGACTTTAGAACCGAAAAATCAAGATCCAGATTCACCAGAATCGAGCGAAAAGGATGTGGAAGCATTTGCAAACTCCAAAGAGAAACCTAACTCAAGGAACGGTGTTAGCGTCAGCTTCAAAGATGTCTCATTTTCATATCCCGCCCGCCCCGACATTCAAATCCTAAATGAAATGTCGTTCACTGTTCAACCCGGCCAATTCTGCGCTCTCGTCGGTCCTTCAGGTGCTGGAAAATCCACAGTCATGGCCCTCATCGAGCGCATGTACGCACCCACATCTGGTACCGTTGAGATTGACGGTTTCGACCTCTCGAAACGACAAGGCACCGCGTTCCGATCTCAGATTACGCTCGTCCCACAAGACAGTGTCCTCTTTGAAGGCAGCGTCCGTTTCAATGTTTCACTAGGGGCGCATCCGGATCACGAAGCTACCGATGCCGAGATCGAAGAAGCCTGCAAGCTTGCGAACATCCACAGCACCATCGTGTCATTGTCTGACGGCTACGATACTGAATGTGGTCCCAACGGCTCCCAGCTCTCTGGTGGTCAACGACAGCGTCTCGCAATTGCGCGTGCGCTGGTGCGAAAACCGAAACTGCTGCTCTTAGACGAGAGTACGAGTGCATTAGATGCGGAGAGTGAGAAACTACTTCAAGATGGGCTTGAGAAGGCTGCGAGAGATATCACGGTCATAGCAATTGCTCATCGGCTGCATACTATCCGTAAGGCCGATGTGATTTTCCTTGTTGAGGGTGGCACAGTCGTTGATAGAGGGAGGCACGAAGAGTTGATTGAGAGAAGCCAAAGCTACAGAGTGAATGCCCTTCACCAGATGATGGACTGAGGATGGTGAGTATAACTGAAGGCGAAAAGCATGCATCAAATTATATATCCCCATAATATTACTATTCGCTCCCTCAACTACTCAACGCGTCTGGGATTCGAGAGCCCCAAAAGGGACACTCAAAGTCCAAACAAACCTTCTCTCTATGCCAGCGTCGGGAACGGCAAAATTTCACCATACTCCCCTAAATTTAATCCATCACGGTCGCCGCAAAGCACTTGACACTAAGGCATTACGCAATTCACATTCTTTCCCTCGAAAAAACACGTCACGTCTTCCAAGGACCAAGACTCTTGGACATATCTTACGCTTCCGTATTCCGCCTTCACAATCCACACCTGCAATGCGCAACTTTCAATATACGCTCGGATACAACGGCTAAGCAGCGCAAGCCACCGTACACTTCGCTCTCAGTTCTGTCTCCGTTCCGATGATCACTTTGCCACCTTCCACTATTTCTTGAAGCTTTGAACCTACCTAAGAGAAAAAGGAAAACCACGTCGTATTCCTCCACATACGCAATGCAGCTACCAAAATAAAGTCGAAGCGAAGCAAGCCACCACCCGCTAGGAGGCCTTCTCTCCACACATGTAACATGCCATGCAGCCACCGACACAATGGTGGAGCAACGCAAGCCACCAAGCGCCAGGACACCATAGTCTGCTTTTTATGCTTTGGAGCACCGCTGATCCCCTTGCATATGCAAGGAAAGACCCGGAAAGTAGCTAGACGCATTCTCTACCAGCCCACACCCGTTAACTTTCAACTCATCGAAAACCGCGCGAATACACCATTTTGGCATGCCTCGTCATGAAAGAACCCAGGGGGGTTGTAGTCTCACACGCACGCAGGACGCTGCGGCATGCCCTAGGCCCACATCAACCCCCACATTTCCGCGGTATTTGATCTGATAAAGAGCTGACTTGACGGATGACCCTCCGATTAGCACTAGCGCTAAGGTGCCGGCATCCTGGAAATGAACGGATCAGATAACTTTATTGGAACCGCGGCCGGGCGCGCCGATGTCGGGGCGCGTGCGCCGCGTGGACCAGGGACGGGATGGGCGCGAATAAAGTTATCAGATCCGCACTTCCCATGCGCCCAGGGGCGAGTGGGCGACTAGCGCCGGTCTAACAGCCCCATAAATACTCCGCGGTGAAGAGGGCGGTTTGATCAGATCATCTGCGTTGTAGCCGATGAGGGCCAAGAGAGGGGTGATCTTGGGGGATGCTTGGGGAGCACGCCATTTTATTAGGACTGCCGAGAGACCGTTGGATACGAGGACAAAACTTTGTGACGCGGGGGCTTTTTCTTGGGTGGGGACGCGGAGGTGAGCGAGGGACGGTTGATGGATGAGGTGGGCTGCCGGTGTGGGTTAGAGCTGAAAAGTGCTGTCGGTGAGTTGGGTACGGCCTGATGACACCATGGATTGAGCTTTGGTACGATTGAAACTTCGTGTGAGTGTCCGAGGCAGTTACGAATTCTCGGTTCTTGATTTCCTTTAGCCCAACAGCGTAGCCAATATCTTGCTATCATTCTATCAGCAAAGTTCTGTCAGCCTTCAAAATGACAGCGCCTGAGATCCAAGACAAGACAGTACTGGCGAAACTCTGTTTACCGCATCCATACCTCACAACCTACCACATCGCAGCAACCGAAAAGCATGACGGCGACATCCAGTTGCTCCAGGTCCGCAAAGGCTCGCCTAAGATCGGTCTCAACAAAGACGAGACCGACCCACCGCTCCAATTGCACAACTCAGACCTCTACTTCACGCCACTTCAACCCACACCAGGTACTGATGCGATTTTATCTTCCAACAACTCTGCATGGGCTCGCGCCCGTCGCTCGCTTTCCACAAACCTAACCTGGAGCTCCACCGACGCCCCAACACCCGCCCAATTCTGGCTCCTCTCCTACGCCATATTCGTCCTTCGCCCCGAGCTCGAAACCGTCCGCATCTCCCTCAACGGCCCTTCTAGCACCACTCTCAGCAGCGCCCTCATCTCCACTTCTCTCGCCATTGCCCACCCAGAGCAAGATCCTCTCCGTAACGAGCCACCAGTACCAAAAACGGATGAGCTCTTACTTCTGCGAGCTACTTTCTGGCAAGGCGCCGGTGCCCCCTTTGGCGCTGGATCCGCCTGGCTACCATCCTCTGATGGTTCGAAACAGAGATTCACCGCCAACGAAGCCGCTCTAACCTATACCCTCACCACCCTCTTCCCGTCTACGAGAGTGCACACGCTTCATCCCCGCCGCCCGGCCAAACCCACTCCAGGAAGCGTGATCTATAGCCGGTATATCCCGCACCTAGACGAGAACTTCAGCATGGTTGCGCTAGACTACAAAAGCGTGGAGCATGTGAACCTCTTCCATACATGGCAGAACGATCCGCGGGTTGCAGCGGGGTGGAATGAGGAGGGAACGGTGGAGCAGCATACGGAGTATCTTAGGAAGATGGATGAGGATGCGCATCAAGTGGCTGTGTTGGCAAGGTTTCAGGATAGTTACTTTGCATATTTTGAGATTTATTGGGCGAAGGTATGTTAACACTCTCGCCTTCCTCTTGCCTTTGCCATTGGTGGCCCGTGGGCGTTCGGATTGACGCTTGAGGACGAGGATGTTGAGCTAATGCGGAAACAGGAGGACCACCTGGGCGCCCACTACACCCCTCACGACTTCGACCGGGGACGGCATTCGCTCGTGGGTAACGCAAACTTCCGCGGTCGTCACCGTGCGACGGCTTGGTGGGCTAGTCTCATCCATTACATCTTCCTCGACGACCCGCGCACTATGGCCGTCGTTGGTGAGCCGAAGCTGGAGAATGCGAGCGTTTTGGCGTATGATCTTATGACCGGATTTAGCATTGAGAAGTTTGTGGATTTGCCGCATAAGCGAAGCGCGTTTATGAGGTGTGGGCGGGAGAGGTTTTTCCAGCTTTGTCCGCTGGACAGTCAGGGAGGATGGGTTGGGGGGACGGGGATTAGGTTACCTGCGAAGCTATGAGTGGTGTTTGTGATTTATGATTTTGGTGGGGAGAGAAAACACATGTGTTTGAGAATAGTCTCAAAAACTTGAAATATTCCCATGTAACAGTCTACTCGATCTAGTATCGAGGCAGCCGGTACAACCAAGAGACTCCTTTTGCACTCTTTGCAGCATCGCTACTACGTAAAATCGACAGATGAGGCTGGGAACTCCTCATAGCCTCGCCTGATCCTCAATCCGAACTGCTTCCTTACTCTTCACTGTTTTGACCTCACTCTGCTTCCCCTTAACCACCCTTTCGTCTCCAAACATACTCGCAACAACCCTCCTCGACCTCTCGCACAAAATCCGGAAGAGCGCATCATCAACATCATCTTCCCCCTTTCCTCCCAGCATGCCCAATACCCAAACCCCGCAGCCTTCTTGCAATACCCCTCGGCGAAAGTTTACAGCATAATCACAATTCACGCTAACAATGCCGTCTAAGATAGAGGTCAGGCCGGCGAAAAGAGCGCCATAATTGTGTCGTCTATACCCCGTGGCGGATACAACGAGATCAAACGCCTCCTCACTCGCTCTCCCGTCACTGGTAGTTGAGAGAATGATCTTGCCGTTGTTGTCCCGGCGTGCGCCAGTGACTGTAGTGGAGGAGAAAAAGCGGGTTGTAGAGGTGCGGTTAGGGTTCTGGCGAGAGGGGATTCGCTGGTTATACTGCGCTTCATACAGTGAATCCAGTAGCGGCGCGGAGGCGGTGGGGTACGGTGTGCTCTCGTGTAGCACTCTTCCTCTGATTAACTCGGGCGGATAGAGGGCGTGGGGGGTTTGTAACGTTGTTGTTGTGCTGTTATCGCGTTAGCATGTTCTTTCACCTCCTAATACACCCCGTTTTTCTTCGTGAAAACGATAGACTTGATGGAGCATGGAAAGAGGAAAGGGGTAACCCACAAAGCAGTATCTTCATCCGCTCGGAAATGTCGCTCTTCCATGAGAATGGTGACTTTGTACCGCGGCACTTTCGAGTTCAAGTACTCCGTAACCTCAGCAGCATGCTGCCCACCACCCACAACCGCGACGTCCCGTCCCTTCCAACCCTCTTTGTCTCTCTTCTCAAGCTCTTCCCGTAACTCCGCCGCATGCACTACAGCCCCTCTCACCCCTGAGTCACTCAACGTGGGAGGGATGAAAAGTCGCACGCCCATCGCGTACACGACCTTCCTCGCTCTCCATTCCTTCACCACCCCCTCCCCTGCTCTCGCGAGGACTTTGAAAGCCTCAACCGCTCCGCTATTCCCCTTAAGCGCTTCAACCCCCACCACCTCGTACCCAAACCTAACCTCCGCCCCATCACGAATGAGCTCCTCCCCACACCACCGCAAATACGCGCGCACGAGCTCACGGGATGGTTGGACACGGCCCAGATTCGTGTAGTCGACGAGGAGGTTGCGGGCAGAAAGGAAGTTGACAAACGTGTATTTTGAGCGGGGGTTGTTGGAAGTCACGAGGTCGGAGATGAAGGATGTGCTCATGTGTGCTGATGGGAGGGAGGGGCCGGGGGACCATGCTGACTGAGGTTTGGTCTCGAGATGGAGGGTCGTTGGAGGGCTTTGGGGGTTTGTGGAAGCGAGGTTTGCGGCGAGAGAGAGGGCGGTGGTGCCGAAGCCGATTGTGAGGATGTCGTAGACTGGTAGTGGTGAGGGTTCTGATGGGTGGTTGGGGGCGAGGGTTGAGGTGGTCATGGTGGTGGGTTGATGGGAGGAGGCTTCGTGGGAGTGTGATTTGAAGCTTGAAGAAGCGTGACTTGAAGCTCGAGAAAGTGCAGAGTTTGAAGTTCTACCAGAAAAGAAATCCAGACCCCAGATAGCGACCGCTTTTTCGACCATCTTACCAAAGCCGTAATGATATCCTGAACCCTCACATTTCATCGCTCACTCCAAAACCTAGTATTAGACCACTTCAACGCAATGCTCCGATCCTCTCGTTTAAAAGAGGTATACAAACTTGCAGTACCACCTCCCAAGCCCGCCGAACCTCGGCGCTGCCGCGAGTTCGCCAGACTAAAGCATATGCTGCGGTCACACAAATGATCCCGTCTTGGAAGCTCGAAATTGCCAAAGCGATGATGCATGCCAGGCCCCGAGGCACAAGGGTGAGGCCTCATTCGATACCGGTGGGACGTAGTCTTGCCAATGCCGTCGTTCTCAGCGCGCGGCCTTCCAGATGGACCTGGTGTACGGGATGTCCTCTGATGAGACGGTTCAAACTCAATACGTAAATGGGTGGGATAGTCGCCAGATCGTCCCCTCTCTTTCCAATTTGCGCACCCGTAGGTTCATCACACGGCGCCAAGCTAATGCCCTTGGGATTCTGATCTGATAAATTTTCCCTGCACCGTGGGCAGGGTAGAGTTTACCGGGGGCGGACATGGCGCGGCTGGGGCGCTGGGCGCTTTCTTGGCCCGCGAGCGAGGGCAGGCGAGTGGAGATGTTTCGGCGGAATCCGGGTGCCCCCAATCTTATCTGATCCCGCGGCTCGGGAGAGTGAATGGAATGGGTACTCGGCACATTCAAGACTAGTGGAGTCGAAACCGAAGTAGGAACGGTGATCGAGCCATGTCATCGTCTCGGTAGCGACAAGATGCTTTCTTCTCCAAGGAAAGGATTTTTAGCTTACATTTGGCTAGGTTGAGTTGCGCTCCTGCATGATGACAGGTTCGTAGTTGCAGTGAAGTGCCGAGAGCGGTGTCGTCCGGAAGAGCTGGATAGGGAACTCGAGCCGTTAGCTACCCAGGTCATGAAGCCTGGAGAATTCGCCGCTGTGGATTGCTGCACCTAGATATGATTAGATTCATCACCACGTTCCATCTTATCAGATTCCTTGTCTTTCATTGCTTTGATGCATTCACGCCGCACCCTTCAGGATGGCATCCGAAGCTCCCTCAGTAGAATCCCGTTCCCTCTCCCTTCTCATAGGTCCATCCGACCCACCCCTCCTCTCCCTAACCCTCGCCTCCCTCCTTGACCTCCAAGCTCTCCGGTTCGCATCTTCTGAGTTTCTCGTCTTCCCGTGGACAGGCGCAAGATGGAGTTTCGAACGACTGAGAGCGGAGAGCGTGGCCCTAGCAAAAGGGTTAGTAGCTCTAGGAGTGCGGAGAGGAGATCGGGTTGGTGTCATGGCTGGGGATAGTGAGGAGTTCGCCGCATTAGTATTCGCGTGCGGGCGAATAGGAGCGATTCTAGTGTTATTTGGGAGGGGAGGGAAGGAGGCAGAGGTTAGGGCTGGTCTAGAGTTTGTTGGTGAGTTGATGGATCAGGTTGAGACTTTGAGCTGGGCTGATAGGCGTATAGAATGCAAAATCTTTCTTACTACGCAAAGAATCGGGAAGCATATCGATAATACTGAACTGCTTCAGCTGCTGCATGAGGATCCTCCAAAGAGGCTTGAAGAAGTGATGTTGCTACGCGGTCATCTGGCTCCATTCCGCGACTATGGCGCGCTGATAGATGCTGGGTTGGAGGTTTCTTTGGAGACGATACTGGAGCTGAGTGTGCTAGTGAGACCGGAAGATGTCTGCAACTTGCAGTTCACGAGTGGAACGACCGGCCGGCCGAAGGCAGCTATGTTGACACATTAGTGCGCACTCCCCTTTTCTTGCAGCGTTCATCTCTAAAACTACATCCAAATACTGTAAAGAAGCAATTTTTTAGAAGCATCGCTCACCCTTCATAGCTCCGTGACCAACAACGCCCGATTCATCGGCTCCCGTATGGCCCTCACTCCCTCTGACACCCTCTGCTGCCCACCACCGCTCTTCCACTGCTTCGGCCTCGTATTAGGCATGCTGGCCGCCCTCTCACACGGGACCAAGATCGTGTACCCTTCGGAAGTCTTCGACCCCTCCGCCTGCGTCGCCGCGCTCATAGAAGAAGACTGCACAGCACTCCACGGCGTTCCAGCAATGTTCGACGCCGTCTTCGACGTTCTCCCCGAAGGCTTCGCCAGTGGACGCCTACGAACGGGTATCGTAGCTGGCGCGCCGGTACCACGAGCGATTGTGGAAGGACTGCTGGGAACTTTGGGAATGCGTGAGTTTACGAGCAGTTATGGGCTGACTGAGGCGTCGCCAACGTGCTTCAATGCTTTCTACGACGACCCACTCGCGCACAGGCTGAATACAGTCGGTACACTGATGCCGCACGCAACGGCGAAGATCGTGGATCGTGATGGGAAAACAGTCCCGGTTGGTGTGCGCGGAGAGCTCTGCATTGCTGGGTATCAGCTGCAAGCGGGTTACTGGCGCGATCCGGAGAAGACAGCAGAGACGATGATGCTAGACGAGGACGGTACAGTATGGCTGCGGACAGGCGATGAGGCTGTGTTCGATGAGAGTGGTGGATGTAAGATCACTGGCCGATTCAAGGACATTATCATCCGAGGTAAGTTTCGCTCATGTTTTGTTTCTCTTCCGTCCTATACCAGTGCTAGCGTATCCTGACTCCAATTCGGCGAGTACTGACACCAGATGAGGTGGTGAAAACATCTACCCTATCGAGATCGAAGAGCGGCTAGCAGCTCATCCCGCTATCGCCCGCGCAGTAGTAGTCGGCCTCAAGCACCGCAAGTATGGTGAAGTCGTTGGTGCATTTCTGCTAGCTAGGGATGATGATCGACCCAGCGACGAAGCGATCAGGGAGTGGACCTTGATGAAACTTGGTCGGCATAAGACTCCGGCCCACATCTTCTGGTTCGGTCGCGACGGAGTCCCGCTCGAGATTCCGCTGACTGGGAGTGGAAAGGTGAGAAAGTTCGAGATTGCACAGATAGGGGAAGCTTTACTGGCGCGGGGAGGTCCGAAATTGTAAATATGGGTGTGGAATTATGTGAATATGTGAGTTGATATCTTTAGATAACGGAAGAGGGCCTTGAAAGAGGGTGGGTAGGGAGTGCGCAAGCTTGAAAACTACTTTTCGTCAATACATCTTGACTTTTGTGGACTTCGGCAACGAAAGAATAGATCATGTGAATATATAGTATATTGGGACTCTAATGAATCTACCTTGCTCAATCGAATTTGACTGCAACCCTTCCTCGAAACTTTCCTTCCTTCATTAGATCAATCATCTCGTTGATTTCCTCTAATTTATAGTAGGCTATCTTGGATTTGATGCCATGCTTCACTGAGAAGTCCACGAATTCCGGAAGCAGTCTTGGGATCTTGTTCGAGCTGCCTACGACCCTAAATTTCCTCAGGGCAAGGAACATCGAATTGAATGATAACGGCTCCTGTGGTAATCCAACCACCATGAGAATGCCGTTGATCCTCAGTAAATCGGTAGCGCTTTCGTACGCCGCTTTCGAGTTTGTGTAATTTACGACGGCATGGCAGCCGCCTTTCGTGATTTCTTTTACCTTCTTCGCGTAGTCCTTGTCCCTGCGAGTGTTGATAGCGTAGTCAGTGCCACACTCTTTTGCTTCCTCGAGTTGTATATCGTTGATATCTAGGGCGATGATCTTGAAGCCCATGGCGCGGGCGTATTGAACACCTACAAAAATACCGTTAGCCACTAATCGAGTATTAGAAGACAGTGCACTTACCTAGGTGACCCAGTCCTCCAACCCCAATAATGGCCATCCACTCTCCTTCCTTCAACCCGGCCAACCTACAATCATCGATGCCATGATAACTCGTCACCCCCGCACAGAATAACGGTGCCGCCTCCACCGCCCTCAGCTCTGGTGGCAGCACAATCGCATTCCGCCAATCCACAGCGATGTACTCCTGGAAGAACCCGTCCGCGGCGTGCCCGGGCATCTTGCACCCCTTCTCGCACCACATCTGGTGAATCTGACAGCCTTCACACTCATAACAGCAGTTCGTGGCAGGCAGAAAGCCGACCTCGTCGCCGATCTTAAAGCCTTTGCACTCGGATCCTACGCTGACGATCACGCCCGCTGCTTCATGACCGAGGGTTACGGGGACGTCAGACTCCAGCTTTAGACCGATGTCGTTGGGCTCGAAGTTCATGAGGTCGGAGCGGCAGAGGCTGCTGCATATCGTCTTGACCAGGAGATCTGTCGACAAAGGCTTCGGGACCGGAATCTCGTTGACGTGAATTGCGTTGTCGCTCCGGTGGTATTGGGCCGCTTTTTGGGTCTCTGGGATCTTGAGAGACACCATCTTGACGTGTAGAAGAATAATACTAAGAGAGGATGGAACGAGAGAAGGCAAGAACAAGGAAATGTATCTTTTTCTGAGAGCTGTGGACTTTGATATGGCTCAGTTGACCAATGGTGTTATCTACACGTCCTCGCGTGGATAATAATAGCCTATTGTTCCATCTCGGGGCCGTATCTTTGAGTATCGAAGAGAATCGCTGCGGGGATCGGAGGTGTGAGACCGCAGCAACTTTTGTAACTCCTCGAAAGACTGAATCATTAGGCTAAGGGGAGGAGCGTCCTCGACATGCTGGTAGATGCAGGTGATCTTGCCGAAAGGTCATCGTGCCGGGTGATATGTAGGTGGCTGAAGCTTAAACAGCTTTGCACGGAAGTGTGAGGTTCAAAGAGTTATACGAGGGTCTCATTGGGTCTCTAGGCGCGGGGATGCATGATGCATGAGCTCCCAGCTTTTGAAGTCACGTGGCTTAGTCAGCAAGGGCCTCTTCCTCGATCTCCACTTCTCCCCTTCTCCGCATCTTTCCCAATGACATCTCCACATCTCCACATCTCTCCTCTCTCGCCATCAGCTCTTTGCCTTCGGTATTGCACCTCCGGGACTTCTCCATCTTCAGCCACGCGCCGTACGGGAGTCCAAATTGCGGGGTATCTTCACGAGATCATGCGCGCCGGACATTGAAGTCCTTCCCTCCCTGTCAGAAAACACTAGCGTAAACCATATTGACCACACGATATGGAATTGGTGTCGCTGTGCGAGGCTGGCTGTGCTTCGGAGCTCTCGAGGCTGAACACTCTGCTGGATTCCAATCATGAAAAGTCTCTCAGATTCTCGAGTCTGTGTCACGTGCCTCAGCACGGAAAAAGTTCATCACTGCTACTCAACATACCCATCCGCCGTCAATCTGCTGAACAGTTCCGCTAATGTACTGACTCTCATCGCAAAGTAGCCAGCATATCAAAGACGCAATCTCCGAAGGCTTTCCTTCCCGCTTTATCTGCTGGACCCAGGGCATTCCTTCGCCTCTATGCTCTGACACTTTTTGGTACATAGGCGTATTGATGATTCCCCTTGTATGCATAGGGTAGCCGTTAGATATGGAATCAGCTCTGGTGGGCTTTAACTTACGGAGCTATGCAGTTGACTCGAATGCCCTTCGTTGGCCCAACTTCCTTCGCAGCGCATTTCGTCAACCCCACGACACCAAACTTGGACGCTCCATACGCTGCGCAATTCGTAAATCCAATCAGTCCCGCGACGCTAGATGCATTCACAACGCTTCCTTTGTCGTTCATATGCTGCAGTTCTGACCGCATGCAAAACATCATCCCAGTGAGGTTGACTGAAATAACGAAGTCCCAGTCGGATGTCTGCTGGTCCTCAACGGTGCCAGTATGAAATGTTTTAGGCAACACTCCCGCTAGATTAGCTGCTCCATCTAGCTTCCCGAACTTTTCTACAGTCATTTCAATCCAAGCTGCTACCTCTTTCTCGCTTCGGACGTCCACGGCCGTAGCCATGACTTGCCCGCCGGATTTTTCAATTTCGGCTGCCGCGCGGAACAAAGTCTCCTCCTGGATATCGGCCATCGAGACTTTTGCACCTCGCGCGCACAGCATCTTGGAAGTTTCTAATCCCATCCCTTTTAGATTATTAGCATGAATTCTGGATACTCTGGAATGTACTCGCCTCCTCCGGCTCCTGTGACTACAATCACCTTTCCTTGCAGATTATTCGACATGCTGAAATACAGTTAGAGCCTCAGGCGAGTTCCTTTGCAGATTGCAGTCATTCTTATTGTCACCAAGTCTTCCTGTCCTTCTATATCACGTTCTGCATGAAAAATAGAATCCTTGTCCACTCTTCAAGTGTGCTTACTAGCGTAATTTGGGTGCGGAGTAGCGAAGTCCTACGCTACGGGAATTGATATGCGCGAAGAAGCACATACTTCTTACGCATCACGTGACGCTCTTCACTTCAGTGTGCTGATCGCCATGAAATCAAGCCAAGAACTTCAGTTCATTGTTTTCCGGCACTCGGTGTACTTCGAATTCCTACCTTCATCATGCAGGAATCACAGCAAACCTTACTGCCGTCCTATCTCCGCATTTTCTCTCTCGAAGGAAAAACAGTTCTGTTCACCGGAGCTACCGGCGGTAGGATATACCTATGGATTAAGGATACAGTACGAGACTAACCTTTCACTTCGGGTAGGGATCGGCCGTTCATTGGTCAGCGCATTTGCAAGTGCTGGGGCGGATGTGATATCACTCCAACTACCATCCGATCCTCCGATAGTCAAGGTAGCCATTTCCTTTCAATCACAGACAGATAATTGTATCTCTGATTGCCCAACCTCCCAGGGAATTGTCGAAAGCTTTGGGAGAAGATGCACCCTCGTATCTTGCGATCTCTTAAACCTAGGAACTATACCTAAGGCCATCGAAGAGGCACGTGACACTTCGTCGCAGTTCTCCCATTACGACAGGATCATTTCTAACAAATCCGCGATCGCATAGGCATTCAGGGCAAATCCAGTAGACATCCTCATCAACTGCGCGGGTATCTTCATAGCCGGGCCTACGGCATCCTTCCAATTACCTCGATGGAAGACATCTTCAAAGTAAACGTCACCGCCGGAGTCATGATAGCATCAGAATGCGTAAAGAGATGGTTTCTACAGCCGTTCGATAAACGAGGTGTGAAGAAGATCATCAACTTTGCGAGTATTGCCAGCTTTCAAGGGAACGTGGAGACGTTGGCTTACAGCGCGAGTAAGGCCGCTGTGGTGAACATGACTAAGGCGATGAGCAATGAATGGGCTCCGTGAGTATATTGTAGTCAGCATCTTAATTTGGTATTATCGATACTGACTCTGCCGGCTAATGAAGCCATGGTATATTGGTAAACAGTGTTTGTCCAGGTAAGCGGCACTGAAGCTATCATCTTCTTGTAAAGAACCGTGCGAGTTGATGTGCCGTAGGTTATACCAAAAGCGCGATCACGAAACATCTATACGAAGACGACGCATACAATAAACGTATACTGCCGGGCATTCCCTGCAGAAGATGGGCCGATGGCGATGATTTGGCCGGTACACTGATTTACTTGGTCAGTAGTGCGAGCAACTATGTCACTGGGACCTGCGCAATTATGGATGGGGGTGCGCTAGGACTGCCAGGGCTGGGAGCACATCTGTAGAAAGAGAGCAAGCTGCGCTTCGCAGGAGATTGGGTCAGTCAGGCAGAATAATGGCTACGAAATGCTTGGACTAGAAGAGTGTAGCTATGCCGCAAATGATACGATTGACACAGGCACTTTAGCACCACGCTTTCCAATTCGGATCATCCTCATCGAGCTCCGGCTGCGGCTCTCGCACCACCGTCCCACTCTTCGTCAACACCTTCCTCAGCTTCGCCTTACTCAAATACGGCGAATCATCAACCTCCCGGATATAATACGCCCAATCACAAGTCTGATCTAATTCCGTTTGACTGAATCCGTTCCCCAACCAATCAAATCTATTGCCCTTATACTCCACATCAAAATCATCCGCACGCAAGTACTGCATCGCTTCGAAATAATGCAGGGAGCTGCCAGGCCAAAGTGCCGAGACGCGGCCGTCAATAGTCCCGTGCTTGTACCAGCTACGGCAACCAGCTTTCCAGATAGTGTCACGCATGAAGAGGTCAGTACGGGCGGCGAAATCATTGATGGCGGCTTGTTTGGGAGTGAAGGATTTGATGTTTTCAGTCTGCCAGCGGTCGCACCAGCGGAGCATGTAGTCGGCTTGTGCCTCTGCAGATTATCGTTAGTGAAGGGTTGCGCTATGGTACTTGAAGGAGTGCTTACCAATAGCTCCAACAAGAGGACCGCTCCCAATAGGACAGTTAGGACCTAAGAAGTGAAGGTAATTCGGCTGCTCGGGTGCGCCGACTCCCATATACGAGTGTGCCTCTGCAGCCGATCCCCACAGATCTTGAAGGTTCTTCCCATTCTTTCCATATATAGGGAAACGGGGCTTGAACGAGGTGTCGAAGCCAGTGGCGCAAATCAGAACATCCATCTCGTACTCCTTGCCGTTGTCGCAGACCGCGGCCTTCTCGTTGATCTCGGCTATCTCGCCATAGATAACCTCAACTTTCGGCTTTTGCAGAGTCTCAAGATACATGATGCCCGGCGTCATTCTCCGGCAGCCAAATCCCCACTCTGGTATCAACTTCTCTTGAAGCTTCTGACCCGCCAGACGCGTTCGCATCTGGAATCCTACTCGCTTCTTGGTAGTTTCTTGCATCTTACTTCCGTTCAAAAACATGGGGTAGATCGAATTGACAGTGCTCTCGATATCCTTTCGCTGCTTCAAGAGGTGCCCTGGGCGGTTTGCAAAATCGTCAAGCTCTTCTTTGGTGTAGACGTGTTGATCGAGCCCTTGGATCGGGGCGACCCATGTCGGGCTCCTCAGAAATGTCGTTACTGATTTAACCTTGGGGTATATAGCTGGCAAGATCTGGATTCCAGAAGACCCATTTCCGATCAGTCCCACGGTCTTTCCCGCCAAATCGATGGATTCGTCATAATGCGCGCTGTGCAGAATTTGGCCTTTGAAACTCTGTAATCCAGGTATGGACGGCCACTTCCAATTATTGAGGATCCCAGATGCGTTGATTAAGATGTCGCAGCTCTCCTCCAAGATGCTACCAGTAGTGTGGTCTTTCACTCTAACGTTCCACAAGCCCTCTGCTTCTTCCCATCGAGCTTCGATAACTTCGTGGCTGACGTTGATGTACCGACCCAAGTTATATTTCGCCGCAAAATCCTTGAAGTACTTGAAGATCTCCTTACTTCCCACGTATACGGCCGACCAATCTTTCTTCTGTTCCCAACTCCAGACATAGTTGTGGCCGGGGACATCGCAGGCGCATCTACAGCCCCAATATCAGTATCGTTTTGAGCTAATACGTATGAACGTTACTTACCCGGGATACCTGTTTTCAAACCACGTCCCTGAGATGTTGGAGTTCTTCTCAAAAACCTTGAGCGAGAAATTCTCAAATGATCGCTGAAGTTTGTATGCAAGACACAGTCCGGAGGCGCCAGCTCCAATGACAATGATTCGCATGGGGCGTTCGGAGTGAATTGGACCTCCTAATTCTCCGTTGCGATAATATCCGTTCTCGCCATTGCGGCGCTTGAACTTCGAGCGGTTTGCCCTGTCGGAATGGCCACTTATGGCGTGCCTGTTGACCCCGTTTTCGGAAAATGGCGGGGATGCTGCTGGAGAAACCTCGTTGATGAGCACTCCATTGGCATCCTTTTCATTGCCGTCGAAGCGCGAAGTCAGAGCCGTGGTAGCAAGAGGTGGGATTACGTCAGCCATTTTCTGATTGCCTCAATGAAGGTGCTATTTTAGCAAATGAGACAAATGGTCGGAAAATGAAATACGAACTGGCGAGAAAGAAATACCACTGGAACCATGTTTTGAGACCATATATTAGCGCTCTGCTCGGCCTCTCTTTCCTGATGAGTATTTTCTTAGCGATTCGCAAGGCGTCGGGTGCAGTCTCACCAGCAGTGACCCCACATCATCCTCGGAGGTTAAGTTTGCGGGACTACCAAGCTCCCGGTCTTCCAAATCCATGGTTCAAGGGCCCGGAGATTGAAATATCGCTTCGTAGCTGCCTTAGCGTAGTCTATAGTCGTAGAGCATTAGATCCGCCCTACGGTATTGGATGCCCGAATACTTGCACTTAGAAAGCTTTCGACGTCTCGCCGGATTATTGCCGCTACGTTCGGTGGGGATCATCTGATTCCAATCATCGTTTACCGAGATGCGTCCGTTGATGCGTCCGGGCTTTGCTTTGGTGGACTCTGGACCTAGACTTTTGCAACGGGGCCTACTCGTGAGCGTTCAACCACCTCAAATCCCACCCAAATTGATGCCCTGCATGCATATCTGTCACCCTTGATTCAGGCTCTAAGATAGTACCTCTACCTTCACTGGAAACCCATCTGTAAATTCACAGCTTCAGAATATGGCGACCACTAAGACGGCATTGATCACGGGAGGTGGTACCTACTCCCTTTCCCAACATTCACTTCCTGAAACTGAAACGCATATTCAGCCAGCGGTTTGGGTCTAGCCGTCGCTGGGGCCCTTCACTCCAAGGGCTGGAATCTCGCCATAGCCGACCTAGACTCTACGAAAGGAACCAAACTCGTCACCGATTTCGGCCCAAACACGATCTTCATCAAAACAGACGTCACCGATTACTTCTCCCAAGTACTCGCTTTCAAAAAAACAGTACAGCGGTTCTCGGGGTTAGACTTCGTCTTCGCGAATGCAGGCATCGCAGGCCGAGGCGGATTCTACGACGTCGCCAATGAGTGGCCGCCAAAACCGCCATCACTTCTATTGCAAGACGTGTGTTTGACGGGCGTGGTTTATTCCTGCTGGCTGGGCATGCATTATATGCGTCGGAACGCGGTACCCGGGGGTTCAATAGTTATGACTGCTTCAGGTGATTTTCTCTCAGCGCGACTATACCGTTGTCAAAACTAACGTGGATGGAGCTGCTTCACTCTACCCCTCCCCAGATTTGCCACTCTACTGCTCAAGCAAGCACGGCGTACTGGGTCTAATGCGATCTATGAGCATTCCTTTAGCGAGAGAAAATATTCGCGTGAGTTGCATTCTTCCTGGCGCAATCCATACTTCTCTTCATCCTGAAGCTGTTTGGGCGCAATTTGGGAAGGAGAGTTTCACGTCTATCGACTTGATTGTGAAGACGGTGCTAGAGTTGCTGGATGATGATGAGGCGGCTGGAAAAGCGATGGAGGTCAGTGCCGGCGAGGTATTCAATAGGAAGCAGCCAGAGTTTTGTAACGACATGATGCGGACGATTATGACGGATAAGGAGTACTAGTGAATCCCAATAGAATTCTCTTAGCTGAATAATGGGCACGAACAGAGACGGATACATTGTGCATCTGGAGTAGTGTATGATGCGATAGTGATTGATTCATCTTACATTTCCCATCACATTACCCCACGATAACAATATAGGCTCTTGCCTCGAAAGGACGATACCACTCACTGCAACCAAAGCAAACTTTGCTAATGGAACTTATTCTTCTCAGCCAACGCATCGTTCTCCAAGAAGGTCTCGATTTTTTCATTCATTTTCGGCCCAATATCCTCATTGAAACAAGCCAGGATGATACCAACAACCCCAAAGGCCATCGAAGCCAAAGCAGCATTTCTACGCCAAGGTCAGCAAACATCCAAGAACAAATCATAATTTGCGAGCTCGAACGTTCATACCTCAGTCCATACGCCACAGCATATTTATACGCCGTCCCAACCATTTCGGCGCCCTGAGGCGTAACCCCCGGAATCTTCTCAAGAGCGGCAGCTCCCAGGCTAGCGGCAGCAGAGACAGCCGCCATCGACGATTGTGGAATTCCAGCTGCGAGAGCGGCCTTGGGAATCAGCTCCGCACCCTTCTTAGCGATGCCGTTCGATATCGCGGAGGAGTAGCAAGCGCTCGCGACAGCGCCACCGGCGTACCGCGCTGTTCCTGCCAGACCACCCGAAAGGCCCAGCATGGTCTGGGGGACGCCGAGTTGGGTGTAGGTGACGGAAAGGTAAGCTGCCCAGCCGTAGGAGAGTTGGCTTAGGGTCACGAAGGTGATCATCGTGACTTTGTTGTAGGGAGTCATCATGGCGAGGAGGGTGCCAAAGAGGACTAGTGAAAAGGTTGAAGCGATCCTGGGAAATGCGTTAGCTTTCGTTGGCTCGGAGACTAGATCTTAGAACTTACATGGTGATTTTCCAGTGCCCGATTTTCCTGCCAAAAATAACTAAAAGCATTGCTCCAAGTGGGAGTGCCAAGTTGGCTGGGAGGGTTAGTAGCAGTTGGGTGGATATCGACGTATTTGCATCGATATAGAAGGCGTCTGAGATATTCCAAGTCAGTAGAGCTCGAGTATGAGATACGCGCTCTCGAAAGTTGAATTACTTACTGAGCATCGTGGGGTATATGACTGCCGTGCCGTAGAAGAACCCAACGATGATGAAAGTTAAGCAGAACGGCACCGCAAATTCGCGACCTTTGTGACTTGAGAAGATCTCCTCGGGACAAAGAGGGAATCGCACACTGGAAAAACGTTCCCAAAGTCCGAAAGCAATGATGAGGCCAAATCCAACAACGAGGCAGATAATGACCCGCTTGTCAGTGGCGGGGATGTAGCTTGTGTAGACCACTGGATCCGATTAGATGATTTCACTACTCATATGAAGAACACTTACTGCCTACGAGAACAAGAATGGCCCCGATGGTGAAGAGAATGGCTCCAACCCAGTCCAAACCGCGTACGGCCTCTCTCCACGGAACTCCTCGGGGATGCTTTGGTGGCTGATAAAATATGAACAGCCCAGTAAAAGCCACCATGGTGAAAACGAAGCCTCCCCAGTAGACATATTGCCACCTATGGTCGCTCCTTATGATTGCATAGCGACCTACCACGGGCCCGATGATAATCATAACGTATACAAAGCCATCTGCGAGAACCACGCCAATGTGCCGGTATTTGTTGGGAATCAGTTCCGGTACAGCGATCAGGGCAACACCCGCCATGCCGGATCCGAAACCGTTAAGACTGAGTCCGGCGATCAACATGCTCGTGTTGTGAGCGCACGCGCACACGATGTATCCTACAGCAGTCACTAGATTGGCGGATAGTAGGAAGTACCTGCGGCCAAATAGATCGCTGTTGGCGCCGAAAATGAGAATGCTAATGGTGGCGCAGGTGGTGATGCAAGGGACAACCCAAGCTGACAGTTCAACTTGGCCCAACTGTGTCAGTAGCTGGGAAGACATCGCAGCCGTTGTAGGAGTTGCCCTTTTTCTACGTTTAGCGATGACGACCGGATTAATTCCGAAGGATTTGGTACCAGAATGGTGATCCAAAGGTCATAACCAGGAACTTGAGTATGTTAGTACTTGTAATTGATGGAGAAAGGATAGTCTCACGAAGATGCACAGCCATGCTTTGGGAGTTGTCCGTTCGTCTCTCACACCCTCGTATTCTGCCTTGGTCTCATCAACCACGGTGGAGTTGGTTGGTGAGTGGGTTTCGATGTCTTCCGAATGCACGACATCGTGATCGGTCTTTTCAATTGCAGCCATGGCTCCTTGCAAAGAGATGAAAGAGTTCTGAACTAGACGTACAGATTTTCGATACGAGATCAGATTTCTGAGGATATATTGGGCTTGATATAGATATCAAGCGGCATATGCTGATGCTCTCCGCGCCTCACAAGTAGAAAATGATCTAGGCCGTTTGGTCTTGACTCAAATTGGCGCCTGTCATTCAGCCAACGTGGAGATGGAGACGCCACAACACCCTGACTTCTCCACGCTATGGAATGCGGATTTGTGGAGTCTGGGGTAATCTTGCGGGGAAGCGCAGCGATGATTCATTAGTTCCCTCTAGCGGCTCGCGCAGATTGGTCCCAGTAGATCGTCTTGGTCTCCCAATGCCCAAACGCACTACGGTCATTGAATGCCGCGGGACGCGAACGATCAGCGCTACTACCGGCTGCGTTCTGCCAGCCACCATCATTGGTCACGCACTTTCGTTATTGGCCCATGGTTAGCATGCAGGTCGAATTTGTTCACATGCACTAGTTCCAGCTCCACGGTCTCGGAGATGACTGCTTTGCATGATCTGAACATTGTTGCTGCGGAGGCGGAACACCGACTATTGGTAGTTTGGTCGGCATTCAAGAGGCCGCTGTCTAATGAGGTCCCGTATGAGAAGAAAGCCTCTTCGGGACGATCAAGGTTCGAGACTCAATACATCAAGTAGTTCCGTCATAGTCGATTACGATTCCTGTGTGTACTATCATCTCGTTCGATAAACTTGTTACCCCTGTCGCGCCACCATCTTCTCAGTCGCAATGGTCTATCCCGGCCAGCTTCATTATTCCAGCTTCAAAGCCCCAATTTTGAATAGACCAATCGATGACCCAGGCCGCAAACTCCGCATCATTTGTGTGGGTGCTGGTATCTCGGGGGTGACAACTGCAATCCGTTTTCGACAGCACTTAGGCGCAAATATAGACCTCCAAATATACGAGAAGAATGCTGGTATGGCGGCAACCATATCAACGAGGCGATGGCTGACCAAGCTTTGTAGATATTGGAGGCGTTTGGCTAGAAAATAGATATCCAGGCGTAGCTTGCGACATTCCCGCGCCGTGTTTTGCGTTCTTATTTGAAGATAATCCTGATTGGTCAGAGTACTACGCCGGCGGGAAGGAGATCAATGCCTACGTGCAGCGAGTAGCCACGAAGTATAGCGTAAGAAAGCTGATGAAGTTTCAACATCCTGTGCAAGAAGCGATATGGCACGAGGACGAAGGGAAGTGGCGGCTCAAAATACACGACGTCCAGAACGATAAGGTAAGTGTCCTCGATATATGCATGTAGGTTGCACAGCTAATATCCTCATAGATGATTGATGACGAGGCAGACATCGTGGTGATGGCGTGGGGGATGTTGAATAACTGGGAATTCCCGAAGATCCCTGGTATTTCAGACTTCAAGGGCGCGAATATGCATACGGCGAATTATGATGAGAGTTTTGACCCTACGGATAAGGTGGTTGCGCTTGTAGGCGGAGGCTCGACTGGTGTTCAAGTACTTCCTCATATCCAGGAGAAAGCGAAGAGGATACATCATTACATGAGATCGCAGTAAGCGCCTTCACCATCTCCCACGTTCGGTACTAGGGAAGACACTGAAACGTCGAAATAGGAACTGGATAGCTCCAGTCGGCTTCGGGGCTGGCGAGCTTGAAAAGCGCGATGCACTCGAAGTCGGGAACTGTACGTGGTCTAGTACAATTATGTCAGCCTTTACTGATAGCGATGTTAAATAGTTTCCTACCCGGCAGAAGAGCGTCAGCGCTGGGCCAAAGACCCAAAAACATACCACGAGTACCGTCGTGGCATTGAAGACGGCATAATGGCCTACATGGCAGAATCGGGCTTTACGTACGGCTCTCCAGAGCAACAAAAGATGGAGGTAAATTTTCGAGCGCACATGAACCGCGCCCTTGGTACAAGGCCTGAGATCTTAAAAACTTTGCTTCCAGACTTCCCGCCTGGATGTCGTCGACTGGTCCCAGGGCCTGGGTATTTGGAGGCGGTCGTGAAAGAAAACATCGAATGGATTCCTGAGCAGATCGAGAAAGTAACAGAGGAGGGTATTGTAACCAAGGATGGTACCCTACACGAATGCGACGCTATCATTTGGGCAACTGGATTCATCTGGTGAGCATGCCTCCTCATACCCCAAGAAGTTGAATGCTGATCGCGATACCTAGTGATTTCAGAAGTCGATTCCCCGTAACAGGCCGTGACGGCATCACTTGGAATCAAGTAATGGATCCAGAACCTGAAGCATATTTCGGAGTCCTCGTTGACAAGATGCCAAACTGCTTCTTATACTTTGGCCCTAACTGCGCGCCTGGCGCTGGAAACGCCTACCTTGCTATCGAGACCGAATGCGAATTGATGATCTCCTGTATCAAGAAGATGCTAAGAGAGAAGATCAAGTCTATCTGCATAAAGTCAGTATTTCAGCCCTGCACGTTGAAAGATTACCGCTAATAGTGTTGATGGGCTCAGACAACAGAGAGTAAAGCAATACGTCGCTCATGTTAATGAATACCTCAAAGGCACAATCTTTGGGCAGCCGGTACGTAATAAGTCAAAGCCATGTCCACAGAGCGACGGGACTAATTCATGCAGTGTAAATCATGGTTCAAGCGAGGCGATCCAACTGGTCGAAACATCGCATACTACCCCGGAAACTCTTTGAACCTGCTCCACGCAGCGAGAAATCCCCGATGGGAAGATTTTGACTATATATATCTCGACGAACTCGGCGGCAATCCTTTGACGTGGCTCGGCAATGGCTATACGATGGCCGACTACGATGGAAGCTCAAGAACCTCGTACCTTGACCCAGCGGTCATTGATTATCCGCCGATACCTAAGGCAGACGTTCTTGTCGATGGAAATGTGAAAACAGAGAGCTATGAGAAGGTTGGAATCAAAGCTCCGGCCAATGTCAGTGTTGTACTGCTTCCAGGGACAACTGCAGCTTAGAAACTTCGCATAGTTTGGCGAAAACAGCAATTTTGTCCCTGCATTGCAGTTGACGAAGAAGCTCGAAAGGTCACGATCTTGGAAAGAGTCCTCTCATGTTTCGGGCTTCGTTCTCCGGGATGCGGGGTGTGGGGCGCAAACGAATCGTGGGGTAGACTGGCGAGGCGGCGTGGAAACCAGCTAGTGAATTTAGTGCCCTGTGGAGATCTACCTGCAATTCAGACTCATTTCATTCACTTCCCAGTATACTCCTAGCTATGAATGAACGGACATACCCCCAGCCAGTCCCTGTATTGCACTTAGATGGGTTTGGAGGAATGCCTACCGGTGTCCAGCCGTACTTCAATATCTCAAGCTCTGGCCAGCCTCGTTCTGCCGCAAAGTCGAACCGCGAACCTAAGCAGCTGGCATGCATAAGTTGCCGCCGGAAAAAGGTCAAAGTAAGTGGCCTTCATACGATGACGCTAGTGAAAAGTCTGAAGCTCATATAATGCATCAGTGTTTACCCAGTCCTGGCGGGAGGGACGCCTGCTCCCTTTGCGCAAAGCTCAAGATCGAATGCCTCATCCCGCAGGTCGACGAAAGGCGCCAATCGACCCCAAAGCGATTGGTCAGAGGCCTATGTGCCCAGATTGCGCAGCTTCAAGCCGAGTTGGATACGCATAAGCAGTACTGCCTCATGGGGCCGGAGCACGGAGACTCAAGCTCAGCCCAAGACGAAGTCTTCAGTCCAGCATCCGAGTCCAGCAGATCCGACGCCTCGAAGTCTAGCAACTCCGACAACATGATCGTGCGGCTATGTGGGGGCCAGCGCCAGCTCAACAGTGACAGAGTTGGCCGGCTGCGCTTCTTTGGTCCAACGTCGAGTTTACATCTGGCCGAAAGCGTGACATCCTCGGTCTTGATACGCGAATCGAATGGGACGAGATCGCAGCTGCAGTGGCAGGATGAGTTTCCTCTAGATCTTCAGCAACACCTTTTGAACTTGTTTTGGACGTATCAGCATCAAGTGCTCCCTATCATACATAAAGAAGGTACATGCTTACTTGATACAAAGCGCAGGAGCTTGTTCACGCTAACGCTTGAAGCAAAGCTTTCCTCCGTGACATGAATAACGGCGACACGAAATACTGCAGTAGACTCTTGGTATACTGCATTTTGACCAGAGCAGCGGCGATATCTGACCAACCTGGGCTTAGAGCTTTGGCTCTGAGCGATGATGCAGATGACGACCCGCCGTTCCTTGTCTGGAAGTGCGTGTCTTATCTAGATATCGAACTCAACAATCCGGGAATCACGACATGTCAAGCATTGCAGTTGTTGAGCGAGATGCACTGCGCGATATCGAATGACACGAAAGGCTGGATGTATGCCGGTAGGGTCTCCGCGTTCCAAGTATGTAGTGAGTAAAGAAAGACTGACGGATCTTAGGCGGAGCTGGTCGTCTAGCATACGAGCTCGGTCTACACAGCGATAGTACAGGTCTCAGCACGAGCTTGAATAAGGTCGATCTAGAAGTCCGACAGTTAGTGTTCTGGAGCTGTTTCAACCTCGATAGGTAAAGGTCTGAGCATATGTAGATGACTCTCACTAACCGTGAAAGGCAATGGGCGCTCTATCTTGGCCGACCTCAATGTATCAAACTAGAAGATGTCTCAGTTAAGAGACCTGGAGATGGGTTATCAGACTTGCCATCCGAAGAGACGAAAATTGCGGTGGCTTGGACGAGCTTGCTCGAGATCGTTGGTCTGATATGCGATAACCTGTAAGCCCTGAATCCGACTGAACCTCGGCGAATATGGATCTGACTACCCAGAAACGGTGTCAAAACTATCCGGCGGGAGATAACGACCTTGGATCAACGCCTCCGCAGCTGGCCATCATCCCTCGATCCTTCATTTCAGTATAATCCCCATCAATCTCCAGCAGTCATCATCTTGCAGTAGGTCTTGTCTGTGTACCTGATTATTTTCATGACTCTCGCTGACAAAAGGCTGCAACAGCATGCAATACGCCGCCGCCCTAATCCTCCTCCACCGCCCCGTCGCCCACTTCGGCACAGACTCTGACTCAACCGCACACACTTCCGCCAGCGAGACCTCCCGCCAAATCTGCGTATACAACGCCTGCTTGATCGCCCAGTACCTCCAAGAATACTACGAAAAACACGGCAGCGTCCTCACAATGTCCTGGGTCGCGCTCCACATCATCGCCACTGCATCAACGACACTCGTCGCCAACATAGCTGAGCGGAAAGGCTCCATTGGTTTCAAATCACAGCTTTCGTGCCTGCAGACCTGCATGCGGTCGTTGAATGAACTGGAGAAGAGCCATGTGGTGACGAGGAGAGTGAGGAAGGTTATCCAGCATGCGATTCGATTGCTGGATTTGGATTCCACTATTGATTCCATGTCTGCGTCGCTTCCGTACGAGGGTTCCTCGTCACAATTGGCGGGGCTGTCTGCACCACTGGTGACGCCGAGTCAGGATTTGGCGTTTGCGTCTGCGAGGTTGGAGGCCATCCCAGAGGTCTTCCAGTTCAACGATCTGCTACCTGTTTGGTCGCAATTCGACATGTTGAATTCGTTTGAGTCATATTTTTCGGGATAGAAGCTCTGGCCGCAAGAGGAATTAGTGGTTTAGAAAGGCAGCGAGCACCTCTGGGAACACGATCCTGAGGCTGAGGCCTGTCAGCTTAGGAATCAACGAACCTACCTAATCAGTAGAGAAGAAAAAAAAGTCCTAAATCCTATGTCGGTCTCAGATGATGCCAATGAGTCTTTGCGATATCTTTCCCTCAATTGCGAGATCCATAGCTTCGTCGTCCATAAGACCATCAACGTAGCACTCCCCAACAACCCTATACAAATCTCCGCATGGCCTAAAAATCACTGGAAAGCTGCAACCTAGAACCGTCGCGATGATATCACCGGTTTGACTAGCTTTAGGAGCTAAGCCTAGGTATCCGGTTGCTGTGATGATGAGTCTCCTGCCAGACAAAGAGAGCACGACTAGGTTGATGTTCTCCGAATCATCGTTCACAGAAGGAGTTGCTTCAGTAGAATTGGCCACCGGTCCGGATATGTATTCATTTAGTTGCTTTCCAAAGACTACAAATTCTCTATTGGCACGGCACCATTTACGGAAACCGTGAATCTCAGTGTCTTCTCGTATGGAATCGGACAGGGTTCTCACGTTCTGGTATTGGGTCTGTAACGACGACATCCGACCAGCGGCTAAGATGTTGAAGGCCGGTTTATATAGTGGGTGGTTCATCAGAAGAGTTCGACAAAGCGCATCAGATACACCATCGGTGGTCTTGTAATGCCGGATATGATAGCCGGAGTGAAGGTTCCCCAGCTCTTGAGGTTGCAAGACACCGTCGCTGTCGGATCCTGAACTGGCGGTACCGTCGATGGTATCGATCAAGTATCCCCGGACGAATAGTATTCGATTGAAAAGGATGCGAGCCGAGTAAAAAGCCGACGTCCGGGTCTTTACAGCTCTACGGTCATTTAGCCATTCAAACGGGTAGCGGTCGTGGGCCCGAGTCCATCGGGGCACCCAAGATGGCCAAGCGTCCGGAATAGTGGGAGCCGACCAGCAGAATAAAAGATCTAGACGCCTAGTGGCTTCGATCAGGGTTTTCGCAAAGTGAGTGAAGACTTGTCTCTCCGAAAGACGGTAATCTGGCTTAACGCGACTCGAGATGGCGTTGTCGAACAGCCCCATCAAGCCATATATCTTGTCTCTGGGATCAGAAGAGTCAGCAGTTTGGCAAAGATCTAAGAGCGTGTCCAGTCCGGAGGCAAGGTTGGTGTTGCTGACTAGAAGGGTCAATGCTTCAACATGCCGCGACTTAATAAAGAAGTGGCGCTTCTGGAGGGTTTGCCGGAGACCGATACCAGGTTCTAACATGTTGTCTATAATATGAGATCGGTACCTAGCAAGAAAGACCGCGGCTCGGATCATGCTCCTAGTAATGGGGTGGTGTCCACATATAAAGAGGGTCGAATTGTGATTGGAGGCCAATTCTTGTATGATCCAGAGTCGTCTCCAGTACGGCCTGCTGAGAAAATGACTGAAAGCACTCCACTCTTGGCGGCTAGGCCATATTTCATTGGCTCCCAGATAGTCACAGAACGCCATTTCCCGGTTTAGCACCATGTCTATGCCAGCAGTCGTTGTGAATGATGTCCAATATCGTAATATAGTTTTCATGACAAGCACAGCTAACTCGTCCGTATTGAAGGGGCCGGGTCTACCAAGCCAGGCGATGACGGATCTACATCTGCCATATATCTCTCCCATACGCTTCACTTGATAGCTCTTCTCCGAAACATCGTCTTGATTGATGCACAAAGCGTCTACCCAGTATCTCATGCCAACACGAGTCTCCGGTAGAGCACGAAGATGCCGAAGGGCTGTTTCAAGATTTTCTGGTACGTCTGTAATGGTTCCATTGATGCGAATTTTCTTGCGGGTCGTTTGGTTTCCCCATGTATATGATAAACACTCGAAATCGCCCCATTCGTAGCGAAAGAGGTTTAGGTAGCTCCAATCTCCGAAATACGAACTTGGGAGCTCCGACCATTGTCGATTGATGAGCGCATCGCGGTCATCAATGATGCTGGAGAAAGAATCTTGCCATCTCAGAGAATCTCTAGAATTCTGGTGTCTTTGCCAAGCTATAGACATGGCATCCAGTGAGACATGCTCAATGGTACATTCTAGTAGGTCTCCCGCAGGCGCTCCCCGGACATCTTTTCCTTCACGGTCCAGATCATCTAGTGAAAGCGAGACGGAGCGCGTGGGTTGCGGATCGAATGAGAGCACCCGGATCTCATTTCTTCGCTCATTGAGGGGTCTGTAGATGACGGCTGGCTCCTGGCGATGGCTCTGACGATAGTTCCGCCGGTGAAAGATGATGAATGCGATGAACAGAGATGATACGAACATCACCTCAAGGTTCGTGACGGCGCGCTCGTGAATGCGATTGACAAAAGCCGAGACACTCGTCCGGATAGTTTCCATGGCTGTCCCTGGGGAGGAGGATGATCTGAGAAGATGCCATGAGCGCGGGAGCAATGCCGTCAGGACTTGGAACGTGGTTGATGGGGTTAGAAGTTGGGATGCCGATGCCCTTTGAGAGACTCACGGTTAGGATTATCAGACGTGGCTGAGCGCCGAAATCTCGCTGGTGTGGCGCAGTAGCGGTGGCGGGTGGCCCTGGGCGGGGTGACCCTGATTGGGCAAGCGTTACTGTCAATTGGATGACGGTTTCGAGATGAGATGAAGGCTGGTAATACGAAGGTACGAAGGGATCCTAATTTTTGCAGGCTGGTGGGAGAGCTTCTTACCCCAAGGCATGTGCGTTGTCAAAATTTGTCATCCTGGACATCTCATGCATCTTCAGCCCGATTTCCCCCACTGCCTTCAAACCTGCAGTCTCGCCCTCGTTACATAAATCCGAACCTTTACCACCTCATTTTCAAGTTTCAGCTACATAGGTTTCATTTCTCAGCTTCATATAGTAGCTCTTGACCCGCAGCTCCATTCCTCCGACCTTCGACTCCAAAAGCTCCAACCTCCCGAGGTCCAACCCGAGGTCCCCAACCCACTGCGAAATGTCGCCTCTCCTTTCCCTTCCTCGAGAGCTTCGCGACACCATCATCGACCGTGTCCTATCCTCAGCTCGCCTTGCTCCGCCAACTATCTCTTCTGCAGAGTCCAATCGATGCGCACCGCCAAGCTACGAAGGCCCCCAGGATCCCGGCTTCGACTCTTGGCCCTATGGCCAATCCCACGTGCGCTTCGAGCAGCCAGCCTACATATCCAACAGTTACCCTCTCTTCCTCACAAATCACCAGCTCGCGGCTGAAACCGCTTCAGCACTCCGCCGGCTTTCTCTTCCATACGAACTCGACGTCATGCAAGTTGATGAGGCAGAGCTGTGGCCAACGTGGCTGTCCGTCCCGGTGCTCACTTCCAAGCTCGATGTTGTCAACGTCACTTTCCGCGCTACTGGCTTTGCAAAGAAACGAAGTATGTGGAAACGTGGCTGTGGGGCTCCGCCGTACATGCTGTGGTGCTTTTACTATCTGTTGGAACATGTTTTGAAGCGGGGTCCCGTGGGAAAGACCTCTGCGTCTTGGGATCGAGAAGTGAGCATTAAGACGTTGAATCTTAATTTTGTGGGCAACAATCATGTTTCGCCAGGAGACCCGTCCGACTCCAGAGACATCAAGTATACCTACTCCGCCGACCCGGACGAGAACACAAACAACATGGATTTGCGGCCGGAATGGGTGGCGGACTTCCTAGACTCCGAACTCTGGGGTCTGCTGGGGATGGGCAATAGTGGCGCGGCGTATGGTAAGATTTTGCATGAGAGGGTTGGGAGCATCCAGTTTATGGTGAATGGAGAGACGAAGGAAAACCTGAATCTCACTAACATATTGCATGAGCTGAATCCAACGAGTAAGCACGACACGTTCGGGCACGTCGCACCTGAGGAGAGGCTCTCGGCGTTTTGGAAGTGGAAAGAAGAAACGGCAAGGAAAAGGATGGAGCTCGGATTTCTCGGGGTGGGTGACGAAGATTTAGATGAGGACTGGAGAGAACAATACGGCTAGCCATGCCCAACCACAAAGGCAGGGGAACAAATCCGTCTCACTATAGCAGGGAGAAGTCCCGAATACATATTTACAGAAGCGGTTAGCTGTATAACGCCCTATTGGTCAATGACTACCCTACGCATCTCGGCAACTTTCTTCGTATCTCAACTCTTTACATCTCATCATCGACTCCTCCATCATCATTACTACTCTCTCATTATTGCTGCACCAATGCGGGCGCGAAATGGAAAAATCCAAATTAGCGAAGATCCTTAACTATGAAGATTCAGAACAGTGAAGATCCATAAGAGCTTTTTCCCAGCAAGCCCATTCCCTCCCCCGTCCATCACGTGACTCAAGACATACTGGCTCCAGCACGTACACACATAGCCCTTCAAGCCGCGAAGCTCCGATTCGCTTCATATGCACCTAGTTCTCACCGAGTCCCTCTGGCCAGCATTTGGGACTATTTCGTGAAGCTTTGGGACGAGATGGGGCAGTTGATTTCCTACAACAGCTAGCCTTGCGCCCAAGCTCCCTACCTAAAATCGTTAACTCCGCTTACGCCCGTCTGGTAATCCTTCGACGCCAATGAGCAGCCGGGGATTACGACTACATACAGAGCCTGTGAACCATCTACACACTTAGCATTCCCTCACCGTCCACTCCGGTCACCATTTTCCTTCTACTCTCTTATGCAACCTCTTTCCTGATCTATATCACATACTGTCAAGTCACAATGAAGCTCCTTGTCACTGGCGCAACTGGCCTCGTTGGCACCGAAGTCATCCGTCAAGCGCTAGGCGTCTCCTCCATCACTTCTGTTGTTGCGCTTGCAAGACGCGAGGTCAAGGTCCCGGAGCAGGTTGCACCCGATGCGGACACTAGCAAGTTGAAGACTGTGATTGTTGAGGACTGGGAGAAGTATACGCCTGAGGTCAAGGAGGCGATCAAGGGTGCAGATGCTTGCCTTTGGTGAGTCTGGGTCACGTGGAGTAATCATCGCCTTCAATCTCCATACCTTTTTCAGGGTATTATTTTGAGATTCGGGAATCGATCGAACCAATGCAGTCGTAGATTATGCTAGTATCAAGCTATTCGTCATATATAAAGCTAACAGTCTCCAACAGGCTCCTTGCCATCACCCCCGCAAAATCTAAAGCCTATGTCTTTGACCAAGTCCGCAAAGTCTGTCTCGACTACACCGTCGCTGGTATCCGTGAAATGAGTACCGTAGCCAATAAGCCATTCCGCTTCATTTATACCGCCGGCGCCATGACGGAGCGGGATCAGACGAAAAAGCTGGCGTTGTTGGGGGAGTATCGGCTGATGCGGGTACGTGCTCTCCATCTGCACCATCCTATTGAATTCTTTTTCCTCCTTTCTCTTCCAGTTCAAGCACTTCAACTCACTCTTGTCCAGGGTGAGGTCGAGAACCAAGTCCTTGCCTTCGCTTCCCAGTCCTCTGGTGCCGTCGAAGCCCAAGTCACCAGACCCGGCGCTATCGACGGGCCAGGCCGGGGCATGATTGTGAGTGCTATTGCTGTTGCCAGCGCAGCTTTGGGGGTGATGCCGAAGGTGCACGTCAGCGAGATAGCGGCTGCGATGCTGCAACAGGCTGAGAAGGGGCTGGAGAAAGAGACGCTGGAGAATGCGGACTTGGTGAGATTGGCCAAGGAAGTCTTGGGAGACGGCAATGAGAAATACGTGAAGTAGGGGCCGCCGCGTGTGCCTTCCTCTCGAGTTTTCTCTATTCTTGTCGTATTCGCGATAAACCCCTAGAGGTGCCCCGTTGCCACATATACAACCCCAAAATGATGACCGCATGAGTCAAACGAGGTCCCTTGTGGCTAATAATATGATCTCGCTGTGCTCTGGGACATCTCCGCGTTTACATTCGCCTCCGTGATGTCTCTATGGCCCAGGGCTGCGTCCAAACCTGCGGTAATTCGTCCCTGATTTCCTCCTAGTCTGAATCGCATCAGGACACCGAGATATAGCAGCCTCTGAATACTCACTGAGGCTTTCATGCTGCATTGTATCGGCACGATAGCCTTGCTGTCCTTCGATACATGCTTCATATTTCCTGTCAGGAAAAGTGCCACGAATTCCGATACGAAGCACGTGACTAATCGTCACTCCAGGTACAAAGGTCCCATATCGTTGCCGATGTACGACTTCTTTTGAAAAGGCGCGTGGTCCTTCTTTAATACTTGGAGACTGAATGCCATCGATCTTGATCTTTTAGGCTCTATCTCATTCTGATAGTTCATTCCAAGATGGACCAAATTCGGCGAGCGCCGGACCACGCTAGAACCACCTAGGTAGGTCCTACCAAACGATTCTATCGCGACAACACCCCACTCACCATCACCGTCTTCCCCAGATAATCAACATCTGAGCAACAAGCTCCTTGAGCAATTTCAGATGGCCATGGAGACCTACAAGGTGTGGGCAGGAGGCAACGAGTGGGTAGGGAGAGCGGGGTTGTAAGTCGGCTCAACGCGTAGAACTACTAAAGCCCTGGCTGACAACGAGGAAGAATCGATGTCGAGGATCCAGCAACGGGAGAGATATTCGCAAAGTAATTCTCCACCACTCCTATACTGACTGGTGACCTTGCTGAGACCTCAGATGCTGGACTGCCTCCGCGGAAGATGTCGACCAAGTCGTGGAACTCGCCAACGCTGCATTCAAGTCAGGCGTTTGGTCAAAAGCACCACGACATATTCGAGCTGATGTATTGGAAAAGATTGCCGAGCTTTTGACCAAGAATTTGCCAAGACTCATCGAGCTCGAGGTCCGCCAGACAGGAAGAGCGATCCGGGAAATGAACGCGCAGGTCCCGTCTCTCGTCAAATGGTTCAAGTATTACGCAGCAATTATCAGGACCGAGGAACGCTCCGTTCTTCCGACGATGGGGTCGCTCCATAACTGGATCGATCGAAAACCGCTCGGCGTTGTGGCCCAGATCACTCCCTTCAACCATCCGCTTCTCATTGCGGTCAAAAAGATCGCTCCTGCTCTAGCGGCGGGCAACTCAATCGTCTTGAAGCCTTCGGAACTTACTCCTCTGACATCCATTGAGCTAGGGAAGCTCATGAAGGAAGCCGGATTACCCGATGGTGTCTTCAACGTCCTGCCTGGCGGCGGCCCAACCACAGGAAAAGCTCTCGTCGCGCATCCGCTCATCAAGAAAGTTGATGTGACTGGAGGCACTCCTGCGGGCCGCGCGATTGGCGCAATCGCAGGCCAAAACCTGGCTAAATTTACAGCCGAGCTTGGAGGCAAAGCACCATTGATAGTCTTTGCAAGCGCCGATATCGATCTCGCGGTGAACGGAATCGCGTTTGGCTCCTTCATCGCATCCGGCCAAACATGTGTTGCGGCGACACGCATCATTGTTCACAACAGCATCCTCCCTGAGGTCGTCGAAAAGCTAAAAGCGAAGGCTGAGTCGATCACTCGTAGGATGGGATCTCCGAAGAATGTAGAGTCGATGATGGGACCGTTGATCTCCGCGAGGCAGCTTGGGAACGTGATGACACTCGTTGACGATGCTATCAATTCTGGTATTCGTGTCGCCACAGGCGGCCGACGATTGACGGCCAAATCCGATCTGGATGGGACCGATTTTTCGAAAGGCTACTACTACCCGCCCACGGTTCTCTACGAGACGGCTCGAAAGGTCAGTGAAATGCGGATCTGGAGGGAAGAGGCATTTGGCCCAGTTATCGTGGTCGTCGGCTTTGAGTTCGAGGATGAGGCAATTGCACTAGCGAATGATTGCGAATTTGGTCTTGGTGCCGCTATCTGGACCCAAGACTTGTCCGAGGCATTCAGAGCGTCAGAGGAGATTGAGTCAGGTATTTGCTGGGGTAGGTAGTCCAAGAATCATCTGAACGCATAACTGCTTACCTTCCGTCAGTTAATACACATCACCGCAACGACCCAAGCAGTCCATGGGGTGGTATCAAGAGCTCTGGTGTTGGTAGCGAGAATGGAATAGGTAAATTGCGCCTAAACTTTCGCAATATGATTAGATGCTGACCGCATTACTCCAAGACGCTTATCACGCGTACACGACGACGAAAAGCACCATCATAAATTATGCGACAACACGGCAGGGCCTCCAAAACGACGACTGGTTTAGGGAAGGGGCAGGTGAAGTTAGATACGGCTAATGATATAAGATGGAATAGAAGTCAAGGAATTTCTGACGCTAAAACACTAAGAAAGCTCCAGTTCTACGACTCATGCATCTCCTTGGCGGTATGTAGACCATCTCCTTATAGTTCCACCCGGACCAAGCTCCGCTATCTTTCTGAACTTCCCCGAGATACATTCCCTCACTCTCTCCACGCCCGTCTCATAATCCGCCGCGTACCACCACCCCTGTCTATCAATGAAATCAGCCCCCGACGAGATCATGAGAGGAGTGTCTGTTTTTGCTTCAAAATATTTGAACGACTCCAAATTAACCAGCTGCGCCAATTCGCTAGATATACGAGCGCGGTCAAGCAGAAATCGTGCCGTGTCTCTATGTTCACTGTCCGGGGTTCTTTCGCCCCATTTGCAAGATTCGCAGCAGTTGCTTGTCTCTGAGAGGGGTCGAATATGCAGCCGCTTCATCGAGTTTGAATCAAATGCGAAAAAGTTGCAGGAGTTCCCGGTATGGTAGATGCTTGAGTTCGCCTCCATGTGGCAAAGAGCTGACTGTCCGGTGGAGAGGTACTTTGTCTCAACTAAGAAGAAGGGATGCACTCTTTGCTTCTCGCCCTTCGAACGCCAAAGCCCAAGGCAGATGCCGTGATGGATGTGGTTGGGCAGAGCATGGGGGAAGCGACCTCGGATGATGCGGTTGAAGTCTTGGCCCTTGAAGGCGTACCATTCGGCATCGATTGGGATGATGTCTTCTGGGCCTCTATTTGCGCCATCAAGCACGATGTCTTCAATGGCCGTGTCGCGGAGGTATGTCCAGACCCAGAGAGGAATCCGAGTCTCGCCGGTTTTGCAGGCACAGATAAGCTCCGCGAGTGTGACCTTCTTCGGCGCGCTATTCTGGATCAATACGAACGGTTTTTCCGCATAGTCGTTAATGGCGACACTGGTTTTCGGCAGCTCTTTTCCCTGGGGCGTGGATAGCCAGTAAACGGATCGTATGAGCGCTGCTACTCCTTGTAAGGCCAGCCAAAGCAGCGCTGATTCGTTCGTCGCGTCTGTCAGGATTGAATACTGGCAGATGTACGCCACGACCAAAGAAAGAGCAGCCAGAAGCGCGATGACCCTCGTTGGCCAATCATGCAGGAAGAGGGAGCTGCCTTGGGCATGCAGCACGTCGCCATGCCCCAGCCTGCATTGCAGCAACTCCATCGTCCGGACATCCGACTTCCACGCGCTTAGAGCGTTCCAGACGGGAATGGTAAGATAAGTTCCCGGCCGTTGCGTCTTCCACGTATATAACAGCGGCATCGCAAACAGCACGAGCAGCGACGCGTGCATCCCGACCGTGGCGTGGATGCGAACCCAGCTCCAGGACGTCTGTACCACAATCAGCAGCCACGACGTAATACCCGTGCAGAGTATTCCAAAGAGCAGGTGGAGCCAGATGCTCTGGCCCCAGCTCCCGTCTTTCGTCGGATCTCCCAAGTTCAGCGCGGTGAAGCCTGTCAACCGCAGACCGCCCTTCCCCGTATGATCGGTGCCATACCGCGCCGCGATATCGAGCAGTGGATTCGTCTCAGTGTTGAAGAATCGCTTCCACTTCTTGATCACCAGATCGCCTCCTCTTCGGCCCTTCGTCTTGGTTGCTTGTCCCTCGAACTCGACGCGCACAACATCACACTCCACAATCAGCGCGTTCGACTCCGCCTCCAGCGCCGTGTATCCGAATATTCCGCGCAGCGACTCCAATCCGAATCCCGCAGCTTGACAACGATCATTCCCGAGCGCGATCTTTAACGCCGATTTAACCATCCCCAGCATTCCCAGTAACGAGAGTTGTGAGATGGAGAGGTTGCCCAGTCCGAGGTGGGTCGCGATGGCGTTGCGCTCGACGGAGCCGGAGAAGAGGAGGGCGGAAAGGGCGGCGATGTCTTGGGTGCCCGAAGCCATCGATTGCGCGAGGGTGTCTTTGGGGACGCAGTCGGGGGCCGCAGCAGCGGCGGCGGCTGCCGGTAGAATGGAAGACATTTTTACTTAATGGTCCTTGGACTCGAAGGCGGTTATGAAGATGCGGTTGAGAGTACTGTGGTAAGATGTTGAGGGAGGCAGCTTTGTTATATCTCGAAAAGACTGACGCATGAATTCTATCGGGGCCAGGGTAGGTGACTCCGCCGCATGTTCATGCAGCGGAGTCATAGTGTCGGATTCTTGCTTGGGGTCGCTCGTCGAGCTTGAGGCTGGGTACTTCTGCGCAATCTGTAAAGAGGTGGTGTCAGCGAAACGTTCCTGGGCTTTTGCTATACTCGTTAAGTGGGGGTGTCGAAGGCGTTGCGATACGCTGCGCCACACTTGAGATGAGGCTGTGCACAGCCACACTCCTGATCCCTGAAGAGCTGAGCGCCCCATTGGTACCAACGCGCGAGGGGCTAAGGTAGGCAGCATTTGGAGCAAGGTAAGGAGGTATCTATTGGAATCTTATGAATTGGGTGGGTATTGGCTGGTTTGTCTCTTTCCATATTTTGCTGTCCGTCATAGAATACTATACCAGCTCTCGCATCTGATCAATATTGGGTCGATTTTCCAACATCCACTTCCATCATGAAAGATTGCCATTGTCACGCAGAAGATGTTTGCAAAAATCAGAATTGTGGATGCACTAGGGATATAGACATGCTTTGTATTCTCTCTTTCCAATTTCCAAGTATGCCTGATATTATAGACATTAGCAAAGGGAGTTCGAGGTCCGAGTCACGGCTTCGGGAGCATTACATTCACCCTTGAGAGAGTCGAGATGGGCCAGGGGGGTAGGGTAGAAAGAGGCTTCCGTCTCGTATGAGCTTCATCACTCCTACATCCCACAAATCAAAGCAGAAATAGCGGACGCTTGATATGTTTCTGCAACGGTCAAATTTTCACTAGCTTGCTCCCACAGGGGTCCATTGCTCCGAATAACTGAGGGTATAAAAGAGGCTTCTATCATATATAAGCCCCATCCTTCCTACCCTCCACAAATTGGGTCGCAAGTCTGTGGGCTATTGACATAGCTTCGCACCGATCAAGTATCCACCGGCCTGCTCCCAAAGAGGTCCATTGCTCCGAATACCTAGGGGTAGAAAAGACTTCCACCTCACGTGAGCTCCATCCTTCCTACACTCCACAAATCGGTTCACAAGTCGGTGAACGCTTGACATATCTCAGGCGTCTGCTGGCCTACTTCAAGGGAAGTGTGATGTTCCGAACATGTGGGCATGTAAAAGAAGGTTCTGTCTAGTCTGGCCTCCATCACTTCTACACTCCACAAATCTGACTGGGTTTAGTGGACGCTTGCAGTATCTAAGACTGCTCTGAACCATCTTCGCTACTCCAACTAGGAAATGTATATGGAAGAGGGTTTTTCTCATGTTACCTCCATCACTCCTACACCCCACAAATTGGAGCAATGTCGGTGAATGATTGACACAGTCATATGTCAGTCGAGCATGTACTGGCCTGCTCCGAAGCATCGTCGCTGCTCGGCACAGGATGGCCATATCAAAGAGGCCCCGATCTGATCTACCTCCACACTCCACGAATCAGACGAAACCCGGAATCCTCTTGATGTGCATCTAGCGTCCACCAACGTACGCCTGCTCCGAAGTTGATCCCTGCTCCGAACAGGAACTTGATATAAAAGAGGTTTATGTGCGGTCCTTCCTCCCTCACTTCTACACTGCACAAATCAGACTCAAGTCGGTGGACGCTTGACACACGCATGCACCAGTCAAGCGTCCACCGACCTGGTCGGACCTGCTCTAAAGGATCCCAATGCTCCCAACAGAACGGTAGGTATAAAAGAGGCTTCTATGTGATTTGCCCTCCATCCTTCCCACACCCCACTAATCGGGCTTAGGTCCGTGGACGTTTGACAAATGCATGCATCCGTCAGACGTCCACTGGCCTGGTTGCACCTGCTCCAAAGAAGTTCGTTGCACCGAACGGAAATAAGAGGTATGAGAGAGACTTCTCTCTCATCTAACCTCCATCCTTTTTGCACTCCACGAACCTAATCGAGATCAGTGGATGCTTGACGCGCTTTTGGATGGATTAAGCGTCCGCTGGCATATGCCTACTCCACAGAAGGTCGCTGCTCCCAACGGGAATTAAAGGTATAAAAGAGACTTCTTTCTCACCTGACATCCATCACTCCTACACTCCACAAATAGGATCGAAGCCAGTGGGCGCTCGACACACCATTGGATCAGTCGAGCGTCCACTGGCCTATGCCTGCTTCGACTCTTCTTCGTCCAAAGACGAACTCAAAGTTGGGCGTTTGAAAGACGCTTCCGTCCGATGTGGGCTCCATCACTGAGGCATCTCAGCCAGTGGCAAGAATGTGTGCTGCGACTGCTTCCCCTATCACGCTCCTCAGCCCTTTACATCTTTCTTAGATTTCCGGGACCTTGTTGAGGCACCTCAGCCAGTGGCAAGAATGTGTACTGCTACTGCTTTCCCCACCGCCCAGGCATCGCAACAATGCCAGACTTCAGACCCAGCCATCGGAAGGACTGATGTCCCGGCGTCGGCAGCTTGTTCTTCCTCCCCCGAGCTGTCCAGCTTCACGCGGGAGCGTTTGTGCCAAGGCGCTAGTCCTGACGCGTCTTTTCTTCTGTTGACGTCGGCCGTCAACTCTGACTTCGACCTCCAACGTCGACAGCGTCTTCATCACAATCGTAACCAGCGGCTGATTGTCTTGCAGCCTTCGTACCGACGTCTGCGATTCCTCGTACTACACACTGACTGCCCACTCCACTGACGACCAAGCTGCGACTCGCCATGGACGGCAACACAAACCCCTCCTCCGCCGAGAAACCAGCCGCTCCAGCGAATCCTCTCGGCGGCATCACGAAGTACGCGCAGGCCCCGACGGACAGCTCAACGGTGCCAGGGTTGGCTGAAGGAGTCAAGAGACCTGCCAATCTCGCAGCGACAGCGCCCGGATCCTCGTTCGGTGTCCCTCCGAGTCCCACCAGTACGCCGATTCAGAGGCCGGAGCAATTTTCACCAGCTGTAGTAGGTCATGCTGCATCTTCACCCTTCTCGTCGTCGTTCGCACGGACCCTTCCTGCGCAAGTTCCTTCTCTTCCACCTCTTCTCACACAAGCACCTCTGCCTGCCTTCTCGTCCCTACTTTCTCCATATCCGAGGACGCTTGCTCATCCTCTGCCCCCATTCTCGTCTCTACCTTCTCCACATCCGACTACGCTCGCGCATCCACTTCCTCAACGCCTGATGCAAGAGGCCCCTCTTCCTGGACTTCAACCGCTGTTACCGCTTCCAGCACCCACACTTGGGAGACGGATGCGTGGAGAGCGTAGACACGACGCGATGGGTGTGCCCCAGCGTCATGAGGACCAGAAGAGAGCCCAAAGGGACCAAGAGGAGCAACGCCGCCAGCTGAAACTCGCAAAACGACACGCAGAGGACGCCGGCTTTCACGCTTCCATCCCCACAAGGCGTGCATACGTCCCACGCCGAGACCCGCAACAAGTTGCTAAGAGCATGACCGCGCCCGCCAATCGCGCACACAGAGCCCGAATGAGTGCGTTCCACAAAGCCATCATGCGCGGAAATGGCGGAAGTACCCGCAGTTTCGCCGGCAACGTGATCAAGGAGCACGGTAGGGCTTCCGTCGCAACATCCATCACTTACGAGCAGGCTTTGCCGTCACAGAGGACCCACAATGCCTTCTGGACCGACGGCTCCGTCCACCAACCGTCCGGCTCGACTGAATGTTTCCTAGGCGCCGCGGTGGCGCGTCGTGGCCCAACAAGCGGAACCTTCGTCGTGACCGACTGCCCGCTGGGCTGCAACGTGGGCAGCTCAGGCGACGCCGAGGCCTATGCAATCGCCACCGCGCTGGGTTTGGCCGTCGCCGACGCAAATGCGGGAAATATGGCGCCCGTCGTCATCTTCAGCGACTCCCTGGCCTGCCTCCAAGGCCTTGAAAGCGGAAAAGCGAGCGATCTAGGCCCCTTGATATCGACGCGGTGGGCCTTCGAGGACATCTACGACTATGCCGACCAGCTGGACGCAATGGGCGTCCCCCTCACGCTTCGCTGGGTTAATTCCCATTCAGGATCAAAAGGGAACGATGCGGCAGACCTCGGGGCAAACCGTGCGGCTAGAATGGCAGCAGCAGCACTAAAAGCGGAGGTGGACCTGGTCCGCCACCTGCCGCTGGCGTTGAAAGATGCGACGGAAGAGTGGGAGGCCGAGTACTGGTTCCGGGCAAAGAAGCTCAGCAATGCGTTGATCGCCAACACGCATGCTGCCGACGAGGACTGGGACGCAAAGGTCGGTTATGGGGGTTACGGGGGTTATAGGGGTGAGAGGAGGGATAGCGGCCACGCGGTGTTCAGGGGATATAACACCGAGGACTATAACACCAGCGGTAAGCATTGCGTCGCAAATGCTAGTGTTTCTCGCAATGCTAACATGAACGAGAATCCGAGGAGGGGGAGGTATCGGACTGAGAGAGAGGAGAGCGTGGAGTCTGGTGGTAACGAGTTTAGATTTCGTGACGAGAATGGACGGCCTTGTGATGAGTTTCGGCGGCACGAGTGCATGAAAGTGGAGAGACTTAGCCCAAAAGTGGAGAGAGTTGGCTCGGAAGAGGGTGAGATCGTGGAGTAAGAGGGACGAGAGCGTGGTAGGTAGTTGTATAAATGCCAGATGTTTTATCGCGAATAAGTACGCTTCGGCCGCAAATAGTTACTATTCTGGCACTAAGAGGGTATGTTTTAGGTGCTTCTAGTGGAATTCTAGGACTAGTAGGGTACGCTTCGGCCGTGAATAAGAGATATTTTAGCATAAAGAGGCTACGCTTCGGCTATAAATAGTAACTATTATAGCACTAAGAGGCCATGTTTTAGGTGCTTTTAGCGAAACTTTTAACACTAATAGGGCATGTATTAGGTGTAAATAGCAGTACTTATTGTAATAGGGTACGCTTTAAGTATAAGTAGTAGAACTTATAACCCCTATATATAGTTAGTAATGCTACCTTTTTTTTTCTTGTTAATAGTTGTACTTCTAGGAGTGTAAGCGTAACTTTTTCCCTTCTTTTATAAGTTCTGCTAAAAGCAACTACGTGACGCCTGACCTTTTGAATCTTCTAAACTGCGCTGCGTGGGCGTGCGTTTTGCGAGTGCCGATACCTATTGGAGACACCTTATGGGGTATTAGACGCCTAGAAAGGTAAATGTCATGTTCCGGACCGCGAAGATTAAGCCGTCGACATGGTGCTGGCCTTCAGGCAACTATTTTCTCGCATATGTGATATTGGGCCATGTCCGCGTATGTTTTGCGGGGGTGGGTAGCGTCCGAAGACACCCCCGGGGGTAAGAAGATTTAAAAAGGTGAATGTCATGTTCTGGAGTAAGGAAATTAGGTGTTTGTCATGTGACTTTCCTGGGGACGCCTGATTTCAGGTACAAGCTATATCGGACCATGTCCGCCTGTGTTTTGCGCGGCCAGATAGCGCCTGAAGACACCCCTGGGCGGTGGAAGTTTGAAAAACGTGAATATCACGTTCCGGACCGCGCAGATTAGACCTTTGTTATATAACTAGCCCTTAGACGACTATTTCTTTGCACGTGCGATATTGGGCGATATAGGTGCATATTTTGGGAGTATAGTTAACTGTGCGAGACACCTCACAAGGTATAAGAGACTTAGGGAGGTGGATGTTACGTTCCAGACGGTGCGAATTAGGCCTTAGGCAGGCGCATAGCCCTCGGGCAGCTATTTCCTCCCACGTGCAATATTAGACCAGTTAAGCGTGTGTTTTAGGGATCCTTATACCTATGGGAGACGCCCTATATAATATGAGACGCCCTAGGAGGTGGATATCACGTTCCGGAGCGCGTAGATTAGACCCTTGTTGGGCGAATAGCCCTTAGGCAGCTGTTTTCTCGCTCGCGTAATATTAGGCCATGTGGGTGTGTGTTTTGGGGGTATCGTTAAGCACGTAAGACACCCCACAAGGTATAAGAAGCTCGAGGAGATGGATGTCACGTTCCGGAGGGTGGAGATGTGACTACGGTCGCGTAAATAGCTGTAGGGGACCTTTTTCCTCGCACGTAGGATATTGGGACTTGTGCGCGTATGTTTTGGGGGTGTGGATATCTATGGGAGACTCCCCAGGAGGTATGAGACGCTTGAGAAGGTGAATGTCATGTTCCTGAGGGCGGAAATAAGACTACGGTCGTGGAGCTTCTATTCCTGCACCTATTTGTGGCGCTCTACGAATCGCGTCGTTTTCTATGCGCATTTTGGGGGCTCTGATAGCGCTTGAAGACACCCCGAGAGGTATGAGAGGCGCGAGGTGGTGGATGTCATGTTCCGGAGGGCGCAAAACCGGACTGCAGTCATATGAGAAGCATTTAAGCAACTATTTGGGACGCTCTGCAAATTGTGTTGGCTTCCTTGTGCATTTTGGAGGCTTAGATAGCACTCGAAGACACCCCTGGAGGTTGGAGGATTGAAAAACGTAGATAACACGTTCCAGAGGCCGTATATCAGGCTCTAGTTGTATGGCTGGCGTTCTTGCATCTTATCGCGGTGCGTGTGATATTAAGCCGTGAAGACATGCGTTTTACAGGCGTAGATAGTGCTTGAAGACACCCTGCGCAATCCGAAGTTCATTGAGAGCGAATGTAAAGGCCACGACGCCGTGAATCAGGCATTGTCCATCTAACGATCATTTCCAGACTCATTCGCGACGCTCCCTAATTGTATTATGTTACGTAGGCGTTTTGCGAGTGTAGACAACGCTTGAAGACACCCCTAGGCCATCTTAGCACGCTCGAGAGTGAATGTAAAGGTCGCGACGCTGTGAATAAGGATCAAATCTCCCTGTCCACAACCCACGATTGGTTCTCGGGCATATCAGAAAGGACTGCCTCGAAAGGAAGCAGGGAGGGAACCACCACCCAGTTATTCGGGGCAGAAGTCATTCCCAAGTTGGCGCTGAAAAACTCAGATACTCTAGAATCCGTATTAAAAGCCTTTGTAAACAAGGGCTTAATAACCTGCAACACAACTTTGGCTAACGCGGTTTGGTAGATATCGCTTTCAATGCTTTCCGTCTTACGAGCTTGGATCAAATTCTCGGTAAGCTCGTGTTGGGCAACTTCGGCCGCAATCTCTCGGAATGCCTCTAAGCCGCGCGCATACGTCCTGTCAACCTCGTGAAGAAGGACGGTTCGGCGAGAATAGACGTACATGGACTTCCGGTCATCAGAGTCACTCGGGATGTCTTGCCGTACCTGTGCCATCAGATACACAGTGGCTCCCTGAGCCGAGGATTTCACGTCTCTGATTAGGTACACTTTCCCTTCGCGGAGATCCTCAATGAGTGGATTAGGGCTAGCTTCACCGAAACGCGGCAGTTCTTTATCCGGCAATTGCTGGACTGCTTTCCATCGGAGGTACTCGGTCACGCGGAACCAGCGTCCAGTAGTTTCATGGCGGCAAAGAACACTCTCGTTCATGATGGGGGTGTCGAGCAACCCTTTCCACATCCAAATAGGGCTGTTTTCTCGCCAAAGATTCAGACTGAGACCGTGACCGGGAAGCTTCACTCGGAGGCCATAGTCCGAGAGAGATCCCAGGTCTTCTGGCTTGACCGGCTCATTCATTACTACCGAGGGAAGGAAACGAGCGGCCAGATTATTTAGGTCCAGAGGTGAATAGGTATCCGACCCCAGCAGGCTTTTGGGCGCCCATCCGAAACCCTTCTTGTGAATGGGGTTGTCGACATAGAATATAATACGGGCGGAGACTCCGCTTCCCTTGCTCGCGACCTGCTTCCAGAGTTGCTCCATCCGAGCTTCGAGACCCTGAACGGTGGCAATACTTGCTAGGTCCAGGGACAGGAGAGTTGCGATACACAGCGGCTCGTCACTTTCAACCGAGGCGGAGCGGAAGTGGAGAGCACGTTGGAGGATCCATAAAAGCCCGAACACGGTGGAGGGCCCCCACATCTGTTCGTTCCAGTATGACTGATCAAGATGCTTCTTAAAGAAGCCGTGGAGATTGTAAAGCTAGAGAAAGCACTGTAAGTCATGGCTACACACCTTGAAAGAGAGAATCGCATGGAAATGACATACTTCCGCTGAAACATCCATGAATATTGCCCGATATCTAGGGTCCGACATGCTAATCTGAAACAACTCCGCAGATTTATCGACAATACTAATTGGGTGGTCTGCAAATTGAAAGTAGAGCGATCTTGCCAATGCCCCTTCTGGGAATTTGGTCAGCTTGCTATCGTCACTTTTACATAATGGCGTTATTACCTTGTAAAGTCCAGAGCCTTCGCATCCAGTTCGAAGACGCCAACGCCCTAAGACACACTTCTGCGGGATGGAGGCCTTCTGAGAAGAATGAGTAAATAGAGGAATCGAGTACAAGAACATGCTTTGCTTCCGTGTATACTGCAGGCAGTCTTTCGATTGCAAGAGCTTTCGTCTGTCGCTCTACTGCTGGGCAGCACAAGGTGTCAATCCATAGTAAGTAAGGTTCGCAGGATTCTGAAGTCTTCGCTTCCACCGTTTCCTGGAGGTTGTGAATAAGTTTCGCCAAGCGGGATATCTGACACCGATGCAGGGAGTTCTCGTAGGGATTCCCAAGGCCATCGGCCCACACCTACACCGGGAGAGTCATTCGTTAAAAACTCAGGCGATATGTTCTGGACTCATATACTTACATGGGACATTGCAACGTACACTTTACTGCCCGTGTATGGTTCCACGTCGATGGTTACACTCTTAAGATCCGCATCCACGTGAACGCGCAAGATAGGAAAGGTAGACGTATCTCTAAGAATCTGCTGGACTTTTGCCAGGTTGACCTTGATTTCTGAGCAGCCGCAGCCATCTTGCGCATGAGATAGTTCGTATGTTTGGGGCACGATATGAGCTGCATTGCATCTTTGTCTAGAGCAAGATGAATGGTCCCAGCGAAGGTCGCGCCTCTTGAGATGGCTAAGGAAATGCTGCGTGTTGAGCCGTTGGTAAGTCAGTCCAATGCGATCGATGTCGCTCTTACACCAGCCAGCATCCTTCATCCTATTCTCAACTGAGCCACGGCCCATATACTGCGGGTGTTGAGGCCATGGAAACGTAAGTATTGGTGGATTCGGTATGACTAAGAACGCCGATTGTACGGCGTACGCTATTGCAGTGCTCATAAACTCGCCTACGGCGCTGATGGACATCCAATTTTGCTTCTCAAGGTAGCTGAGCGACATGTTGACCATATGGTAGGTGAATTTGAGACATTTCCAAAGATATGTAAACCTGCTAACCTGTCCCGTTGAATGATCTCTTAGAGAGCACATCAAGCCATGCATGATCCCTTGTTCAAATAGTTTGCTGATGGTGATATATTTTCTCGCACCCTCCTCGACCGTGAAATCGTCGTACAGCTGCTGTAGCGAGCTCCTTCTCTTCATGACATCGTCACCAGGCGCTTGATCGTCCAGGTCATTGAGGGCGAAGAACTCAGCAAGGAGGCCAAAGAAGAACCAAGTTTGGAAGAATGATTGCCTCTCGGACGGTGAGATTCGATCTACCGCATTGACGTAAGGTGTTCCGTCATCGATCTCTCGAAGATTAATGGGGACGTGGTCAAGCAATGCGTTTCGATTGGCAAAGAGCAGGAATTGCCCACCATCCCATCTGTGGTCCCCGTCGACGAACGGCACCTTTTCAATGGTCCCGGACGGGTCCGCTGGAGCGCACAGAAAATACCCGCCAGGATCCATCTTGTGCAGCACTACAGGCTCAAACTAGCGTAAGATCTGAGGCCGTGATGATGCAAGCATGAGCTAGCTTAGGCTGCGGCGGGGAACATTCGGGAGGATCATCTCGCGTATGTAGTACTACACCGAGCTTTTAATGATATGGATTCTGAAGTTTCAGTGATGTGAAAGATGACGTTCAGATGGAAGGGTGGGGATGCCGGTGGGATGCGTTGGTGGTGTAAGAACACAGGCAGCGGAGAGGAGTTTCCGAAAGATGCCACCAACCCATATCTGACAGTCACGTGAGAGCACATCTTTTCGAGGTAAGTACTATTTCCAACAATAATGCTGGTATGCATATACGAGATGGAGTTGACAACGGACTGCAAGTAGCAACTGTTAATCCTTCGCTCAAGTCAAAGGATGTCATTTTCGTGCAGAAAAGCAAGTACACGTGACTTTACTATCAGACCTTTTGCATGATTCTCTCGAGTTTCTTCTTGCAAATCAAGCGTCAGTAGGATCGAATGCAATACATCAGCAGGAGTACCATGAAAATGTTGAACGAAGGATTGGTGACGAGGGATTCATTCGTTGGTCCCCAAAGGAGTGGGATGTATGCCGCCAGAATCGATGGTGGTTGGACGATGAATATGAAGAGATGCGTAATTAAGGGGACTGAGGACCTCGGTTATAACCTCTCACCACTATCTGAAGCCCTACCATATCCCTTCGTGAGTCTAGAGTTACACCTGCCTAACGGTTTTGACCGGTTCACTGCATCGTCACGGCCAGTGACACCTCTTAGGCACGGTTACTTTCTATGTAGATCTTCTCCTGGACTCATGTGACCGGCTCTTATTATTGCACAAACTCTTGATACTCCCACTTTCGCTTGAGCTCATCTAGTTCCTCAGAGGGCCCGAACCTCTGCAACGTGTCGAAAGCATTTAGAAACAACTTCCAATGCAATCGAAGATTGCCCTCGTCCTTCTTCCGATTCCAAAAGCCACGGTCGTTTTCGTTCATGTAGTGTGTTATACAGTCGACTATGATCATGTCCTTCCTATGCAGCCTGACAGAGTAGTCAATTAAGAAATTGAGGCCATCGCAAAACCGACTCACTTAGAATGAGTGCATGCGAACCAGATCGCAAAGAGTGCTGCCTTCGTGGTCAATGATTCCGACGTCTGCGCCAGCGTCGACCAGCAAGCGAGCCAGGTGGAGTCGTCCAATCATTATTGCTTCCTGGAGAGCCGTCAATCCATCGAATTTGACGTCGATATATGGCGTCTGGGCTATCACGCGCTTATAGACTTGGAGGCTGGCAGGGTTAGGCGTAAGAGTGTCGATGTGGTGGATATGGGTGGCTTCGTCTTTCACTACAATGGTCATATCGACGCCGTAATCAATGAGCAAATTTGCCTTCACCAGCTCGTCTCGGAAGATGACAATGGCGAGTGGCTCGAGGGCTAGGCCACTGGAAAGTGGGGCGTTGGGCGTGCAGTTTGAATCTGTCCCCAGCTCTAGGAAGCATCTAACCATGGTGGAGGGGATGTCTCTATAACAGGCTCTGAGGAGCGCTGCGCCAGTGTCAGGAGATTGCCAGTGGATGTCTGCGCCAGCTTGGACGAGCAGTTTGAAGATGTGTTCATTCCTAGCTTGAAAGGTGAACAGGGTTGGTGTTGGCAGTCCTCTGAGATCATTCACCATCGGCGGCACATCGGATCTTAGACCCATAGGATCGGCGCCTAACTGGAGCAGTAATCGTACCTGACAATCGTTAGTTCTGATGTTATTGCTGATAACGAAGTGTCGTCTCTTAGTATAGCTCAATTAAGTAGCCTACTAATCAAGAGTAAATAAAGAGTCATCCGTCCACATTTTCTGGGTGCTATTGAGATATCTCAGTGGCGGCAGAGGAGTGCACACAAGTGTAGATGGCCGGAGGATAGGGATGGACTTACCACTTCAAGTTCGGCCTCGGTCACGTCCCATATGCACTCGCATAGTTTACCATGCTCACAGGGGTCATCGAGGTCGTCCTCTTCTTCATCCTTAATTACAGGCACCGGAATAAGCAATAAATACTCCCCAAGCGCATTCGTCACGCGGCCTTTGTTCACGTTGAATTGTCCTAGACCTACGGCATGCTGTAAAATAGTGTTGATGATGTCTACTGGGGCGCGGTCGTGCTCCATCAGCCAGTCCAAAACTGGCCAGTTTCCATTCGAATCGAGACTAGCGACGTTATATCGCAGTAAGTAGTCGACTGGGTGGCTCCGCCGGTATCGTATTGCCCATCGCATAGCTGATTCTAGGGGACCTTCGTGTGTAGCCCATTCCTCCAAAGGCTCCTTATCTGAAGTTCAAAGTATGCTTAGCGGACGTTCATAACGGAACGGAAGGACAGATTGGAAACGAAACCAGCGCCTTCTAGCCAGGTTTCGTACACCTTTGTCCCGCTACATGGTCCAAAAAGGAGGCTCTAGACCAGTTCGCGATACAAACGTCTCGTTCGGAGTCTAGAAACCATGTTGAGGCATCCCAAACAGGGGCGGGCCTGTGCAGGAGAGGGAATTACTCACCGGCGATTTGAGGCACGTTTGTCGGTCTAGTCTCGAACGCGCGTTTATGTAGCCTCGACTGCAGGTCGAGATGGAGGAGTGAGTAGGCCTCGATCAGGTTCTTGAGACTCCCGTTGGGGAGATAATCGGCGATCTCCCAAGGCAGCTCGTGCGGGACCTCCGGTAGTAGCATGATGTTTAGTGTGGTCGAGGTGGATGGTGTTTTGGATTGGAGGTAGGTTGGTGTTGTTGACGGAAAACAGGGAGCTGAGACGGCGGGCCGGGAGCAGGGAATGAGTTCTTCGGCAATCCAAGGTCTTGTTTAGCAGAGTATTTAATGCGTAGATTTTTATTCCATTCACTACTGTTCGGGTCAGGGAAAGAGTTCTTGCCGCTGTTTGTGAAGGCTGGATCCATTCTGACGAATCTGTAAGAGACTGAAATTATGATTTTAACAGGCCCAGCACCTCAGGCAGATTCATTTCTAGCCAGAAGGGACGTTATAACCTACAAAATCATCCTTTGTACCTCATTAGAGAGCTTCATATCGCACTGTTACTCCTCTTGGTCATCCTGCGCGTCATAACGTTGAAGCAGTCATCCCCCTCCTCACCTTGAAATCTGCACCCACATCTTGTATAAGCTGTTCTTCGTGTCCCATAACGTTATATCTCATTTTTCATAAGAAAGGGCTGGTATGACGGCGCAGCATCATATAAAAGAGAGCTAAGGAGCCGTAATATTCTACATAAGATCCACCTAGGGTGATGCTGCAAGGAACGTGGACAGGCCGACGAGTCCGCAGTGCCAAAACGCACGGTCTTGGATGACTGTTGAAATCCCTCTTCAAGCCTTTGCAAGGAAATCTAGCGGCCGCCCTGATGACAAGAAGGTTGTGTGAAATCAGTCTTCGGATGGGCTGGCCGTAGTGGACCGAGAGCCCATTACCGAAGACTTGGAGGTTTAACACGTTGCACCAAATCCGAGGAGTCGCATAGATGGTAGGAACCTATTCCTTTTTAGAGGTCGGCAAAGATGTATGCCTACGATTGATTTTCATTCGTTCGTCACCCGGGGCGGCAAAGGTCGTGTGCCACAAGCCACAATTGGTGATCTTTAGTAGATGAGAACCCCTTGATTCCACTTCCAAGTAGCTTCCGGTACTAATTCTCGTGCCTTGCTTGGCCTCGCTCAAATAGTGGTAGCTCTAGCGTCTCACACGTGCGAGTCTCGGTGGGGGCGGCGAGGATAATTGGAAGAAGAGTCCGGTCATATTCATGGATTAGTGTCCCCAGTCTTTTTTGAGGCCTTATCCTCCTCGCGATACTTTTTCCCCACGTAGAGAAAATAAGCCCCGTAAGCCAGCAAGACGAGCAAGTATAATGGCACCATTACGGCAAAGTAAAGCCATGATGTATGTCTCTGATCTGGAAAATCGCGCAAAGGCATCGCGAAGAAAGTAGCGACGAACCTTGCGGGGAGAGAAGCCATCGTGAGAATTGCGACCCCTTTTATCGCGGAACTATCCTGTTTCGACGCTAGAGCGATTGGGATAGTATCTTCGCTAGTCGCTGGCTAGCTTTTGGATGTCTCTGAGCGATGTAGTTGTAGATAGCTGCTTGCTGAGCTTGCGCACGTTGTTGGACAAATTCAATGTCGTAAAGAAGTATGCTGGTCTTTTAACTGGGGAATTCTAGTATTTCCAAGACGATCGATCCGACTTTCTCGATGTAGGCGAGATTTGTTAGAAACAGAGGAATCCGAGCTTCCAACGACAGATTCATCCAGCGGATGATCCGAATTCGGTCTACGAGAGAGCTCTGGACGGTCAGCGCGGTTGTTTCTGGTGGTAGTGCCTACCATGGGTTCTGTCGGATTTGCAGGAGGTGCTCAAGAGCTTGAACTGCTTGATTGCTAGACGCCTTCCTCGTACCCCTACATCAACACCTCTCGTCGCTCTCAGCGGCCTTCTTCTCAATACGCCTTCTCTTCAGGTCGCCATTGCATGTTGCAGTGGCAGGGCGCTTGCTTCGATGTGTTCACGAGGCGGAGACGTCCATATCGGCACGTTGGTGTTTTGATGAGCATATTGCGGTGTCGTGGGTTAAAATTCGAAAAGAAAGACGGAGACGATTAATACTCGGAGACGCTCTACTACATGTAGATACGCGTCTTTCCCAAAGTCCTCAACTTCATCACGTCCCATTTTCATCACTCACATACTTCTACTAGCCTTTCGGGGACTCGCGTTCTCCAGTTTACGACCGCTCGCGCCAAGAAATTCCGAGCCCCGCCCCCCCAGCGCCACCTGCTTCCCCCATGTTTTCCCCGCATTTTCGCAGCATTTTCGGATCATCTTTCTGGGTGCTCTTCCATTTTTATCCCGACTCAATCCTTTTCAGGAGTATTGGCAGCCTCACGACATCTCTACTGGTTCTCTGAATGCGTACGCACACGGACTGAGACGGTTCGATCCTCGGAGGCGATCGTGTATCCAGTGCGTAGAATGGCGGGGGCGAGGTTGTGGGAGAAGTAGAAAGTAGAGAGTCTTTTTATGGGAGTATATCCGAGTATACAAAGCCTTTACATTATTATTCAGTTCACGTCAAGCGGATACAACTTGAGAGAGGCAATACATCATGCCAAGCGATACCCGAAAGGCAGCTAACAATGGACCCACAACAGCCTATTCCCATCGAATACTCGGTCAACCACACTTGCAACGACGCAAGTGGAGCGTCATTGGGCTTGGAGCAGGAGCATCGAGGCTGTACCTTGCCAAACACTTGGAGGATCGCAGAGAGACACCGAGCTCGCGAACTACGAGAAGGACCCTCGTGTGGGAGGTACTTGGCTCGAGAGTGAGCAACGCCTCTTTCATTACCAAACTCTGAAAAGCTGACAGAAGGTGGTGTTACATTCGACTTTTGCACGCCTTTTGGTATATTGAGGATGCATGTGGGGAGACTGGTCTGAGACGTGTTCAAGTGTTCATTACCGTTCCCACTCGGGAAATGCTCGTGCAGCCTGGTCCCTGGCTCCACTGTTAGCACGACGAGTGATATCTAGTTCGATCTTAGCTTCAAAGTTACAACAAGCTTCTCGCTTGTCGTCTTGGGACTTGGAATACCTGGGGCCTAGTGCAGGCTCTTACTTAAGCTGCAAATTGGCATAGCTCAGGCTCCCTTGAACTCCGTGATATTCAACAGAGCCTGTGCATGCGGCAAGTTTGATAGCAAGGAAGTCACGTGGAAGTGCACGTGTCGGACGAATTGAAGGTGGCGATGCAGATTCCTCCTTCGGGTTAGCTTCCTCCGGATTCTTCCCCGCAAATTGAGGCCAGAACCCACTTATTCTCCCTCCCTGACCTGTTCAACATCACGACACTCAGCACTCCACCCCTTCGACTACCGGCAGAGGCATCCATCATGCAACATTCTCCCGCTTCAAATACGGCGTCCCAATGCGCGATATGCAGCCGGACCTTCGCCCGCCCGGACCATCTCCGCCGCCACGAACTATCTCACGTGAGTCCCAAGGCGAAGTCCTGTACAGTCTGCCATCGCAAGTTCACGCGAATGGATGGCCTACAGCGTCATTGTAGGACGGTACACCCCGTAGAGCACGCCGCAGAGATTGGAAACAGGCGCACTTCTTCATCAGCCGCAAGTTCACCAACCAGCCCCAAACGGCCGAGATTGAACGAGGCTCCACCGGGCGCTTTGCAACATCTGAACGAAGAACGAGAAAGCAATGACTTTAGCGACGACGCCGTGCAAGAGCTGGGCCAAGAACCAGAATACTTTAACTTCGACAACGACGACGTCCTAGAGACTACAACTCGAGGCACGGGCGATTTTGGTCTCGCACAGGCCGTGGCCGAAGCGTTTCCAGGCCTGTGGCCGGATGTTAGAGACTTCTTACGCTCGACCACGCATGATGCTCCCATTGACGAAAACGGAGGAACGAACCATTATGACAGCAACACGCTGGTACTTGGACATGGAGCGTGGAGCCCGCCTATAAGCACCCTCTGTGGACTCGAGACCGACAGACCGCTTGACAGACCATTCCCGGCATTCGACTTTCGTGCTTCTCTCGATGAGTTGCTCACACCTGACCGACATGTGCATCCTCCAAGTGGCCCATTTGGATTTGAATTTCATACCTGGGCCACATCTTCGCCAGGTCTGGTCCGGCCCAACTTATCCTCGCCCTCGGTTCCGAGGACTTTCCAGAACGGTACCTGCAGCGTTGATGAAATCCTTACCAATATCGATATTGCAAGTTTGTTAGCTGCGTACAAAACTCACTCGTACCCAAATATTCCGCTGCTGCATCTACCGACCTTCCGGCTTTTCTCAGCAGACCTGAGTACGTCAGATCTCGAAGACTGCATTTCAAACCCTCGATTCGATGCCAGCACAGCACCATTCAATACCCGCAATGGGAGAAAAATGCCTCGTTGCCTTCTGTACTCTATTATTGCGCTTGGTGCAGCATACAGTCTATGTCCACTCCTCGCACAAAGGTTCTTCGAAGAGACTGGATCCGAAGTGCGGAAGTATCTCAGAAGATCATCATATGAATCCTCACAAATGCCCCCGCCAGATGTTTCTGTTATCCAAGCCTTTATTCAATATATCCAGTTCTGTTTTTGCGAGGGAAACCAAGTGCTCGAGCAAGTAGCTGTCCAACACATCTGCTGCCTTGCTTCTTTGGTCCAAGATGCAAAGCTAGGGAAAGTGAACGTTGCGGCATCAACTAGAGCCTCGGAAAACGCTGTGAACTCAGATTGGCATACATGGGCCCTGTTCGAGGAAAGAAAACGCACCTATTTCTGCGCCTATTTTGTTTGCAGTGCCGGACTGACGTTGATCAATCCGGCCCAGCCCTTCATTGGCCATTCCCACATTGAACTGGAGCTGCCCTGTCGAGAAGCACTTTGGGAGGCCGGCACCGAAAAGCAATGGAAGGCCCTGGGTATTGAAGCAGCTGATGTATGCCCTCTTCAAAGCACATTATCAAGTTTATTTCCACCGAAAATCGTTCCACCACCCGAAACTACAATTGACCTTGGCGCCTTGGGGTCGGTTGAACGTACCTTCAAGATGTCTATAGCGATGATAGCCGCGCATACGGAACAAGGGCCCGCAATGGAACCTCTAACAAATACGGCCAGCATCAAAACGGATTTGATTTCGAACGTTAGCGAGTTCGGTTGCTTGGTGCTGATCCTCGCACTCAACGAGAGCGTCTGGGCCTGGAGGAAACAACAACAAGACCATGAACGAACCTCCCCACAAGACGCGCAACAACTGAAAGATTTCAAGCACGCACTCGACACGTGGCAAGCGATGTGGCAACGTCTCCCAAAAAGCAAAGAGAACCTCACTCTTGGTGACAAAGTCCTACTCGGCTGCCTTCCCATCTTTGACCACACCAAACTCGCCCTCCAAGTTGATATTTCTCTCGCTAAAGACGCACTCCACAGTCGGAACTATCAACGAACAAACGCGATTTTCAAGAGCATATTCGACGGCTCCATCGAAAACGACAATTCCTCCCTATCGCCTCCAAACGACAACCTTGCAACAGCGGAGCACGCCGAAGCCGTTAGGTTACGTGGACTTCACCCATACACCGAATGCCGCGAAGTCGCAGCTTATGCAATATCCGCCCTCAGACTCTCATATGAAATGGCTCCATGGTGGTCCGAGGGAGGCGAAGCATTTGATATTCCCGTCATCTCTGCCATTACAGCTTTCCACTGCACGCAAATTGTGTGCGGCTGGCTGTCTTTCGTAGCAGCAACCTTCGAAGCTTATGTGCGAGACTTCAACGCGGCTTCGGGTGAGTCGGGGATGGTGCAGTTGACGCAATTCCCCGATCCGGAGGATATTCAATTGATCCGAGCGGTTTTGGAGCTACTTGACACTCAAGAGGACCATGTGCAAAGAGTGATTTTTGAAGAGAAAAATAATGATGCTGTGCTAGAAATTGCGGAGAATCTGTACCATTTGCAGGCGAAGAGGTTTGAGCGAGTAGTGGTTTGGCCTCGTGAGTTGCATGACTTGTTGGACCGGAGGCCGTTATTCAACATGCTAATTTCATATAGTTATGAACCATCTAGCCAAAGGTTTACGTATTAGCGCTTCATTGCTACCTAAGCACTTGACACGAGCCACTCTAAGACCTGCTGCATCCCGGAACCGCCAGCTATGACCAGGTTTACCAGATAAAGTCGATTGATCGCCGCCGAGTGATGATCCGGCCCTACTTCTCGGCCTCTCGTGCGCGGCGTCGAGTATCTGCTTGCTCTCGCTCAGCCCGTCCCGCACGCCTCGCTCTCCGCCTCGCGCTCCGATCACGCCGCACGCGCTGGTGGAATTTCCGGACGTGCCGCTCAAAATATTCTCCATACTAGATAATCATGCCCTGAAGAATCTCGACCTCCGGTTGATACTCCTCCTGTTGCCTAAACGCCCACTTCGCCGGACGGCCTCTTACTATAACCAGAGCTCTAGAACGAATTTGGGCGTGCCGCAGAGCGTGCAGCAAGCCTATTCCTCATAAAGTCCTCAGGACCGCGTAAATCTAGCTGCACCTGGACTGCTTCTGCGAATTCCCCATGATTGTCATTATTTGCCTGGCGGTCTTCCCCACGATCGTGACGGGGGCCTCCCTCGTGCTCAGATCGCGTGACAAGAAATGCAGAGTATTGAAGCCCGAGAAAGCCATCTCGGCGCGGTTCTCGGTCCATGGCGAGCGCTCGTTCCGAGAATCGTAGAAGTTCCCCTTCTTCGCGCTCTCTACTGTGTTCCTCTTGCTCTAGTCCGCCTTCTCTCATGGGCTGCGCCCATCCGTTAATTAGGCCAAGCTCGCTTGTAACCCGCTCCAGCTCTTCGTCATTGCGGATCGTATCTCTGAAACTGCCACCCGGCTCTTGAATCGCCGCTAAAAAACGATCGCCGTCCTCGGCTGGGGTCAAGTGAGTCCACACATCCGTGTAAAGACGCCCAAGACCAGGCTGCGTCCAAATGGGGTTCGGGATCCAGTATTTCCTCTCCTTTCTCCCGTAGAGCTTTGCTCTACACACGGGGCAGGCATTCTTGCCATTGATGGAGACCCAGCGGATCAAACAGGCGCGACCAAAGATGTGGCTGCAATTGACGTTGTTGGTCACTTGAACGGGTGGGTTCTCGGCGCTGAAAATTTCCTTGCAGATTGGGCAGGCTTCGACGGTTTCGCGTCCTACGTGGCTGGTGTTGACGGCGGTAAGGTTGTTGACGATGAAGTCGGCGCAAGTAGAGGGGATCGTGGAAACCATGACAAGGGATTGATGAGGGTGTATTGAGATGAAGTGTGGTGTGGTCGGGGAAGACTGCGGTTGATGAGATGTGTCTTGTAGATGAGGCGTTGCGAAGATGAGATCTCGGGACTTGAAAGCTCTCTAGGCTTGTATTCATGGGAGAAATGTGGTAACGCTGCCTGGGGTGAATGCTTAGCAGAAGCGTTTGTGTTAGCCTCGAGGGTGAAATACATTGAAATCTTGTCGAAAATCTATCGCTAAGTGGCCCATGGCTACAGAGCAAAATGCTGATCTCATTAGGCCATGAACGGGGAACACGTGTACGAGGGTTGTAGCTTTTAAGTGGTCAATTATCTCTACAAATCTCTGCAAATAAGGGTATTGTGATGGAGGGCATAACTTCGAAGCGTAGGGTCCATACGTCACCATCGACTCCATGACGAAAATGATTATTTAATGACCATGTAAATGCTCTACTCACGAGGACACCGAGATAAGATATATTCTGCGAAGGAAAAGGAGGATCTCCCCATTGTTGGTGTATAGGCTATGCCCAATATTTGAGAAGAGAACGCTGATGAACAATCGCAAGCTACCCCAAATAGCAGGTAACCTCGAACTCAAAGGCCAAATCTACCACACGGCCAACGTGGAAAAGCTAGGCTCCAGATTCTGTTTGCAAATGCCGCAAAGTGGTCTTTTGGGAGGCCTTGAAAGACGAAAATCCTCTGACCCTACCTCCTTGGTTCTTCAAATTCTCGTGCAAATTACTCGTCCTCTTGATGATGCTCCCCTCCCTCCCGCTCGGGTCCTCCTTCACCCACTCTGAATGCATCGTCCATTTCGCGCGGGGGCGGCTCGTCCACCTCACCAGCTCCCTCTTCCTCCCAGCCATTCTCGACAAGATATCGAACAATTCGATTAACCTCCCTATCATCGCGAGCGTTTTCCGTAAGATGCCAAGTGTGCTCGTCGATGCCAGAGAGTAGACGGTTAATCAGAGCCTCAATTTCTTCACGAATCGCCTCATGACGGATCGAGCGGTCCGGCGCATGACCCAGGTTTTGTTCATATAGGACTGTCCGACACATTAGGCACGTATTTGAATTCGCCCTGCCGCTAGAAAGCCAAGCTATCAGGCAATCTCGACTGAAGATATGAATGCAATCCGGAATGACGGTTATCTGGACAGCGGAATGGTTTGCGTCTATGTCCTCGTGGAAGATCGAGCATGCTTCTGGCGGCATGACGTTGTTGATAGCATCGAGATTGGAAAGGTTATTGTTGATGAACTCAGTAGAGTTGGAAGAAATTGTAGAAGGCATGGTGATTGGACGACGAAAAGGGTGGTTGACTGGAGGTGTGGTTGGTGGGGTGTGATTACCGTAACTGGTTGATGGTTGGAGAGTGGAGGTGGGGTGTGGTATGTGGTTCTTAAACCCTTATTTCCGAGTTTGAAAGATATGACAGGCGCATGGGCACATGATGAAGTGGTTACTGATCTTTAAAGTGAATGCCAAGCGAATGCCTTCACTGTTTTGTAGCGAGCGGATGGATTTAGGTGGTCGAAAATGTGGATGGATACTTTGACACGCTAGATTATTCATAAGACTGCGTAGATGATAGTAGGAATTAAAGAAGCTGCTCTTTGAGGGGAGAGATATCCTGTTCCCTGCCCGTCTCTCGGGATTCCAGCTTCAGCCCTACTGATTCAGTAAAGCCTCGTGTTCCCCGCCATAGCGCTGTCCTTGGATCGGGAACGTGTCTAAGATCTCTTGAATCTCCCGTAGCTCTTCTTCAGTCAATGCCACCTCTGCGCAATTCTCCACCACTCTATCAACCTTGGTGGCACCAGGAATGGGGATCGCTCCCTGACGACGGACCCAGGCGATGGCTACCTGCGGGACAGTAGTTCCTTTGCGCTTCGCAAGGGCCTCGATAGCCTCGACGAGCTTCAGATTCTGGTCGAAGACATCTGGCTGAAACCGAGGTATAAAGCGCATCGCCCCAGCTTCAGGGAGGTCCTCGTACCGTCGATATTGGCCAGTGAGCCAGCCACGGCTTAATGGGCTATATGCTACGATGGGGACGCCAACTGTAACAAAATCAGTGAGTAAGCTAGTCTGATAAACCCCGAGACTAAAAGAGAGACCTACGCTCATGACATGTATGCACAATCCCGTTGGCGAGAGGCTCCGTCGAGAAGAGACTCAGTTCGATTTCCACGGCGGCAATGGGATGTACCGCGTGCGCACGACGGAGAGTGGCTCCACTGACCTCACTCACCCCAATGTTGCCAATCTTTCCTGCAGCCACTAACTCTGCTAAGGCTTTGATGGTAGTCTCAACGGGGACTTTGGGGTCGACTCGGGCGCATTGGAAGATATCGATCTTTTTCGCGCCATCCAGCACGCGGACGGCCTCTTCGACCGCCGAGCGGACCTCCTCTGTACTACCGGTAGGCGTGTTTGTAGCTCTGTCGTAAGCACCCTTGATGCTGAGTACAACTTTGTCCGCGTCTTCTGGTGCTCGGTGAAGTAGTGTTTGACCAATTGCAATGAGTTTGCGTTTGGTGGGCCGTAGAACATGCCCTATTAGAGTTAGGACAGGCAAAAGACCACCGGGTTGATTATACTCCATTCCAAAAGTTGGCGCCTTGTTCAAGAGCCGTCTTCATGACTTTGGTCGCGTCTGCATATTCGGTGATGTCCCAAGGGCGGGTCAACCCTGCCGCAGGGTCAGCGCGTCTTCGAAATTTCTCGAGTTCGTCAAAATAGGCCTACATACACATCAAGCCATACCCGGTAGGTCCGATTCGTTTACCCGCAATGCTGTTGGGCGCTGCTCTCTGGGCCATGATGATGAATATATAAAGCGAAGACCGGGGACGAGATTTGCGACTGGGATGTTTGATGCTGCAATGGGATGGCCGACAGGATTATATATTTAAGGCCCCCTCTTTAGAAAAGGACGAATTCTTTCGGCTCGAATAGCTACACTATATTGCTATCGCCGACGCTCCATATTGTTCATGATGCGGCGGGCGGAGTTTAGAGCTGACGATGCTGCTTATCCCCATTCGGAAATACTCTGCGAGCCACCGTTCCGTGGACCAATCAAGCCTATTCTACAAATATTGTACATCTCAAGTTGTCACGTGCCAAATAAATTCAAGTGACTGTGACGGACCACAACGGACGAGCATCAGTACGGGTAATCAAGTGATCGTTCACGGAGGACCGTCTAATTAATCGGTGGGAAGTATGAAATAACTATGCAACCGAAAGAACGTCTAACTTAAGTCCGGGAGGATGGGTTCTCAATATTAACGCCGGACATTTCATCCAAGAGTTTGTATATAACTAGGCAGAGAGAGAGTTCGTAGAAAAACGTCCCAGCAAGCTCGATGGTTGCCATTCTCCTCAAGACTCGGTGTTCCTTTGGCCTCTTCTCATTGTCCGATACTACTGCCGCTACTTTTTTTGGTACATTACTACCCCCGGTGTTTCCTCCTAACGCATATTTCCGCCGCGGTAGACAGAACGCAACTAACTCATACCGTAGAGCTACGATCATTTGATCAGGACATCGCCAGGGCTGAGATACGAATGAATAGTTCAGAGTAGGCATAACGGCTTCCTAATGGCGAGACAATAGCGAAATTTTCCATCCATACCACGCTTCTAGCGCTATAGGCAGAGTAGAAAGAACAATGCCTTACAAGTAATCGAGTCTTCTGACCCTTACAAAGGTACAGGAGCGCAGGCATAGGATTTTACGCCTATGGCGGTGCTGTGCGACTTGCAAATTCGCCAGAGTCCTCCACCTCTTCTCTCACTTCCACTCCCCATCTGTCAATAACTTTCTCAAGATCTTCCCACTTTGGCGCTGTCTAAATAACCTCGACCCCGCCTTTCAGCCGTTCATACCTCGCCTTATATTACTGGGCGTTCCTTTGCAATTGAACCGCTAACACTTGTAACTATTCCCACGTTTTCTTGTGATAGTATCGATGTTGGAGAAGGTAGCCTTCTTAACGGGCCAATATTCGCAATAGACGCTGTTTAAGCCGTTGCAACTAGGAACTAGCTCTGTAAGGTTACTATTCTGCGATTATTAAAGCACGTACGCGAATTAGATCGAGTGAGCTTTAGTATAATCGTAATTAAGTACGTGCAGACCTATATAATGCCTCAACACAGATATCCGTACGCTATTAAGCTTCCTGCCGACGGGCACAATGCTTTAATAACAACTAATAGAGATCAGCGCGAAAACTCAAACTTCAAACCTATATACACTATTCTTATCCTATCGGGGGTGGCCTCGCAAGTTTGCCAATTGTTCAAAATAAGGGAAATGAAGCACTACAAGCGGTGGCAGCCACACTAACGAATATCTACAATCAGACACTGCGCATTCACCGTCAAATGTTATACTCAGGTTGCAGCACTACAACCTAGGATCAACAACTTATATGCCAGAAAGCTACTCTCCGAACATTAGCTGTAGAGAACCCAGCTGAAATCTTAGCTGTAGAGAACCGAGCTAAAGCCTTAGCTGTGCAGGGCTTATCTAAACTTACTAGCGCGCCACCCTGGGGGTGGCCCCCTTCCTTCCCCTAGTATATATACAACTAGCTAGACGTCTATAGAAATCAGAGTTTACATTAATTTCAACCTGAGTGTTATAAGCCCGGAAAACTCACACGGATCATCGCCTGCATCACCGATTAACGCAAATCAGCAAACGATAGACTCTCGATCCGCAACCTTCTCTATAACCAACCTTGTTATTCCATCACATCTTCCATAATGCCGACAGAAAACGTCATCCTGTCATCGCCAGCCGCATGGGAAGCTTGGATTTAAATTATCCAGGCAAAGGCCGAACGAAAGAGAATCTGGGGCATCATCGACCCATCGAAAACAGATGCGAACGCCGATGAACTACTTCCAGAACCTACGAAGCCTGTACCCCCAGCAGCGGACGACAATACATCCACCTCGAAAATTACATGGAAGATAGTATACAATAAATATAAGGATAACAAGGTCCAATTCAACAAATAAGAAGAATTACTACAGGACCTACGCATTTTTATCCTATAAACCCTGGATGCGAAATACACTACATACACCTACAGTATCTTATTGGCACGCGGCCTACTTACCAAACTTAAGAAATCCATCGCGCTATTAGATAAAGCACGCCGGAACGAAATCTACAACTTATAGCAGAAGCAGAAGCACTACCCTGCTAAACAAACTGTAGAAAAATGGCTAATAGACTAGGAAACGTTGTACAGCGATGCATTAAGGCTACGGCTGCCCGAAGCTGCCGACAACCGTGCCCAAATCGATTTTCTACTGTCCCTAATAGGAAAACATCCAGAATTCGCAGGCTACTAGCGCCAGGAGATCGCACGCCGAACAGACGCCAAAGAATTAGCACCTAGCCTAGCAGATCTAGTTAGTAAGTTTAGAATACAGCGGCATAAGAAACTAGCGTCCTAGGGCAAGGATCCCCTCTTAGCCTACGCTACTATATTGCAGGGCCAGGAAATTAAACTAAAGGTAAAAGCCAATTCCCCTAAGGCCCTAAAGCCCTGCCTATGCGGAGAAACCTATCTATAGCGTAATTGCCCGTATATCTATGCTAATAAACGTCCTACTAGCTGGCAGATAAATATAGAAATTTAAGAAAAAGTAAAAAAAGCGCTTAAGCAACAGCATCTAAAGAGCCAGGAATAGATCCGAAAAATATAGGAGGAATTTTAGGGCCCTACTCCTAGGGCTATTTCTGCATTTACAGTTGTATTTTTAGGAACAGATTATTCCTCTACTCTAGATTATTCCTCTACTCTGCCAGCAGCATTCTTAACAGCCCTACCGTATTAGCTACGGAATTCCGTTATCCTAGATTTAGGTGCTATAACGCATATTTTTAACGCTGTATATTGGTTTAAGGGCAATATCGAATAAATAAACACCACCTGCTATACAGGAAAAGGTGTAGAATCTATTACTAGATTCGGGACAGCTAAAATATTACTAGAAAGTTTAAATAGCGTACACTACGCTATACTTTCCGATTCCGCCTATATTCTAGGGTTTAACGTAAATATTATCTTTCTTCGGAAACTAAATACTAAAGGGGTGTTTTAGAATAATAAACGGAATTTCCTATATAGCCTAGACTACAGCAGGGAAGTTATCTAGGCGAAACTCTAAGAGAAAGCTGGGCAAAATATTATCTAATTTATTAAGCCAGAGAATATTTAAACGGAAGGAAGTAACATTTCTATATATATTACGCAGCTACGCATCGCACGCCTACTAGTATAAGGGGCATACTCTACACGGCCTATAGAACTCTAGCTATTAGTAACAGCCCTAGGGCTACTATAGTATTATTAGCTAGGCCACGCAGGCCCTAAAGCTGTACAGAAGTTAATAGCAGCCGTTCTCCTAAATATATAAAGAGACGTTTAATTACTAGGCCCGGCAATATACAAATACGAACAATGCGCTGTTAGCAAAATCATACAGCAAATTTCACGTGTTTCTTCTACGCGGTATACTACACGGCCGTTTAAACGGCTATATTTCGATATAATATTTAAAGAACCCGGCTTTAATAACAATACTAAGTATCTATATCTCTAACGTAATCCACAAGTTAGTGGCCCGCACAAGCTAGTGGCCCACCCAACCACGCTACCGAGGCCAAATATTCCGAATTACTCCACCACGAACAAATATATTTGATGCAGCTACATACTAGCTAGCTGCCTGCCGCCTAGGGCACGTACGTGCATTGTGTTCTGTTGATTCGCACATGCTGCACCTAGGTTTTGCTCGCTGTGGCCGCTCGGCCGGTGGCTCTGCTGCCTCCTCTGCTGCCCCTTCCTGTACAGGTTGTGCACGATCGGCTGCTTCTTCACCTGATAGAATAC